TTTTATTTTGGGATCCTGTGAATTTTTATTTCCTATGTTTATTATAATATTTTGGGATTCTTTAAATTTTTTTTAAGTACTTTTAAAAGCGCTTTTACTGTGTCAGCCAAACACTCTACAAAATATCAAAAGCACTTTTATGTAATGTAAAAGCACTTTTAAATGTGACATCCAAAAGACAAACAGCTTCTTTGTAGAAGTGCTTCTGTCATAAGCGCTACTGACATAAGCGCTACGGGCATAAGCGCTTCGGGAAGAAGCACTCGCAAACGAGCCCATAGTGTCCTTCCCAAAATCACTTAAAATCACCTAAAGTGATTACGTAAAGAAGCACATAGGATGTGTTTTTCTCCATAACTGATTTTAGCCCTCCCAAAATCACTCTCTAACGAGCCCTTAATCTCATGTGGTGAAAACAAATAAATACAGAGGTGAGGGTGATTATTATGGTTGGTACAAGCTTGGCCATCTTGGCGATTAAAATATGGAAGATTAGAGACAATGATTATTTGTCTCAGTGGATCGGGCATGATCAGTTGGCAACTTTCGGGTTGGGACTTGACCAAAGCAAATGAATAAATCACGTTTAACGTAGTGCTCACGAACTTCTCAACGAAAATAATTAGTGCTAAGTGCTAACTAATCATGTTAATCATTATTCAATATGTTGTGGCCTAACACGTTATACATGAAAAATGCTTGCTTTTTAAGTATCGGTAAACCAACTTTTGATCTAATAGTATTGTTCTTCGCCTTATTAGTTAATATCTTAATTAAGTTCGACTCATATGAATGCAAGATTGATTCTTTTGTAGGTGTCACGTGGAAGCAATCACAAAATCAAAAGCCGAAAAGGTCTACTTTCTTAATTTTTGTTATGTATATTGGAAACAAAAACCTCTCAACCCTATATAAATCCAACTTTAGAAAAAGCACAAACAAGACACAGAATGACGTGCTACAAGACATGATAATGAGATAAAGTTGCATGAGAAACACACAAGGCCTGAGGGCCTGAGGCAGTTGCTGCTGAGCTACAGAATTTTTGCTTGCAAGCTACATTACTGTTAGTTTTTGTTGCTTCTGAAAACTTCTTAGGGTTTTTACTCAAAACCTTGGATCTTTATGCGAGCAAAACTCAATAATAAGCCCAACATCAGCACACCCAATACCTTTTCCCACGAGAAAAATATTTGGCGGGCACTCGTGTGTGTGAATGATTCTCAATCGTTGATGCTAGTAACATTCGCTAATTTAATATATATTAACAGTTAGTAGGCTTTGGCACTTACATACGTGGCGATCGTCCCGAGCATCTCATTCCCACAATTATGTTTCTATGAAACTCACACTCCTTTTTTTATATTTATTTTTGGTGATGCTTCTAAGAGAGAGAAGGGACTTTTCTTCGTGTTTGGGGTTTTGGGCATGGCAAACTGGGTCATTGCTTCAAAGCGTGTGGAAGCACAAGCATATAGCATTCAAAAACGCGTACTTGCAATTTGCAAACGTCCAGTTTCCTTTCAAAGTTGCAATTATTTAACGAGTTGTTCAGCAGAGTTGGTAGAGAAAAACCCATGCGTGGTCCCGCTACCGTGTACTGATGCACACGTTTTCTGTTTCTCGTTTCCTATCCGAATCACGACAAATACCCATGTGGCCACTTTGTCCAATTCAATATAAGAAAAGGGAAATGCTAACAACATTCTCTCTGACCTTTTCCTTTGGACCTTTTCTCTTTTCCTAATGACATGTGGCACTTCTCTCTCACTCAAAACAATGTTTTTAATTTTTAAAAAAACATTAAATTATATTTCCATATATACCCTTGACAGAAAACTAAAAAGTCAAAAATCCTTTGAGTTTTCACAGCCCCATCCCAAAACACAGCCCAACCTCTCTCTCTCTCTCTCTCTCTCTCTCTCACTTGTGCAATGAGAAAAAAAAAGAGATATTTAGTAATATACCCATTCTTAGCACTAAAACTATAAATAAACCCTACATCATTTCATTTTTATAAACATACCCCAAAAAAACCCAAAAAATGACAAATGGTACTATTAAATTTAATTTTAATTATTAAATTACTTTGATACCCTATTGAGTGTTTTGGGCTTTTTTATGAAATTTTGGGTTGGGTTTGTTTTAAGAAATCAATGGCAATTTTGTAATTTAAAAGAAGTTAAAAGCCTTTTTATTATGTTATAAATGAGCTTTGGGTGTGTTTATAGATTCCATTTCATATAGGGTTTTTTTATAATTTGAGCTCCTATATTGGGTATATTAGTGAATCTCCCAAAAAAAAATCCAAGATTTTTTGTCTCTCTCTAACATCTACAGACCCTTTGCTTCCCAAATCATGAAAGTTCAAACACTTTTTTTTTATAAACGAAACCAAATAAAAATAGAAAATAGTGCTTTGGTGGTGAGATTTGAGAAATAAAATAAAAAATTGTTCAATTACAAACAACAGAGAAAGCGAAGGAGGTGGGAAGGTGGGGGGCTGTTGGGTAGGGATGAGGGAGATGTTTGGTCATAATGATGGGGGAGAGGAAGTGGGTTTCTTTCATATGCTTATTTGGGTACTAGTCATGGGTCATTGCTGGGATTTTTTTTCTCATTGCACAAATGAGAGAGAGAGTGCTGGGATTTTTTTTCCCATTGCACAAATGAGAGAGAGAGTCATTGCTGGGATTTTTTTTCTCATTGCACAAATGAGAGAGAGTGCTGGGATTTTTTTTCCCATTGCACAAATGAGAGAGAGAGAGAGAGAGAGAGAGAGAGAGAGAGAGAGAGAGAGGGGTTGGGCTGTGTCTTGGGATCAGGCTGTGAAAACTCAAAGGATTTTTGACTTTTTAGTTTTCTGTCAAGGGTATATATGGAAATACAATTTAATGTTTTTTTAAAATTAAAGACATTGTTTTGAGTGAGAGAGAAGTGCCACATGTCATTAGGAAAATGGAGAATGTCCAAAAAAGAATGTTAGATAGAAGGTTGTTAGCATTCTCCTATAAGAAAAACTTGTGAGATATGAATATCATTGTTTTTCTATCCCAATCAACCAAATACTGACACGTAAAAAAATTATCACGCATGATATGCCGTGATTAGTTGAGAATAACACTGTTTTGATATCCTCTTTGACACAAGTGTTTCTCTGTACCCACTACATCTTTTTTGCGTGATACATGCTCCATTTGAGTCCCACTTATTTTCAGTCCCTAAATTGATCGAATGGCTTGAGAATTCCCATGTTTAACCTTGTGATGCACAATTCCCATTTTCGCATTTTTGGTATTAAGGATGAAGAAGTTTATTATACGGAAAATATTTGTCTCTTTTCTCGTCTATGAGTCACAGTTTAACACGTATGTATACATTTTTTATTATTTTTTAAAAATTATTTTGTATATGTGTCAAATTATGATATGAATAAATAAGAGAAATGTCTTTCCACTAATGTTTTGTGTCCATAGTAAATTATCACACTCCAACAACCACTCTATGATTACTCATCTTCTTGAGTCGTCATACATAAACCAATTAACTATTAGTCTAGTGATAATTTTGTCCATTTTGTTCAACAACGTCTAAAATTAAATCCCCCTTCTCTATTATCCAAAGAAGAAAAAAAAAATCGACTACCTTACTTTGCATTTGTCACATTATAATAACTTTGAGGACTACGAGTGACACAAAAAACCAAACTATGATGCAATCTGATAGTTTAGTAAACCTTAAAGACGTTTTGTGATATTAAGCCTATATTATATGGTAGTTAAAATTTAAATTCTTTTAATTCCTCTAATATTATGGTATAGACAATCTCTTCATAAAAGCATAAAACAATGGGCCAAAAAGAGCAACCATGATTGAATTAGCATCAAGAGTTCCCTTGACACTTTGATATTAATGAATTAGGTCATCATAGACTTTGTAAATGTAGTCTTTTTCTCCGATGGCTAATTATGGTCTTCTTCTCGATTGGTCTTTGTGTTTTGTGATTTGATTATTAACAATTTTTATATTCCAGAGGATTCAATTATTTTGGTTATATTTTACAATACATGTGCAAAGTGGGTTTTACTAAAATGTTTAATGCATTTAAAATTGGGGTTAATGGTAGTTTACTGCCTTCTGGTGATGAATCACAGACCATCCAAACCAAACCCATGTTAGATGTATCATTGAATCAAAGTATCAGCCACTCTTCAATGCCTTCCAAGTTCCAATCCTTCACCATCTGTATCTTATAAACTACTTGAATATTGAGAAAGAAGATATGATAAATAAATTCGTCAACTATGATTCCTTAGCTAACATTTAACGAGGAAGACTTTCATGAAATAAAAATAATACTATTTTATTATTTCTAGTTAATAATGATATAATACGCGTAATAATAGTTTTCGTGGCATAACATTATTGTTCTAGAATAACAAAACATTGTTATTCCTGTAAATTTTATTTATTTATATAATTCTTCTGTTTTCATCAGCCCAGTCTCTGTCTCTGTCTTTTCATTGAAATTCGGAAGCCCTGAAATGAATTCGACAATTCCACTTCATTGAATAGTTGACCAAGCTCTACTTTACCTTGTATTCTACTTTTCTAAAGTCTGATCCTTTCTCCTTCAAACCCTGTCCAAACTGAAATCCCAAATTCCCTTCTTTATCACATGCTCTGCAATAAATTTCTCCAAATCCTCATCTGGGTTCTCTCTCTCTCTCTCTCTCTCTCTCTCTCTCTCTCGACCTTTTCCTTAAATTAGCAACTTCTAGTTCAGCTGTTATATAATTTCTGATCCAAAATTCTTTTGCTTTCTCATCCTCTGAAATTTATTATATTTCAGCATAATCTTCATAAGTTCCCATTTGCATTTGGGTCTTTTCCATTCCTAGGAATATTCAGCTTATGTTCTACTTCTGAGTTTCTGATCCAAACCCGTTTGCTCTTATTCCTGCAATTTCAACATAGTTGTATTTGAGCAATAACAACAAATGGGTAAGTGTCTAAGCAAAAGCAAAGATTCAGAGCCACAATATAACGGTTACATATCAGGAGGGGGAGCTGGGGTACACTACCAGAAGCCTCATGAACCTGTTGCTCCACAACCCAAAGCCTCTGCTCAGCAAGCCCACCACCAGTTACCTGAAAAACGTGGGTCGGCAGCAGCCCATCAAGAACTCCAACCAGCATGGAAGCCATATGTTCCAGTCAAGAGCCCCAAACCAGTTTACAGGCCAGACACAATTCTTGGCAAACCATATGAGGATGTTAAGCAGCACTACACTATTGGTAAAGAATTGGGTAGAGGTCAATTTGGTGTGACTTACCTTTGCACTGAGAATTCAACTGGCAATAAATATGCTTGCAAGTCAATCTCAAAGAGGAAGCTTGTCACCAAGAATGACAAGGAGGATATTAAGAGAGAGATTCAGATTATGCAGCATTTGAGTGGGCAGCCCAACATTGTGGAATTCAAGGGTTGCTATGAGGACAAGCAATCTGTGCATGTTTGTATGGAGCTGTGTGCAGGTGGTGAACTCTTTGATAGAATCATTGCCAAAGGTCATTATAGTGAAAGAGCAGCTTCTTCAATATGCAGGGCAATTGTTAATGTGGTAAACATCTGTCATTTTATGGGTGTGATGCATAGGGACCTCAAGCCGGAGAATTTCTTGCTGTCTAGCAAGGATGAGAATGCACTTCTGAAGGCTACAGATTTTGGGTTATCAGTTTTCATTGAAGAAGGTAAATTTGGCTACTTTCTTTCTTTTGGTCATTTGTGGTTCTGTTTTGTTTTCCTAAAGATCATTGGATAGTTACTTTACTTGCTTGAAAGTTTACTACTTTTCACAAGGACATTAAAGTGGAAGGCACTCAATATTGATTTATATCACAGCAGTGATAGTTTTGGGTGAATAATGCAGAATAGTCTTCGATCAAAACAATTTTATTTTTTTTTCATCTAGAATTCCGTTGCATTATAAATGATTTCTAATAATTTAATACTAAACTCGCGCCCAAATAGTTTTGGGTGAATAATGCAGAATAGTCTTCGATCAAAACAAATTTATTTATTTTTTCATCTAGAATTCGGTTGCATTCTAAATGATTTCTAATAATTTAATACTAAACTCGCGCCCAAAGTCAATTCAGAACATAGTTGGATTTCATAGGATATTAAGTATATCTGGCAGAAGATTAGACCAGGGCATGTTTAGCTGGCAATTGAGATGGTAGATAGGCACTTTATCAAAACTTTCTTCTAAATATTGAGTTTATTAGCTTTAACAATGGCAGATAAAACAGAGCTTTTTTTCAGGAAGGCAGACTAGAATTGAATTTCATCAATTTAGAAATCACTGCTTTGAATTTATATTATTGTGCCAGGTTTAAAACATGATACACAGTGCACCAAACATGTTGCTACTGCCATATTTCCATATTGGCTTCCATTATTTTCTTGGAAGTGAGATGAGAGTTCAAAAAAAGTGTAATGGAACATAAGAAGTTAATGGAGAAGGGAGGAAGAGATGAGTCTTCAATTAAGGACACGTCTGCGGTCATAATTCTGTAGCTTGATCTTTGAACAATAATCTGAGCCACATTATGTTTCTGTATGGAGTCCGGACCTGTAGTTTTCCCACATTTAAGTTAACATTAATTTGTTTAACAGTGTTATTAGGATTTATATTTTAACAGTTTTGTTGAACTGAGTACTTTTGGAACTAGCCAAATTTTATAATCTGGTTTGCAGACCTTCCTACAATATTCTGTAGTCTCATGAAATTCATACTTATCCCTTAAGATGGCATCATGGAAACATATTGTGATACTCTTAAGATCTAAATTGTTTTCTTAATGAGAAACTCAACTCCTATAGTCATTTTGGTATCATTTCTTTTGTCTTTTAAAACTAGCAAGGTGTGGATTCTGTATTTTCTTTGTCATTATGTAGTATGCTTGACAACTATTAGCCTTTTAGTGAACATTTATCTTTATTCTGTTTCATATGCATCCACTTGTAGCATAGCTATTCATATATCTTTCCATGGCAATCTCTTGTCAGGGAAGGTGTATCGTGATATAGTTGGGAGTGCTTACTATGTTGCTCCTGAAGTACTGCGACGCAAATATGGCAAGGAAATAGATATTTGGAGCGCTGGAGTTATATTGTATATTTTACTGAGTGGAGTGCCTCCATTTTGGGCTGGTAAAAGAACACTTCTATACTTGTTTTGTTTAACATTGTAAGATTTTGTACTACTTATGGGTTCTGTATCTTTCTGTTGGTTTGATCAATAGCTTTTAATGACTGATGCAGAAACGGAGAAGGGGATATTTGATGCCATATTGGAGGGCGAGATTGACTTTGCAAGTCCACCATGGCCATCTATATCAAGCAGTGCCAAGGACCTAGTCCGGAAGATGCTTACACAGGACCCTAAAAAACGAATTACTTCAGCTCAGGTTTTAGGTACAAATCTCTTAAAGTGCCACAATTGTGCCCATTTTTTGTTTTTTTTTTTTTTTTTTTTTTTTTTTTTTTCCAATGGTTTTGAATTTTTTAGTATGGCTTTAAACAATTGCATCTATTTTTACTTATCCCTTCACTTGTGAGTGATTACAAGGTAAACAAAGATAAGTTCCTTCTTTAAGTGAGGTTTCATAATCAAAATATGGAACTAGTTAGGTGCTGTATCCACAAATTATCCAAGAGAAGCTACGAGTGTTGCAGTCTTTTGTTTTTGGTTTTGGAAGAAGACAATGTAGGTACCCTAGAAAGCAAGATTATGACAACATATGCACACATTTCACATATGACACATTAGTGCCTTGCGTAAAAAATTACACCGTATTGCAAATTTAATATAAAATTTAATACGTATTGGCATTTCTTTGTGAAAAGATAAATTCACTTTATTTTTCTTCCAGTCAACAAAAAATCTGGATTTTCAAGAAGTAAAAAGCTGTATTGAGTATGGTAATGACCAGGACTCATTTCTAATAATAGGCTCATATAGATAGCAGAGTCATCTTTTCAAAAGTACAGTTCCTTTATTCCTGTAACTACTATTCATGGTAGATTGTCGTTCTTGCAAAATCCTTTTCGTTTTCTTTAATACTTGGATTATGTGTGGTAGATTTCTCATCTAACTGAAACTTTTGAATTTGGATGGCCAACTTAGAGCATCCATGGATCAAAGAAGGTGGAGAAGCGTCAGACAAACCCATAGACAGTGCAGTGCTTTCTAGGATGAAGCAGTTCAGAGCAATGAACAAATTGAAAAAACTTGCATTGAAGGTATATTTGTCCAGAGGTCTCTCACATGGAGTACTTTCATTTTTTAATCTGTGAAGCATTATATAAGGGCATGAGTCACTACAGAAATACATACATTGGATCTGGTTGTGCTTCCCTTCTAATACAGTATACAATTTATGAACATGATTATAGGTTATTGCCGAAAATCTTTCTGAAGATGAAATCCATGGGCTGAAGGCAATGTTTACAAACATGGACACTGACAACAGTGGAACCATCACTTACGAGGAACTGAAGTCGGGATTGGCTCGACTTGGCTCTAAGCTTACAGAGGCTGAAGTCAAGCAGCTAATGGAAGCTGTAAGTTATTGACTTCTTCAAAATACCCTAACTTTTTGCTACCTTTTTGCATCCTACCCAACTCATTCAGGTTTTTGGCGTTTCAGGCGGATGTAGATGGGAGTGGAGCAATTGACTACATTGAATTCATCACTGCTACAATGCATAGACACAGACTAGAAAGGGACGAGCATCTTTTCAAAGCCTTTCAATATTTTGACAAGGATAATAGTGGGTAAGTTTTTTCTTCTTAGTCTCTAAGAATTGGCCGCACATTCTTGGACGCTCATGTTTTATACATGATTACCAATTGATATGTCTTGGGATTTTAACTTTTCTGTTGAGTATAAGAGAAACATGCATCTGGAATTAGTTTGGTGCACAGAGGCACATTAAGATATTTTGTCTAGAGAGGCAAGTTGATTTGGATCTTAGTTTCACAAATATAGACCAGGGTTCTAGCAGAATGAGCGAGCACCAAGAAACTGGATGGGATTAGGCTTATGAGGCATTTGGGTAACCATTAATGATTACTAACTAGCCAATGCTTTGTTCTTTATTACAGTTTTATCACAAGAGACGAGCTAGAATCAGCAATGAAAGAGTACGGAATGGGTGACGATGCGACAATTAGGGAAATAATATCTGAAGTTGATACAGACAATGTAAGTTGACCTCCTTACAAATCATTCATTTTCTCCGTTATCATGAACATTAGTATTCAATTATGTTGGACTTACAGGATGGTAGGATCAACTACGAGGAGTTCTCCACGATGATGAGAAGTGGAACGCAACCGCAGCCCAAGCTATTCTAGAGTTTATGATTCCATTCTCTGACTACTGCAAACCATAAGTTCCACCCTTAGAAATATGTGTAAATTGAGGGGGAATTTGAACCATATGAGTGGGGTAATACTTTCCAATTGCTTTCCAGCAGTCCTTGATAGTTGCCAATGAAGCCTTCACTTGAATTGGTTTTGAGTTACAAGCGCATAGAGCTACCATCTCTATTTAATTTGTATTCATCTTTGTTTTGTTGACTTTATTTTAATATGTTGATATTTCGAGGAATCAATGAAGAGAAAGCTACTTAGTTTTAGCTTGCATGGATGGGTCTGTGCCTAACTGATGCGTGCATCTTTTCACGTATCTTTTTAACACTTGGTTACAAACGAAGGTTTCGTTTTTTTCTCCCTTTTGAGAAACTAGGAGACGGATTCGAACTTAGGACATTTTTCAACATCGAGAAGAGAAATACTATAAAACGAATAGCTAGTTTGTAAAAATGAATAGATGATCCTACTACTTTTGGATAAGCCTTGATTGGGAAGAATTTATCACATCGAATTCTAGTGAACTACTACATTGTTCCTCAACCCAAGTTCTCCAAACACAAACAAACATTTGATTGATGACCAAAACCAACTGGGCAGATGAAAAATGAAGTCCCATAACATTCAACAGAAATCACCATCAACAACAAAAGAGAACGCAAAAAGAAGACCAAGCACAGAATTACTCCAACAAGGAGAGAAGTCTATAAATTCAACATGTATATAGACACTTCTGTTATTACAGATTTCCCAGAGCCAGCGCAGGGACTATTAGGAGAGCTAGCAAATGAAACAAGGGTAGCAAAACTAATCAAATTTTAAGCCCCCTCCCTCCAATTTCCAAACTCCAAGTCTTCAAAAACCATGCATCTTTATCTGCTCCTTTTTCACAATCTTGGCCTGAACAAGAAACTGAAGCACGTTCTTGCGTTGATCACCTTGGAGCTGAATTATCTTGCCAAGCTCTTTGTCCTGGACAACATTGCCGTTGCAGCAGAACTCTTTTTTCAGATCCTTGAGGATCTTCTCGTAGCTGAAGTCTTTCTTCAGCCCTTGAACTGTTGTCAGGCACTTCTTTCCATTCCTCTGCTGCACCCGGATATGCACATACTCCTTGGCTCCGGGGGCATCGGCGTCTTTGGCTTCGGCGAACGGGTCAAAAGCAGTTGGGATCTGGACGTCTAGTTCAACCATATATGTACTTTCGTTTGGATTGAAAATCTAAACAAATTGAGCTGAAAAAACATACCGAAAAGAACAAATTTATTGTTAGTCCTCCTTTCAATATCAACGATCACAGTAATCAATCAATAATGATTCCCTCCATTCCAACTAATTGAGAATCATGTAACATCACAAACTCAAGAAATTCTTGAATTTGATTATAAAGGTGTATACAACATCTATCTGTTGCTCAGAATGACGCGTTGCAGATACATGTATGATGTATGTAAGAACTTTTATCAAAAAGAAAAATTGTACGTGGGTTTTGTTTAAATCTTAAAAGAAGACATAATAAAAATGATTGGAAACATGCAACATGATGCATGTATTGAATTTGTATCCAAGTCCACATGAATAATATTCTCAAAGACATCACATCAAAGAAGGAGATCAAACACAGCCGAAAGAAATCATCATATACATGTAGCAGAAAGCAGGAAATAATTGATCGTACCAGAAGAATGAGAGTTGAAAAGGGTACGGCGTTGTTGGGGAACCTTACCCGAAAAGACAAGCAAGCTTTGGAAACGAGGATGGAAAAAATCAGGGAGCCTTCGGGTCCTTAAATATAGGCATGGAGGTCTGTTGGCGGTAACGCCTCAACCACAGATTCAGCAAACCATGGTAAAGCTAAGCTGGAGTTCGACTGGATTAGGATTAGGACAACTTAATTATACACGTGTACGGTTGAAATGGAGTGTCTGGGGCAGGGTAGAGATCATGCAGACGTGTGCAAAAAAAGAAAATAGTGTTCAATTGATGGAGGGAACGCGTAGATTGAACGCACCCACTCGTCCTCAGACTGGCAATTCCATGCAAAAAAGAAAGGGGGGAAATTCGGTGGAAGATAGAAAGGAGAGCAAAGAGTGTGGGACCCACCCACCAAGAAGAATCCAGAATATGGAACCTAGAACATTGTAGAAAGAAGAGGAACAATGGAACATGGACCATCCATCCAATTGGCATATTAAGGTACGTGTGACTTTGGTCATGCCTCATTCCAATGATATTATTGGTGCTATCCAAATCCAATCCATGGGATAGAAATTTGACCAAAAAATAAAAAACAGAGAGAGACTGATTAAATTCGGCATGCCTAATTCCATTCTTATGACTAAATTAGTCACCATCCAAATAACATCAACTAAAATTAGGGATCTTTTTAGCACACAAACAAAAAGAAATTAGTTCAAAAGTGTGAAAACTATTAAAGAATCATTAATCCTAAATCTTAAGTCGTAGATGGCCAATAATTTATATTAAAGCGACTTCGCCGAGGCAACATTCTTCCCTTTAATTAATATATTTAACACCATAGCTCTTATACTATGCAGACACTTACTAGTTCATAAAACTTAGGCGATCACAACATGAGCCAACATTGTACATCAAGTTAAAATGTGAGCTGCTGTTAGTTTGCAGGAAGTGGAGGTGAACTTGTATTGATAAGTTTTGAACACTTGTAGTTTTATAACTTTGATACTGAAGTTTTGAAATTCTCTTAACTTAGTGGTTATATCGCCTTGTTTGATTTTTCTCAAAACTTAGGTGCAGTGCAACCTTAAGATGGATAAAGCATGGGTGCTTCTTGGGTAGATCAGATTAGCAAATGCATATGTAAACTTTAGAGGTGAAAATGGAATTGGAGGATCTGGAGAGGAGGTTACTTTGTTGTCTATTATCGAAACATAAAATTAAACCATCTGATTTTTATTATTCATCAGCATGATCTCTGAAGACTTCATGTTTACTTTGTTGTTTGCATCTGTAAGGTAATCAATAATGAGTGTCTTAATAAATATTGAGCTTAGCTTTCTCCTTTAAAAGTTATGTTGTGAATTTTTTCCCCTAAGTTATTAAGTCCACAGCATACCATTGACTAATAAGACTGTAATAACTTGTGTAGAAATGTATCAACTATTTTCAGGTTTAAGAATGATGCCCAAAGGAAATGTAGATGAAAAGAGGCAATTGATTGACAAAGTAACTAACAAGAGCAAGAACTGCTTTATGCAAGTTCTCTTGAATCACCATAAATAATCAGATGTTCTTAGCTATCAAATCTTTGACAAACTTGTTTATACCAAAATGAACAGCCAATAAGCATCGGACACGTGAACCAAATTGGAGCTATGGAAGCCTTCGGCACCTAGCTACAGTTCCGTTCCTACCGATCGCACGATTAGGGCAACTCCACCCCCAGGGGCACGTGGCAGTCCCACAATTGGAGTCCACAGTCCCACATCGAAATTCTAAACAACTTGCACACCTCCCAAGGCCTATAAAAGAGGACAACTATCCCAAATATGAGGTAATCGATCATAACTTACGGCATACTGCCTATTGATCTGTAGTTCAAACTTACTAAATCCGTACTTACTTAAGCATCGGAGAGCCTTCGGCCGGTACCACACCGGTGCCCTAGGTCTTACCGAGCGTTTGTTATCTTGCAGATCGAACGCCCTACCGAGGCCCAGAGCATACCGAAGGCCCAACATCACTAATTTGCGTGGGAAAGTGCCGAACCATTTTTCTACGTCAACAAAACTAACAGAACTTCAGTAGGAAAAGCCCTTGAGATTATTGTAGTTTTCCTAGTGCTTGCACGTAAAGCAACAAACAAATGCATATGGAACATGTACACCCAATCCTAGGGATTATCATTTGGCCCTAAGTTTATGGGCCAAATTGGGTAGTTCGAGGCTCGATGGGCCAAAGTCTGGCCCGACTTACTCTTGACTAAATTAGTGACCATCCAAATAATATCAACCAAAATTGGGGATCTTTTTATTTAGCAAATAAACAAAAAGAAATCAGTTAATATGTTTATGTTAGACAATTACTAGTTCATAAAACTTATGCGATCACAGCATGAGCCAACATTGTACATCAAGTTAAAACACTTCCTCACATATAACCTTATCTTGCACGCACTGGCTGACCTAAGAATTTTTCATGGGAGGGGCAACATTCAAAAGGCTAAAAGTATGCGAGGGAAATCCAAGTGCAAAGAGTCCATGAACCCATCTACATTAGTTGACAAGGAAGAGAGAAACTTTGAATAAATAAAATTGAAATCTATATAAAACAAAATTAAATTATAAGTTGAGAAACTAAGAAATGACATATGTCAAATAAGGGGGATTAAAGCTCATGGATATTTATTAAATAGAGATACACCATTAAGGGAATTTTGGAAGACAACTAGTTTATGTGAAGTAGAAATCAAATTGAATATTACAAAGTCTCTTTTACATATTTAATTCGTTTTGCCTTTTTTCTTACTCATGTGTAGGTCCGCTTGTGCTTGCATGTAAAAAGACAAACAAATGTGTATGGAACATGTACACCCCATCCTAGGGATTATCATTTGGCCCTAAGTTCATGGGTCGAATTGGGTAGTCTGAGGCTCGATGGGCCGAAGTCTGGCCCGACTAGCTCTTGATTAGATATAGTTTGGGCTTAGAATTTGAAATCCTTGGCCCACCTAGACCTGTTTGGCCTAGTTGGGCCCGCTAAGCCCGTTTGGCTCGACTCATCTAGGCCTTTTTTTTTAAATAAAAAAAAATTAATTATAAGGATTTAATTGATACACTCCTTAATCTCATTTTAGACTTAATCAAAATAATATAATATGTAGAATAACTTAATCAACTTTTTATTTTATTTGCACACGTTATGAATTAAGTTAATTTTTTCAATGTTGTAAAGAAATTTGTAACAAAAATTTATAAAAGACATTGAACTACAACCCACATCCAAGTGCACTTCCTAACCTTATTGTACATTTAATTAAAATAATGTAATATGTAGCATAATTAATAAACCTTTTTTTTAATTTTAAAATTTTAAATATGTTTTGAAGTAAGTTAATTTTCTTAATGTTGTCTAAACATTTGTAATAAAAAGTTATAAAAGACTTATTAATAAGAAAAAAAAAAGGCCCCTATAGGCCCATGGGAGGCCCGCCTCGGCCTGATAGGCGGGCTCGAGTCTTGACATTTAAAACCTCAGTTCGAATTGAAAAATTTTAAATGCTTGTGAAGCCCAACTTGAATCCAAAATTTTAGATCGGGCAAGCCCGATCCAGGCCTATGACGAACCCTTACCACACCCTGCAACACTGCCACCTCTGCCATTATCTTATATCCCACCACAACAAACTATCAACCTAAGACAAACTCGGACGACGATTACATACCCTTCTCATACCAGTCGACTAACATTTATGTTGATCCTTGTCCACCTTGTTAAAGAAGATTGTTGTGTAGTTTTTGCACTCATATTTCCTTTTATACCTTTGGCGATGGACAGTCTTCTCATAATCCAACATCCCATTCATGAAGTTGAACTTGCTTCCATAAAGGTAACAACTATGCTTAGACGACTCCATCTGTGAATATAAAAAACAAAGGAGATGTCTCAGTGTTGTTTTCGGTTGAAATGAAATGGAAAGAGAGTTTTGTAAGAAACAAAATATCTATGTTTCATATATATATATATATATATATATATATCTCTCTCTCTCTCTCTCTCTCTCTCTGTGTTTCAATTACTCTCACTTTGCCTCTATTTATAGGCAAGATAATACGAAGTGGATAAGAGCAACTAATGTGATAGAGAGAGACCTGCTGGGCTGCATTGCCTGCTTAGGCTTACTGAATGTTGTCTAATAGTCATAACTAGTCACAAAGTGGATGTGAAAACTTTCCTCTCACAACCTCAAATCAAATGAAAAATGGGAAAAAAAATAATTTGGCCCCATGGTCCACTTAGTGGCATAGTGAGAATATGGTTCGTCATAGCCCAGTTTGAAATTTTTGGGTTCGAACCGAAGTTTCAAATGTCAAGGTAGGAACCCACCTATGGGGCTGATCTAGGCCTTCCATAGGCCTAGAAAAGCCAACTTTTTTTTTTCTTTTTTTCAATAAGTCTTATATAACTTTTTATTACAAATTTTTAAACAACATCAAAAATATTAACTTAATTCATAACATATGTAAAACAAAAAAATAATTTATTAATTTATGCTACATATTACATTATTTCAATTAAGTCTACATATTAAGGTTATTAAGTTATTCTACATATTATATTATTTTGATTAAGTGTAAAACAAGATTAAGGAGTGCATCAATTAAGTCTCAAAAAAGGGCCTATATGGGCTGGGCCTAAACGGGCCTAGGTGGGTCGGTTTGAGGGTTTCAAACCTAAGTCCAAGCCTTATCCAATTCAAGAGTGAGCCTAAAGAACAAACCGAGTTTTGGCCCATGGGGCCTTGGGCTACCCATTTTGCCCATGGCCTTAGGGCCAAATGATGAACCCTACCCCATCCTATGTTAGAAAATTTAAGAAAATATGTTTACTGCTGGAAGAACAAGAGATAGGAAGTTATGTTAAACTGAAGTGATTCTTCATTGATTGATAAACAACTTTAAACAATATGCACCGATGGGCCGAAGTCTGGCCCGACTCACTCTTGATTGGATATAGTTTGGGCCTAGAATTTGAAACCCTGAGCCACCTAGACCCGTTTGGCCTGGTCGGGCCCTCTAAGCCTGTTTGGCCCGACTCGTCTAGGCCCTTTTTTATTATTATAAAGATTTAATTGATGCACTCCTTAATCTTATTTTAGACTTAATCAAAATAATATAATATGTAGAATAACTTAATCAACTTTTTATTTTGTTTACACACGTTATGAATTAAGTTAATTTTTTCAATGTTGTATAGAAATTTGTAACAAAAATTTATAAAGACATTGAACTACAACCCACATCCACGTGCACTCCCTAATCTTATTGTATGTTTAATTAAAATAATGTAATATGTAGCATAATTAATAACCTTTTTTCTTTAATTTTACATATGTTATGAAGTAAGTTAATGTTCTTAGTGTTGTCTAAACATTTGTAATAAAAAGTTATAAAAGACTTATTGACCAGAAAAAGAAGACCCGTCTAGGCCCATGGGAGGCCCATTCCAGCCCGCCAAGCCTGTTTAGGCTTGGCCCAATAGGCGGGCTCGGGTCTTGACATTTGAAACCTCAGTTCGGATCGAAAAATTTAAAAAGCTCATGAAGCCCGATCGGAATCCAAAATTTCAGATCGGGCAAGCTCTATCCAGGCCTATGTCGAACCCTAATCACACCCTGCAACACCGCCACCTCTGCCATTATATTATATCCCACCACAATAAACTATCAACCTAAGACAAACTTGGACAACGGTTACATACACTTCTCATACCAGTCGACTAACATTTATGTTGATCCTTGTCCACCTTGTTAAAGAAGATTGTTGTGCAGTTTTTGCACTCCTATTTCCTCTTATAATTTTGGCGATGGACAGTCTTCCCATGATCCAACAACCCATTCATGAAGTTGAACTTGCTCCCATAAAGGTAACAACTATGCTTGGAGGACTCCATCTGTGAATATGACAAACAAAGGAGATGTGTTTTTAGTTGAAATGAAATGGAAAGAGAGTTTTGTAAGAAACAAAATATCTATGTTTCACATCTCTCTCTCTCTCTCTCTCTCTCTCTCTCTCTCTCTCTCTCTCTCTCTCTCTCTCTCTCTCTCTCTCAGTTACTCTCACTTTGCCTCTATTTATAGGCAAGATACTATGAAGTGGATAGGAACAACTAATGTGATAGAGAGAGACCTGATGGGCTGCATTGCCCATTTAGGCTTACTAAATGTTGTCTGAGAGTCATAACTAGGCACTAAGTGGATGTGAAAACTTTCCTCTCACAGCCTTAAATCAAATGAAAAATGTGAAAAAAAAATTTGGCCACATGGTTCACTCAGTGGCATAGTGAGAATATGGTTCGTCATAGTCCAGTTTGAAATTTTTGGGTTCGAGCCGAAGTTTCAAATGTTAAGGCACGAGCCCAACTATGGGGCTGATCCAGGCCTTCAATAGGCCTAGAGGCGCAAACTTTTTTTCTTTTTCTTTTTCTTTTTTCAATAAGTCTTTTATAACTTTTTATTACAAATTTTAAACAACATTAAAAATATTAACTTAATTCATAACATATGTGAAACAAAGAAAATAATTTATTAATTTATGCTACATTTTACATTATTTCAATTAAGTCTACATATTAAGGTTATTAAGTTATTCTACATATTATATTATTTTAATTAAGTGTAAAACAAGATTAAGGAGTACATCAATTAAGTCTAAAAAAAGGCCTTATACGGGCCTGGCCTAAATGGGCCTATGTGGGCCGGTCTGAGGGTTTCAAACCTAAGTCCAAGTCCTACCCAATTCAAGAGCGGGCCTAAAGAACAGACCGAGTTTTGGCCCAATGGGCCTTGGGCTACCCATTTTGCCCATGGGCTTAAGGCCAAATGATGATCCCTACCCCATCCTATGTTAGAAAATTTAAGAAAATATATTTGCTGCTAGAAGAACAAGAGATAGGAAGTTATGTTAAACTGAAGTGATTCTTCGTTGACTGATAAACAACTTTAAATAATATGCACAAGGCAACATACTCAGAAAATAAAGCAACAATTAGGATACCCCTACTCATTCCTTTAACATGGTATCCTTTCAATTTCATTGATGACAATTGTTTGTTTAATGGTTTGTTCAAATTTTCAATGTATTGATGGGAGCGTTTTAGAACCAAAACAACTGAGTTGATGAAGCTTGCTATTTGAGTCATCACCCACACTTGTAGTGCATCGTGATGTGAGAGTAATTGAACCACATTTGAATTGGTAGATTACTAAATTATTAAGTTTATAGGTGAATATTATAATTTATGACTTTAAATGTTTGATTTTTTTTACTATATCTATTTGTGTTCATTATAGATCCATACATAAACTATGACTAAAACCTTTTGAGACAATTTGGTCTATTTAAGTGAATTTTTGACTATACATGAAAGGTTTAAAAAAAAAAATTAACATTTATGAATTTAGATGCCATCTGCCGCCACTACCGCGGTATAAAGTAAATAAATAGTATATTTAGAGTCGCTTTAGCGGGTTGTATTTTCAGAGCCGTTTTCAAAAAGCTTCGAATCTCTCTCTGTGATTCAGTTTTGCTGGTTAAGCTTCTTCTCGGTGCAGTCAATATGCAGGTAACTAGATATCAACCCTAACTCTCATCTCAATTCGATATTCTCATCCAGTTAACGCCTAACTAGAAAGAAGGGACAAGAAAATCAACATCCTCAAGCTCTTTCCTTTTGGGATCCCAAAATCATAAACCCTAATTTTTCTTCATCCACTTCAAATTAATGAGCATAGCTAACTTTTTTTCTTTGATTGGGTTCAGGCCAGTGATAGGTTCAACATCAATTCCCAGCTTGAGCACCTTCAAGCTAAATACGTCGGAACCGGGCATGCCGACTTGAACAGATAGTGAGTGGAATCTTCTCTCTTGCTTTGTGTTTATAGTTTCTTCTTATATGATTATTTTGGAATTCTTAGATTCTTTTGCCTTTGAAATATGCAGTGAGTGGGCCGTGAATATTCAGCGTGATAGCTACGCATCCTACGTTGGCCACTATCCCATTCTTGCATACTTTGCTCTTGCCGAGAATGAGTCAATTGGAAGAGAACGCTACAACTTTATGCAGGTTCTCTCTACTGTCCTGCTTTTATGCTTTTGTGACTAGTAATTGATTGTATTAGGCTTAGGTTTAGCTACCGTAATCTGGATATGTTTTCTTGCTTTGTTGCAAGTGCTTTTGGATTTTCTTACTTGTTCGTAGCGTTAATGTCCATGTGTGCTTTTCCTCTGCGTGTCTGTGTGTTCGCGTGAGTGTGATATTGTAATTGTAGTGTACATTCAAATATTTGCTTACCCAGTGCAGTTTTTGATTCAAGGGTTGTCTTTCGTGAATTCATGCCGGAAGTGATCCTAACATTATAATGATGGATTTAATATTATGTGGTATGTGTGAGATCATGGTCGGACTCTTGAGGGAAGAGAAGAGTAGTATTAGCATCTTTGTAGTGAACTTTGTGCCACCTGGTTTGGCTAAAGCTTGCTTTCTTTCCTTCTTTCTTTTGGGTTACATGGGGGCAAGCCAGGAAACAAAAATCAAAACAATCATCCTTGGCTGAGCCTTGCCAGCCTTGTCGTCTAATACAACTAAAGCTTCCTTTTGTGTTTGAGCAGTTTTTAGTTGAAGTAATCCCTGTCTGCTTAGTTTTCTCTTTGATGGTGGGTGCAGCTTTTGTAACCAACCAGTAACCAACCATAGGAAGCATAGTCTTTTTGATTTAATATCTAGTGGCTAAATAGTTTTATGGACAGCTAGTTAAGCCGCATGGATTGAGATTTTACCAGTCTTGCTAATAGGTGCTTGATCAAAAAGAGGATGATCTTGAATTTAATAGTACTGAGACAAGAAAGGGTAAAGTTGGATAATGAACTTCTGAGAAGTTCCAGAAAGTTTATTTTAGTAAATCATGAAGAGGAAGTTCACTGGATGCTTTAGTTATTGTACTGTACTGTTCACAAGTAGTTGGGATATGGTTTTCCTTAGCAGTCCGCAGTTTTTCCACTCTAAGTCTACCTGGCTATACATTCTAGTCTTGGAATGTGACGTTGTCATCAGTGGCTTCCCACAAGGTCTATGTAATTTAAGGCTGTGAAGTTTCCAAAATCCTGGGAGAAATGAGTCTTCTTGTTGCATATTGTTAAAATAGATGCAATTCAACAAAGCATGATCCAAACTACTTGGCCGACTATGTCAATGCCTCTATTGAATCCTGTTGACCAGCGTGTGTGGGACAGGGCCCATATGTCTCTTCAATTTTCAAGTAAAGAAGTATATTATCTCAGTGTGCAGATTTTAAATATATGCTACACTTCTCATAAAATTTGTGTCGACCATCTAGAAAATTAAATTATGTCAAAAATTGGTTTCAGATATGCCTTCTAAAGCTCATGGGATATATTCATGAGTTTATGAAGGGGACATTGTGGGTATAATGTTGAATTGTAAGTTTATGTCACTAGACTTCAAATTCTAGGGGTTGATTATTTTCTCTCAGATCTATTTGTTTTATTTGTGCGCACACGTCTGTGCAGATCCATTCATTTGTACTTTTGTTTAACGTTGTTAACATCACTTGGTCCAGTTTACCCCACGCACGTAGTCTTGCTTGTTGCGCAAACTGTTTGCTTTTTTTTTCCCCCTCTATTTGTATGTTTATGGTCTGATGTGTTATATGAAATACACATGGTGATCTTAATATGTGGGCTGTAGAGATTGTATAATGTGTTAGTCATAATTTTCGAGCCGATACTTGTCTTATTGATGTATGAATTGATTTTATCTCTCTATTGTGCAGAAAATGCTTTTGCCTTGTGGTCCTCCCCCAGAGAGAGAAGATGATTGACCACTGTCGTAAGGACTCTGTTAATGATGACTATGCACTCTGGTTATTTGTACTGGATTTGCCCACATTTGTACGTTTAGCTTTCAAGTTTGGGTCTGCGGAAGTGATGCTTCATTGTAAAACTAATTTCTAGGAAATGCTACATTTTGCCGTGGAATGTATACAATATATATTATATTATCTTGGCTTTCTTTTCCATTTATAGTCTGACAGCATTTCTTACATGCTTAAAGCTTCTCGAGGGAACTGATAAGTATTTTAAGGTAAAATATTTTCCAACTTACCATAAGCCAATCTCTCTCTCAACTTGCATGTTTGTCATGTTGAGCTAATGACACCATGATCATTAGGTGTACCGTGTAACTGGTTATAGAAGAAATGTTAGGTGTAACCAGTTGTAAGTACAACGGTGATAGGGAAAGATTTCTCCCGTCATGGCACCATGATTTGACAAAAAGAAAAAAACAGAAATTAGACCGGATCTGCCTAACCTAACCATCCTTGTCTATTATGACATCAATTTTGTTTATGCTTGTTTATGCTTGTTTATGCCGTTAGATTCCGTGAAAAAATATGTTGACTTGCTGGTGAGGTACACGAGTGGCCCAAAAATCCAATGAAAAAAGAAACCTTTTATAAGAAAAGAAAAAGGAATAAAAAATGATAAAACAGCATAAACAATTACAATTAGCTTTGAACGGTTGCAACCGAAGCTGCTATTATGAGAAGAAAGCCCAAGTAACAGCACCTAAAAACAAGAAGGTTCTATGCATTGGGTTGATCTGGGAGGTGTTTTAAGTCCATTTCAACCTGGTGGATCGTCCATTGCATATTTTCCAATTCCTGCAATGGAAATGTTGACATTAGAGGATAGCACAGGAACGAACCAAGTAATGGACAACTGTAAGCATAGATATTACCTTTACTATATCATGGTACTGCCTTGCAATTTTATCAAAGTGAGGATCAACATCCTGGTACTCGCGAAGGCGGGTAATCTGGTAGAAGAAGATGAAACACAGTTCATAAAAAGCCAGCAGGAGAGAGATGCAGTTAAAACTAACAAAACAATGGTAAGGTTAGATGGCTAATTAAGTTGGATACACATTGTCAGAGAACGTTTGCTCAGCATATCTTAACTCATAGCTTGGTTGGTAACTACATTCCCTTAGAAAACCCAATATCTACCAGAATTCAGTTTGGAGCAACTCACAGCTTGATAGTTGGTAGATTAGGATTTAAAACAGCGACTTACCGGAGGCCAAGGAAAATAGACAAACAACTATTGAAAAATTAACTAGCCAAGAATGCCCCAAAAGAATGCATTACTACTTGAAGTAGCCTACAGCACATGCAAGCCTCATTTTAAGTAGCTCTATATAGGGGCACATTAAAATGACAACTCATGATCAGGAAAGAAACATATGAGAATTAGAATAACATACCGCTTTATCATATGTAGCATCAGCTTCTTTTGTAGAATCAAGAAGATACTTCCTAGACATGAGCCAAAATTATCAAAACAATCTTGAACTAGTATGTTGCAAATACTTTCAAAAGAGTAATCAATTAGTACCGTATTTTATATAGGGCCGGTACTGAATCCTTTGTATAAGTTTGACCAAGGACAGAATACTTCAATTTCCTGAAATTAAATGGGGCATATTATACTCATTACAGAATCAATTAATTAGATCATACTAGAATAAGTGAAAACCATGAACACGCTCAGTAACTGAACCTTTTCTGTTTGCATAAGAAACCAGGCAACAAACCTCAATTTTGCACTCATTGTCTCACACCTTTTGCACAGCCATATCTTTTGCTGTTCATCCTATAAATATTATTTACAATAAGTTTCAACGGTAAGGAAAACAGAATCCTATAATTAAACAAAATGTAAGGCATATCCCCAAATGTTAGAAGCTTACATATTTATGTTGATGTTGCAACTTCAAATCTTTGACCAGCTTCATAAGAACCCCCACTATCTGCTCCAAGACCTGGTTTGTGAAAAAAGACTTTATGTCACATACCCTCACAAGAAAAATGAAGCCACTAAGAATTTCAGGAAAATAAAACATAGATTGTATATTTTCATACATTATAATACTCAGAAAATTTTCTATCTGCAGAATATAGATCTTCCTGAAGAGCTGCTTCCTCCCTTTCCGTTTCCTCGATTATCAACTTTATCCTGATAAAATTGCGAGAAAAGTCCAACATATTATAGAACACACCATCACAGACGCATTTAGAACACAGTTTCTAGAAATTTAAAAATTCACCAAAAGCAATGGTTTATGGCTGCATTGCACTTGAGAGAAGTACAGAAAATAGTTGAAAACTGTAGTCACTTGTATATATAAGCAGCGTTAGAATTAGTAGTGTGAAAATGAGGCAGCCAATGATCTGGAGAATTGACATATAATCATTTTCGTAGAAAGAGGAAATGAAATTCGTTAAGCCATTGAGTAGTTAAACATGTTTTAAAGTACTTTTTCTATTACAACTACTCATGTCAGCTGCTAGCTCAAGTAACAGACTATATTACATGTCAAATAAAATTTACAAACATCAGTAGAAAGAATCTTGCTCCGTGTAAAAGAGAATTGTCTTAAGATAAACGTTACATTAAGAGAGTAACCGAAACCTTTCTGGAAGCGGAGCGCTTGAAATTTGATGCCCGGGTGATGAATCTGTAGCAAGAAAACAATGGTATTAATTTACGCCTATTACCACTATACATAAACATATTGCCTATTGGTATTAATTATGCCCAGGAAAGTATAAAGAATATAGATACTGTGTATTAAATTTATAGGATACTAGTAAACTTGATCCTCATGATCCTCTCCAGGAAAGAGAAAATCATAAGAGCAAAGATTGCATTGGAGCAGTGAATCTGGGGTATCCTTTCCCAGAATGAATAAGACAAAAAATAGAAATGATGCGGATCAACAGTTTGGCATGCAGATGACAGTTGACTTTTCATACAGAAATTGATTAAGTGGAGGCCCTGAGAAGTAGATCAACAAGTCAACATGTTCATCACAAGATTGTAATGGCTATGGAATCTGGATTATGTTCATATATGGGTGGGAAGAGAGAGTAAAAAACAAGAGAGAGAGAGAGAGAGAGAGAGAGACCTATGTCATCCATTACAAAGGCATCAGCTAACACATCACATTTAGCTTTCAAACGAGCCTCAATCTCATGGGAAAGACACAACTGGTATTCTGTCATATCCTGCAGTTTAAGCATCACAGATGTATCTCAAAAATTCCATTAATAAGGGACAGCTTCACCAAGGCTATATCTTCATATTAAAGGACTATATACAGAAAAATAACAGATTCTCTAAGAAAAGATGTTTAGAGCAGAAAAAAAAACGTAAACTATAAATAAATATGTAAAAGAAAAGGACAACTGTTTGAATGCCAGAACCATATGAACATTGTACCATGGATAAGGGGGTTTGCTGGAGCTGTGTTTGCCATAGATAACCAGGTGTAATCCCAAGAAAGCGATTGGGTACACCACCAATTGCAGGTTCCACAACATCAGCAGCACTAAGAGACATATTGTTGTTTGCTGCACTAGTGCTATTTGCAGTAGTACAATTTGTCGAGTTGGAACTTGAGCTGACTGTAAAACTGGTGCAAGTGCTATCAAGGGAACTCCGTGACATCATACTGCATTTTTCAATTTCGTCCTCATGAATTTCACCATCCTTGGAGATAAGAGGAAGCCTCAACCTTTGAGCTGCTTCCGCAATAGTCATACGATGCTCTAATGTTTCATACAGCTGATATATACATGAAAAATTAGGTTCTCATCAGTTTTAGACTACTTACATGGCTCATCTGCATAACAGGATACTAAGGGCACATTACATTTGAGCATCCAGTGAAGATTGAATTAGCATGTCATCTTTTGAAGATAACCTAAATTCTAATACACAAGTCTATCATTGTAACTATATAAAGTTAAGGTAATGATTAGATTAAAAATAATAATGAACATTCTTCCATGGAAAGCAAATTTTTGCAGTGGTTTGTCAGTCACAATTCAGATGGAGTTTGTTTTTCTTTTCACTTCATTTCTTCTTCAAAATGGAACAAATAGAAGGAAATAATTCAATTCCCATGCAAGGCAGGCAAATACGCCCTTTGATTCTAAACCCTACACATTGCAGTTCGGAGTGTCTCTCATACTTCATGCAAAATCATGACCTGACAACAGATGATGTGAAGCCAATTGAAAAGCAATAAATTCAAAAAGAAAAAAATGGGTAGACTCTAGAGGTTAGAATTGTTCCAAACTTGCAATAATAAAGAAAGCAAATTCAAAGTGTGACAAAAAGTGAAACCTGAGGAGAGTTGTTCAAGCCTTGTTCATACTCCTCCACCATTGCAATTGCCTCACTGTAAATTGCCTACATCAGAATTCTCACACAAATTTAAAATCCTTGTCAAATAGGAACTCCATGAATGTAGGAGAATGAATTACCATGGCTTCCAAGTAACGCAGTCTTTCGTTGGACATTTCCTCCCTGGCCTGCAAATTTGTCAATAATTCTAAGAAATCAAAGGAATTGTAGCCAGCCACATTTTCTAGGAAACCAAACAAAGCAGGGAAATGTGGAGAGAGAGAGAGAGATATATATATATATATATACAAGTTGGAGGTCGGAGTAAGCGGAATTGGAGACGAGGGAAGCATCGGGAGCCAGGCAGTGGCGCTCCAGCTGATCGATGAGATGGGTCACATCGGGTGGCAGGTTTTGTTGTCCTGGTAGTTGCAGCCCCTTCACCATTTCTCTCGATCACCAACCCAGAACGTTGTCGTCTTCGTTCGTTCCTTCCTTCTATATCTTCTTCTTCTTCCTTCCTAAGCCTAAGCATTAGGCATGCGCACTCGCAGGAGGAATTCAAATCAGTTACCAGCTTGATTTACTAAAATACCCTCATCTTCGCCGATAGAAAGAAGCATTCTCATCCAGGCCTAGGCACGTAATAGAGATCGGTATTGGATTGCTATTGGGCCCAAACCAGTTCCTCACCAAATTCAGATTTGAAAAAACAAATACCTTTCTGGAACAATTAACAATTTTGAAGGCCCAAATCAGTAGGCTCAAAACTGAATTTCCAACAAACTTATACTATTCGGGGTGAAGTTTGCTCGGGATGCTGGATTTTCTTCTATACTGATTGAGTCTGATTCTTGGGCATAAGATGGGCATTCATTGATGATATTAAGCGGAGTCTGCAACAATTTGATGTTACTGTTTCTTTCAATTCAAAGGAGTGCAATCAAGTAGCTCATCTTCTAGCAAGGCATGCAAGATCAACTAGCAATATATTGCTAGTGCTTACTTGCTGCTCTGTCATTTGGCTAACCTCTAAAGTGTGAGAGAATGAACAAACATTGAAAAAATGCAATTGACAAATCAATATATTAATTGAATTAGTACCTTAGTCTTACCCAACTCAATTTTCTCCAAACGTCATAGAACTCGAGCGCATCTTTTGTGGGTTCCTTGTAAAAGAAATATTCATCCACTTTTAACCAATCACTTGTACAAATTAGGGCCTCCGTCACTTTTGGAGTCAAAGAAACATGAAAAGGATTCAACCATCCAAAATGAATGCAGATTCTAACAATTTAAGTTGAGGATTATTTTGAGGATTTTAAACATCCCACCACAACTACTTATCCACTTCGTTTCTTATCTCAACCACATCATTCTCTTGTCTCACCTTCATAAACTCAGCAAGTCTTTTGACCTCAGTTTCTTCGTCATCATTTATTATAAGTTTATATCCCTCATCCTCTCCAAAATAGAATCAATGTAAGCTTGGGAAGCCTAGGGATCAGCTAGTCCTCATATATGCGTTAAAAGGTTGTTACATTTTTTGACCAAATGCTATATTTGCATTAATTTTCACTCTACCATTGGAGTAACTTCCGGCAACTCTGGGTGTAAATATCCTTTACATTTCCCTTTACACCCCTGCAATGGAGATGCTCTCATACTTAACCATTTGAAAGGAATTTAAAATAAATAAATAACAAATTACTGTACCAAGTACACTAATTTCATTGGCTGCCTGAATTCTAAATTTGTAGGGGAAATGAAGGTTGGTTGAGTTGGTAAGGATCGTTTTCTTCGCTATCAAGACTTAGGTTCAAGTCACGCTGTCGCCAATTCCTCTTGATGAGTAATCTGTAAAAACAAAAAAAAGGGTTAAGACCCCTTTTGTAAGTCCTCAAAGAGGCCTTAGTATGCCTGACCCATGGATTGGGTAGCCTCCCCTTCTCCCCCTAAACTTTTCCTTCATAAATAATAATAATAATAATAATAATAATAATTTGTGAGGTATGCATCTTTATTTAAAACGAAGGTGGAGATTAAAAGTTAAAAACTACTTAATTGTTGTCATGTAAATTTAATATAATAAATCTCATTACACCACAAAACATTATTAGACATTGAAATATGACCCTAAATACAATGGCTATGAAATTGAACACATAAACATTGCAACATATTTGTGCTCTCTGGCATCTACAACAAACTGTTATGCATTTTGAGTTACATCCAAAAGAAAATTCAAATGAAGAATCGTAAATACATCCATAAATCTGTAAGAGTTGAGTAAACAAAACAAAACCCAATAAGAAATATTAACCAGAGACTTGTGTCTAACGAGTAACAAAGAAAGTTTGATGTCTCCTCCTATTGAGTATATACTCTAATACTGGTATTAAAAACCTTGTTCAGCATATTGCAGCTTCAAAAGAATAATAACTAAGACCAAAAAAGAGATTACAAATTACTTCTTTCTATTTTTCTCACTCTATTTAGGTGAAACAAGGCTCTCTAAGTAGGTTTCAACACTACCAACTTTGTCGATTCCACGAACGCATAGATTTCGAAAGCTGTGATTGTTAAAATTTTACTTATCATTTACCTCTTTTATTAGTGGAATTTTATTTTGACAAATGATAGTTTAACTACAAGGATATTTTTACAACATGTCAATACACTCACAACAAAGTTACATCATAGTAATTGGGCAAGTCATAACTATGTATCAAACTCATCAAAAATATATATTGTCATCGATCTGTATAAGTCGACTGAAATCTCCTCCAACTAAGTAGTAAAGAGAACTACAACTAGATAAAAGGCTAATTGATTATTCAGAGGAACATAAAGTCGCAACATCCACCATCAAGTATATATTAATAAAGGTGACTACCAGAATCACTAATAACACAAAACAAACACACAAAAGGAGGAAACGAGAGGAGGTAGCGTTCCTACCCTAACGTTTTTCTTCTCTCCTTCGTGTGTTGGATTATTTATCCTCTATGCAGTGAAAAATAACACAACTAAACGACAGAGTCTCTAATTAAGCAAGAGAAATTGATGCCACTATGTAAAACATTTGTATATGCTCCAGTAGCTCTTTGGCATGTCTTGAGCTCCTTTGTTCCACTCTTGAAAACAACTCATTGCCAAGTTGCTCACCTATGTGTGCATCAATGAGCACTCCGGTCGCACTCCTACAAGTGTTGGCAAGGGCTCGACCGACTTCAGCTGCATCATCTGGTTGGTTTACTACAATGGGACTTCCTCCTTTGAAAATCTCAAGCTTGTTTATGGTGAATGAGCCATCAGCTTCCACTACTTCCCTGAAATCTTGCAAGCTTGAAGCATACACAGGAATATTGAAACTGTCACGTTTCTCACTATTGATAAGACCCTGCAAAAAAAATTGATAATTAATATATACATCACAAGTTTATGTCAAAAGTAGTAGTATAAATTATACAAAAACATAATCTAAAGCTAAATATTTATTTGATTAAATTTATCATCATGTGGCCCAATGGGGTCTAGTTCAATAAAAAGGGGCCTTTATTTGCTTACCAGAGGTCTTATGTTCAACTCCTCATATATATATATATGTAGTACATGAAACATTACTTATATAAGGCTGTAACTTGGACTACATAGTAATATTATTTATGGGAGAATTTCACTGACATCCCTAAGTTTAGGCATAATTACAATAGACCCCACAGGTTTGAGGAAGGGGTTTGTGTTTTAATTTTGTTTTTTCAGTCAATTAAATTATTTAAGGTAATAGAGGGGTAAAATTGACATTTCATCCGTCAAACATAATTTGCTGTTAAAATCAACTAACAGCAGAAGGGGTGTCACTGCAATAAATCAAACCTGTGGGATCTGACGCTAATTATGCCCAACCTCAGTGGTGGAAGTGAAGTTCTCCCATTATTTATTAGGGTCAGAGCACGATTTTCGCAGAAAAAAAGATGCAATTTACTCCACCGGCACCAACAATGAACATTCCTATTGTAATGTATAACCAGTGTCAACGAGCTACTCAATTGATCCCATGCTCAAGATCATCCCAAGCACCCAGCAGCCAACAATAGTTATTATTTTGCGACAATATATATCATGATTACCTCTTGGACAAGATCATCCCAAGCACCCTGAATGTAGGTCCCCAAGAGAAGGCCTAGGCCACTTTGGTCAGTGGGGTCCACTGAGGTCCTGCCCAAACAGACAAGAAACATAGAGCCACCTTTCTTGAGCTCCTTGGCTCTTGACCTGAGAAAGCTTGCCAAGTCTGTCTGGAACTGCTTCTTGTATGCATTGGCTGTGCTCTCATTTGCTCCATGAATAAACACCCTTCCTTTGTTGTAGGCTGCTGATTTCATGTCTAGCACACTCTCTGGCACCTGGGTCCACGCAACACAGAAAAGAATTATCAACTAATATTAGAGGGCATCTTGAAACAAATGATAATGGAACTTGCTCAAAAGAGAGACTCTACATAAATTTGCTGCCAGATTATAATTTTAGCTCAAGAACTAATAATGTTATGTTTGGTCCTCTTTACACAATAAACATGAAGTAACAAGAAGACCATGATGCTCTCTTTTAAGTAAGTTCGGTTAATATCTTAGGAAATATTAAATCGTTTGGTTAATTTCAGTTTGGTACCCTCCAGTTACTCTTAAGACATTTTTCTATTTGTGATTTCAATTTTAATAATGAGGTACTTTATGTTTATAAATCTTTTGCAATGTGACTTTGCCTGTAATCTTACCATTATATAATTTTCGTTAGTGTTGATGTGGCATATGTGGGGCCGCCTTTTAAAACTAAATTGCTGAAAAAATTAATAAAATATTAAAAAACTAATTAAAAACCAGAAAGTAATAATAAACCCTTATCCCCATCCCGACCCCTTCCAACCTGCACCACCCTTGATGCGGCATGTTTATTATTGTTACTTTCTGGTTATTAGCCAAAAATAATAAATGACCACACCAATATACATAAATAATAATACACCAAATACATATGTACAATAATAAAAATATTATAGCTAAACAAATTTCCGTGGGTATTGACTTACGGACCAGAGATATCAAATTCGAATCCCCACGACATCATAGTTTGTTTGTGTGTGTGTGTGAAATCCCCCTCCCCTTTAGTTTAGACTATCACTTGTACTACAACAAAAAAATACAATGAAAATATATGCCTCATACAAATTAATCTTTTTCCCTAAAAAGTAGTGATTAGATAATTGTCGATCGGAAAATTTTGTTGATATATGCCAAAACAAAATACCTAAATATCTAATACATGATAGGTAAATAGATAGGTACATATTCATGTAGAAAAAAATAGGTGCATTATTTAGATATAAAAACGTAGGTGCAGAATTTATAAACTAAAATGAAAAGATAGGTGCATTATTTACATTCATTTTAGCTAGGTGAAAAATATATAGGTACACTATTTATCTATATGCACTTATATTTTTCAAATACTTAATTTACCTAGATTATATAAGTAAAACTTACCTTACTTTTTTTAATATACATTAATGTAAGTGTATTCATATGTACATTAATTTACCTATATTTTTAAGCACAATGATTTACTTATATTTGTAAATACAATTAAAAATAGGCACATAGTAATTTTGATTTTAAAAGAATGGGTACATTAATTTATAAATGAAAATTAAATTAAAGAGAATTCGTAAGAATTGATGGAATGAAATTGGATATATTACAAAAAAAGAAAAATCCCACGCCAAAAGAAGACAAATGAATTGTAAAATAAACAAACAAAAACATTAAATGCCACCAATTTGGCAAAAATAAACATTAAATTGCACCAAATCAATTGAAAAATAAAGTCAACAGTGTAATAAGAAATCAACACAATTAATTGAGCAAATGTAAACTATGAGGGGTACTTTTGGAATAAAAAAGTATAATGAATTATGTTAAGTTTGATTAGGTCATTCACACAAGTCAAAATGTTAAAATGGTCCAGTCCCTTTAAAATTGGACAAACCGGTCCAACGACAATGACATGAGAAGCTGGACCATTTTGTTTTGGTGCCCTCTTATTTATTGTTACATGGTGAAACCCCTAATTGCTTTGTACTTTTATTTGGTCATTAATAGTTCTTATCGCTTATTCTTAAAAGAATAAACAATAAAGTAATTAAGTGACTAATTATTAGCTAGTAAGTATCTATCACAACCAATAATGGATTAATTACCTGTGAGAGCCAATGCAAAGAAAACGCCGAGTGAAAAACGTCAATGGACCTTGAAGGAAAAAGCCGCCTGTAGAAGGAGCCGGGTACCCCTGCAGCGAAGTAGGAGCGGTGGCTGTCGGCTGCGACGGTCTCCTCCATGCTACCACTGTGGTTGGCCATTGGAGAGAGGAACTGGAAGAGGGTGTTGAAGTCATTGCTAGGGAGATCAGAGAAAAAGGCTGCGAACTGAGGCGGGTGATATCCCAAGGCCTCATAGCGCTTGGCCATGTGTTTGATGATCACGTCTATAATGTAGATGGTGTTGCTTCCACTTGAGCATCCAAGGTCCACAACCACAAAGGGGGCTTCTGGAGAGCTCAGTTCCACTCTGTCTAGGGTTTCTTTAAGCAGGGGAAGCATGGATCTTGCATGTTCGGCCTGAAAAATTAAAGACACAATTATTTGGGCACATAAATTAAGCAAATTGAAACATTTAATATTAATGGAGTAATTACCTGGGATTTGGAATTGTTAGCATAGCTTAACTCTCCTTTGCCTCCTTTCATGCTTAGTATCTTCTCGAGCTTTATACTTGAAACTATAACACTGTCTCCCTTGGGAGCCATGAATATGATTAATTAATAAGATTAATACTGTGGTAAGGGTGTTGAGTGTGATATAGTGCATTTTGGAGTGCCATGATGCCGAGCTAGCTCTTCCAATTGTGTTCCCTAATGGGCACCCAGTTGGCACAATGCTCCTTAATTAGCTTAAAAGTATGGGGCCTATATGTTTGTCTTGTCATTTTGTAAGAACTTGATGAATTTTCAATATTATTGAAAATTTTCGTATTAATATTATTGTCCTTAAATTATTATACTTCAATGTTCTAGAGATGTTAGTAGGACAAAAAGATACGAATTTCATTGATAGGAAAAATTACAGAGAATTGATCAATAGAAAAGACCCCTAAAATGGAGGGTTCTAACCAAAAGATGAAAACAGAAATTCAACACAAAGGCGAGAATGAGCGAAATTTTTTGACAACAAAACCAGCTCACTAGAAGCCAAACCAAGAGGAACATAGAGCAATCGCACCGTGCAGACCAGCGCCGAAATATTATTTAGACCGTGGTTTTCTTAACGCAATTACATACTCTTTTATAGAAAATTTGGCATAAATTCAATTATGAGGCACACATAAATTGTTGTTGATTCAAGTCCTTCGATATGCCTTGTATGCGGGTAATTAAACTCATTAATTACCTTTGGTCCAGGTAATTAAATTCATGAATTACCTCTAGTCTAGGTAATTATACCCTCTAGCCCAGGTAATTGAATTCATAAATATCTTGTATGGATCTTTAGACTCATACTGAGATAAAAATCCATACAAAATTTCTTTGGAAAACCAAAACAAAACTATTACATGGAAGGCATGAACGTATGTGTGTGTGTGTATATATATATATGTACAAGGAAAATGCATTATATATATATAAGGAACTGCATACACATACACATATATATAAGGAAACACTGAATTTTAGGAAAGTATTTTCATATAATTCCATTTATGATAATGGCATATCCTGTAAATGTTTTAAAAATTATGAACATACTAATTGCTTTTGGTGAGACTGGACTGCAATTGAAAAGAGAGAGCATGTGGACTGCATCCATTACATCTTAATGAAAATGGATCTATATCTAAGAAGCCCTATCTTTTATCAAATTTCAAGTGCCATTTTCTTGTTTTTATGTTTTTTTTATCTTCCTCTACCATTTTCAATATCTTTTTGCCTTATTTTGACTTGGATTGCAGTAACCAACTATAATTCAAAATTTTTTTAGTGTATATATTTAACAAAGTATATTTAATATCCTTTGCTAGTATTGATGAGTAGATAGATAATGTGATATGTAAATTAATAGAGTATATTAATCAAATTTAACAATTTTCTATCAAGTTAAAACAGAATTCAAATGTCACCTTAAAAAAAAATATATTTCAATATATGAGGAGTCCCCTCTATAAAAAATTTATGACTCCGCATCAAACTCCCAGCTCCAAGAAAATGAGCTGGGACCACACTTCATCCAAGCTCCCAGCATCAAACCACTAAAATTTTCCACATCAGACAGCGTCTTCTCCAGAAAATGAAAACCCCAAACCTCGTAGAAAAAGACAGACATGGCAGGTACAGGAGGAAAGGGAAGAAACACCAGCAAAAGCCAGTGAGTAGACCCTAGAGCAACCTAGGGGAGATAAAAACCTTGCCAGAAAGTAAGGGGACCAAAAGTATCCTAAAATTTGTTTACACTCCCATTTCATGTCATAATTCAATTTTTATCCATTATAAGAGAGAGAGAGAGAGAGAGAGAGAGAGAGAGAGAGAGAAGGGTGGTTGGAGCTGCTTGGAGGGAAAGGAGGGAGTGGACCTGGTTGCCATGGGTGTTTTCATTTATCTTTTTGTTTTTTAATAATAGAGAACGTAATTTCCGACGTAAGTCCCCCACAAAACATGATTTATCAGAAAATTTAATCAATGTGGTTAATTTGCACCGAAGTTCAACTTTATATGGTAAATTGCCAAATTTTTGTATTGGGTGGTAAATGTACACACCCCTAATTGAAAGTCAAAAATAATAATAATGCATTTGTTGAGTTTTAAAGTATAATTAGGATGAAGTTAGCTTCAGTCAACTCTCCCTCAAGAGTAACCACACTAGAGTGTTTGAAGGTATGTGTTGGATCTCACTTTAAGTGTCCAAGTGTAAGGGTAGGATTTCAGTCATCAATTCCTGCAAGAGAATAAGGAAATGTCACGGAAAAGTGGTGGTGGAGGAACCACCAACCACCCTCTGATACCTAAGTGGTAAGAAAAGTATTGTACTTAGAACGGAGGAAGTTCAGATTACCTTTTAAGTGGAGAAGTACGTCTGTTTTATAGTTAAGGAGATGGTTTCTATTCTTATGTTGTTTCGACGAGGGATTGAAGATTTGTTAGTGAAGTGTAACCTTCTGGGTGGTTGGTCAATTGTGGGCTGACATATGTCTCTCCTTTTTGGGAAGCAAGAGTTAGTGCAATATTCATGGGATGATTGGTCCTTTTAGGAAAACTTGACTGACATACTAATAGAGGTATGAAAGTGGTAAGAATATCAAATTTTAGGTATCAAAATTGACATGAAAAAACATCATGTAGGAAAGTTTGAATCTAGTGAAACTTGCGTGTAATAAAGTGAAATTTACCCTTAAAAATAATAATAAATTGGATTGGTCTACTTTGGTTTGGTCCGATTTTATGAGGTGTAAAACAGACATCGGAACTGGTTTGAACCTCTATGGTTTGGTTTTCACCTTTTTTTGTCAACTCAGTTTTCAACGATTTTTTTCAATCCGGTGCGACTCGGTTTTCTGTTCTTGATGCCCACCCCTACTTAGTCCATTCGTAAAAAATTTCGTTAACTCATGAAGTAGCAATTACTAGACCCATAAATTATTGAAAAATAACAAAATCATTTTTTTTTAATTATAGAACTTTGAGAAATTGTAAATAAAAAATACAAATAAAGGAAAAAGCAGTACAAGTGTTTAAAATGATTAAAAAGTATATGAAAATAAAATAAAATATTAAAAATATTAAAGAGTATCCAACCCTCCGGCCTACCCCATGTTCCCCCAGTTCCGTCGTTAGGCCCCCTTCCCTACCCACCCAACAGTACGCAGCCATGCCATCCCCTCTGTATGCGTCCATCACTACCTAACCCTTTAGCCCACCGCCACACTTGTGTATTAACTTTACTTTTGTACCTAAGGTTTCGAGCCATTTTTGTTTGCCATTAATTTCAGAAAATTTCTTTACACCAAGACTATACCTCGTCTCCACGAGCGCATAGAGGTACTCATGGAGGTAATAGAATTTTTCTGATTTTGTAGATGATTTTTCAAGAATGACATGGATATATTTCTTAAGGCAAAAATCAGAGGTACTCTTTATTTTTAAGCAGTTTAAGATCGTGGTGTAGAATCAAAGAGGTTTGAAAATTAAAACTCTAAGAAGTGATAGAGATGGTGAGTACACTTCAAATGAGTTCGGAAAATTTTGTGAGGATACAAGACTTGAGGGACAACTCACTACATCTTATACTCCACAACAAAATGGAGTAGCTGAGAAGAAGCACATGACTATTGTTGAAATGGCAAAGTCCATGTTACTTGAGAAGGGCCCTGTGCGTTTTGGGGGAGAAGTGTATACTGATGTGTATTTGACACCATTTGAAGCATACAGTGGCAAAAAATCTGTGAGTTTTTTGAGGGTGTTTGGATCAATATGCTATGCCTATGTTCACAAAACCCTTAGGCACAAACTTGAAGAAAAGAGTGAGAAGTGTATCTTTGTCGGGTACAACAGTCATACAAAGGGTTATAGACTCTACGACTTGAAGAAAGAGAGAGTTATAATTCGAGGGATGTTATTGTAATGAAGAAACATCTTTGAATTGGAAGAAAAAATCTGTCTAATGCTTTCTTTTTTTGAGTACAAGCGATAGTCTAAACTACAGGGGAAGAGGGGTTTCTCATACTCACACACTACTATGACGTCATGAGGTTCAAACTTGAGACAACTGGTTTGCAAACGTTCTTTTCCACTAGGCTAGACTCCATTGGTATCTGTCCAAGGTTCTTCACTTCAATTTAATGATGGCATTGAAGTAGAAGAGAATGAAGAAGAAGTTGAACATGAAGTTCCACCACAATCTCCTCAAGTAGCAAGTCCAACACCTCAATCACCAGGTTTCAGTTCTAGTTCAACTCCAAGAAAGAAAATGAATCTCAATGGTGTGTTTGCTAGTTGTTATGTGTCATTGAACCAAAGAGTTTTGAAAAAGCTGTGAATGATGTAGCTTAGAAGAAAGCTATGGAGGAAGAAATTTCTGTGATTGAGAAGAAATCCATTTGGGAATTAGTGGATACCCCTGCAGCCCTCACTCCTATTCAGTGAAACCATCTAACTCTTCCACAACGCATGCCTCTTTAGTCTCAACCAACAACCTACACCCGAAAGAGATAAAGGAAAAAACAAAAAACAGAAGTTTGTAATATTAAGAGAAGAAAGTCTACAAGTTTGACAAGGTTTTCCCAACTCAAACTCACACCCAGTTATTCAAGCTCAAACTTAGGTTCCCAATTGCAACCAATTATTCAAGCTAGAACAAATGATAATATTAGCCTTATGGATCAGATCTATTAGCCCAAGGCAGTCTGAGAGACTCATCAAGCCAAATCATGCCACAACATGAAAATTGAAAGAAAACATGACATTTGGAAGAAAATCAAAAAGAAAAATACGTATTAAAGACTAACCTGCGTTTTGGAAATGTCGGCATCTTCTTTGCCTCCATCCAAGTTCTCAACCTCCATGTTAGAAACAACCACATGCTGTCCATCTGAAGCCATATTTATCAGAAATATAATTCTATGGTTCTAGGGTGAAATGATGCTAAATTGTTCAAAGCATATACAGTGAGAGGCAAAGTATTTGTATAGGTACAATTATAGATCGAGAGCCAAAATGGGTAACCAACAAGAGAATTGTAGAATGAAAAGATGGTGCAAATTCATGGAACCTGTAGCCCTGTTCAGTGCATGCAATCAATCACCCTTCTAAATATATTTATAAACTATGTAGGGGTGTATTAAATTAGGATTTAAAACGATTTTGCACATTCTAGAAAATATCATGAAAATATACAAGATAAATATCTTCTTCTATCCTTTTTTTTTTTCCTCGATTCAGGCTTTAATTTCTTAAAAGATAATAATAATAATAATAATTCTTTGGTTTTGATGATGGGGAATGCTAGCAACCTTCTTTCTTTCTAACCTCTTCCTTTGGACCTTCTCCTTTCTCCCTATGTCATGTGTCACTTTCCTTACACTTAAAATAATGTCATTAATGCATCACACAAACTAATTTTTGTTTTCCAAATTTACCCTTACTAAATGTATTGGTTTTGGAAAACAAAAATTAGTTTGTGTGATGCATTAATGACATTATTTCAAGTGTAAAGAAAATGATGTCATAAGGAGAAGGGAGAGGGTCCAAAAGAGAATGTTAAAGAGAAGGTTACTAGCATTTCCCTTTGAGGATTTAGATGTTGGGTTTTGATTTGTACCCAATTGGGGCGCAACTCATTTGCTTCGCGGAATGAACTTTTTGGGAATGAAACTCACATGTATAATCTCAAAATATGAGAATGAAAGATTTTCATTCTCATATTTGGTAACGTTGTGAAATAAGGACCAGGAAAGATCACTTTCTCTCATTCCCATATTTAGTATGTGCAATTTTGGGAATGGAAAGCTATTGATTTTCTAATAATACAGTTTATTTTTTAGTAAATTGAGCTTAGACCCATAAAATTCATTTTAAATCACCTACAACCCTTTCCTTTAGTTTTCTATGTAAAATACCCAATTTTTTCAAATAATACCCAATGACTAGGATCCAACTAAGTAAGTTACCTAATATAACTTAAAATCTGATTTATTGTATTTTTTGGATTCCAAAACTACCCATATTTATAAGTTAATGTATTATGGGGGGTGTAACTAATGACACCCGTTGAATTTGGAAATATCTCCAAATAGTTGTAATGGATGTAGGAACTAATTTAGAAACTTATTTGAAATTAAATATTAAATTCCACATTACAGTATTAGTAATCTATTTTACGACTAGTAATCTATTTTTGAATTAATGGTGTTTTCCTTCTATGAATTACGACTAGTAATCTATTTAAAGTATTAATAATTTAAATTCAATATTAAATTTAGGAATTAATGTTGTTTCTTTTTATGAATTATACGACCAGTATTCTTTTTTATTTTAATTTTATGAATAATAGTGTACATTCTAATTATGTTGAAAAATAATTTGATAATCTATTTATTGTTTTGTTTTTAAAACATTTTTTTTAATGAACCTATTTTTTCTCCAAATATTGTACTAACCATTTGAAAGGAATTTAAAATAAATAAATGACTAATTCTGAATTTGTAAGGGAAATGAGGGTTGGTTGAGTTGGTAAGGATCGTTCTCTTCGCTATCAAGGCCTACATTCAAGTCCTGCTGTCGCCAATCCCTCGTGGTGAGTAATCCATAAAAACCAAAAAAAGGGCTAAGACCCCCTTTGTAAGTCCTCAAAGAGACATTGGTATGCCTGACCCTGGGATGGGGTAGCCTACCTTCCCCCTAAACTTTTCTTCATTAAAAATAAAAATAAAAATTGTGAGGTATGCTTTTTTTTATTTAAAACAAAGGTGGAGATTAAAAGTTAAAACTACTTAATTGTTGTCATGTCAATTTAATATAACAAATCTCATTACACCACAAAACATAATAAGACATTGAAATATGACCCTAAATACAATGGCTATGAAATTGAACACAGAAACACGGCAACATATTTGTGCTCTCTGGCCAAAAAAATAAAAAAAAAATTTGTGCTCTCTGGCATCTACAACAAAATGTTATGCATTTTGAGTTACATCCAAAAGAAAACTCAAATGAAGAATCATAAATGCATCCACAAATTTGTAAGAGTTAAGTAAAAAATAAACAAAACAAAACCCAATAAGAAATATTAACCAAGAGACTTCTGTCTAACGAGTAACAAAGAAAGTTTGATGTCTCCTCCTATTGAGTGTATACTCTAATAACGGTATTGGAAACCTTGTTCAGCATATTGCAGCTTCAAAAGAATAATAACTAAGACCCCAAAAAAACAGTACACATTACTTCTATTTTTCTCACTCTATTTAGGTGAAACAAGGCTCTCTAAGTAGGTTTCAACACTACTAACTTTGCCGATTCCACGAACGCATAGATTTCGAAAGCTGTCATTGTTAAAATTGTACATAACTAACTTTTCTCCAAACACCATCAAATCATGAGACTTTGTCCAGAAACCAGAATGTGACAAGTCCCAATATGGGATGGAGACCCTCATTTTAGTCCAAGACTTACCAACTCTATATTCCTTCATGACCCAAAACTCATTGTATGTTGTTTGATCATAATCATCCTCATGCGTTACACATAACCATTCCCTGAAGACCCCGAGCTTAATACGCCTAGTTTGAGAAGAGTTCAATTCGCGCGGCAGTAGCATTTCTCGAACAAACTCCTGTTCTTCTGTTAAAATGAGGGAGACAATCAACAAAGATGAGTGATAATCATCATCTCCGATGACTCTTGTCCCCAACCAATGGAGGTTTCCATTCAGTAGGGTCCCTTTATTTCGACATGGATAGATGTGGTAGGGAAATAGGTACGGAATCTGTCGCCAAGAATTGGTTTCCAATGTATACACATCAAACTCAACCCCTTCATCCGTGTAGATGACGCCATTGACGACCTTGTGTTGATGAGTGGAAGAATCAAATCCAAACCCATATACATTACAAAAGTAGCGGTCATCAATTTGATATTGGGTTGGCATTTCCGGTAGTGTCTTGGATTGCCTTGTTGCTGGGTTAACCAAATATAACTGCGGGTCATACAAAAACATGCATAACAACAAGCCGTTGCAGCAACCCAACATGGACACCGAAATACCTGATAACTCGCTATAAACATACTGGAGCTCCGTGGCTGTTGTTACTAATAAATTACTATCACCAACCTCGTCATCATCATCATCGAAATCGAAACTGTTACGATTGCGATTATCGTGATCATATGATGCATCTTCTTCGTTGTTATGATTGAGAAACTCATCATTGTAGTCAAGGTGCATAGATTGGAGGCCATTACCTGCGGCATCAGTAAAGATGACTCTTCTTCTTCTTCGGAAGAGTAGATCATCTTTATCCTCCCCAATGCCTTTGTACAAGTGCGATGCAACAAAACTGGTGTTGTCGGAGATTAGGGAACTCCATGGCTTTGAGACACACTTGAAGCGGCATAAGGACTTCACTGGTAGCCTTGATAGAATCTCCTCTATCATCGTTGATGGAAGCTGGCCATTAGTAGAGTTAGAGTTTCCGGCGATCGTTAGCCCCGGCGCTTCCATATTTTCTTTCTTTCTTCTTCTTCTTCTTTCTAACTAGTAGATAGAGAAAAGAAAATTAATGATTCCGTACCTCTAGCTTCTTCTTCTCCTTCCTTTGTACGAAAGTACATGTGGGTTAATAACTTGTGTTTTATAATATTAAAGCTCCAGGAGAGATAACTTATATATGTATTAGGATAGTCATATTCTATTCGTGTTTGATTGTCTACTGAACAAGGAATCCATTAGCGTTAAGGACCCCATGGTGTGTACGGACGTAGTTAAGAAGGAGTCTGATTGAAACTCTTTTTTATTTTTTGATTGAAATTTGAAACTCTTTCCTCTAACCCTAACTTTGTGTCTGCTGTCCACTCGCACAGACTTGGAGTTGAATTAATGGGTTTTTGTTGCGTTAGACTTGGACCTAACCCATTTACTACTCCAGTTTTGATAAATGCTTCTAAATTTTATTTTAGATATCCTACTTCTCTTCCAATACATCCCCTAATATACAGATGTCAGGCAAATGAAATTACAAAAAACACCTAAATTCCTCAAAAATTATATTGTCCTCGCAAATATATACTTCATCATGAATTATATAACCAATATTTTCTTCTTCTTCCTTTTTTGGTTTGTAGAATTGGATTATAGTACTTCCACTGCTACACAAAAACTAATAGATGATGAAAAGACGTGTAAAATTTAGAAGCCTACTTAGACATCTCTCAAATTATGTTTCCCCAATATTTAGACATGTAAAATTGGGGAGAGGGGAATTCACAAAGCTTAAGTTAATAAAAAGAGGAAGAGAAAAATAAATAAATAAATAAGAGTTTTTACTCTAAAGAGCAAACATATAGCAACATATATAAGTCAAAATTTGAGAAAATAAAAAATATGAGAAAGGGACTGGCCCACCCTGGTCCTTAGGTGGCTCTGCCACTGGTCTTTTTAACATATATACACGTCATTTAAAAATATTGTAAAATTGCCTGTTTTAAAACGGTTTTACTCTAGAACCGTTGTATATCTACATACCAAAAGCTGATAAATTGAAGGAACCATTGTAAAATGGCAAATTTCACAGCGGTTTCAGGACAAAAGCATTGTAAAATAAAAATATTATCATTCATAACGGTTTTAGATCTCAAATTGTATGTAATTAATTTCTGTTTATTTTTATTTATTTATCAAAGATAGGAAGATATATTAGATGCGAATAGAACAGTTTACATCATGGGCAAGGCAATTAAACAGCCATTCAGGACACACAATATCCCAGCTATGCCTGCCACCAGTACGAGAAACATGAGTTGCCACTTTGTGAGCAGCTTGGTTACAAATCCTTGGAGCATACAAAAAGTCCACTTGGTCAGCATGTTGAGTCAAGCATTGAATATCAAATAGAATACCTTCAATCTCCAAATCCACCGCACCCTTCTTATTGAGCATTTTGATCAAGCTAAGTGAGTCAGATTCCACTGCCTCTGCCTCCGCCATTAACGCAGAGACACAGCGCACGTCCCCATAACCCCCCGCACTAATAAAACAGCCTATTCCATCTCTGAGCACCCACCCCACCCCTCCTTTTCCTGTTTGAGCCTCCCATGGCCCATCACAATTAAGCTTGACGAAACCCAGAGGAGGGAAAGACCAGGCAGATCCAGCCTCACCAACAGAACCAGAAGGCACACCCCGCTGTTGCAGTTGTGTCTGCTCCACCGCATGCACCTCATTGAACTCATCCACCTGTTTCAACAACACGGCCACCGCATCACAGGGTTGTACCAAGACCCCAGTGAAGACCAAGGCATTTCGACACTTCCAAATTCTCCATAGCACAAAAGCCACCAGTTGTAGAACTTTCGCTAAACGCCCCCTGGGTTCATACAGAGCTAGCAATGCCATACAACAAGCCAAAAAATCCCCAGTTCCTAATGTCCTGACATCAAGTTGTAAGCTAAGAAGCATGGACACGGATACGGATACGGCGATACGATACGACACGACACGGGGATACGGCAAATCTCCAAAAACTAGGATACGATACGTCATGGATACGGCAATTAAAAATTTATATTAAAATATAATAATAACAACATATATAATTGAAAACATATTTTAATTAACATAAAAATTCAAATTCATCAACCAAATTCAAATTTAAACTCTAGAAAAATAAAAATAAACAAAACAAAAGTTTCAATCAACTACAATATTCGTAATGTCTTCTCCGGTAAATAAAACAACCTCCAATGATGGTTCATCTAGAGAAAGGTTAGCAATTTCAAGCATCCCAACACCTTCTTCACCCAAGTTATCAAATCAATCTCCTCCAATATCCCACATTTGAGTAACACATTCTTTGTAGCTTGGGCTCTTCCTTGATAAAAGACGAAGATTATTATGCACAAATACCAAGTCTTCAGCTCTTTGGGGTGTTAACTTATTTCTTCTTAAAGAGTGAATGAAACTATATGTACTCCAATTTCTTTCACAACAGGAGGAGGAACAAGGTTGTCCAAGTAGCTTCAAAGCTATGGATTGGAGATTTGGTGTTGAAGATCCATAAACAATCCACCACACCATTGGTTCCATGTGAAACCTATCATTCATAGCATCAATAGCTCCAAAGTCATCTAAGCACATTGAAAAGGAGGCATACTCCAAATTGATATCTCTTCTAGCCCGGTCATCTGAAAAGTATTTCTCAAGACATTTTTTTCTTTCCCTTGTAATCTCGGCATCTTGGTGTGGAGTAACACGACTAGGATCCTCTTGCAGCCATTCTGGACTATAAAACCTAAAAGTAAAGTGTGGTATTATTTTATAAAATTATCACAGTATAAAAAGTAGATTAAATACTTTTAAAGGAAATAAGCACATAATACTTACTTAGGATTTAAAGAATGTGCCAAACAATGGAGTGGTGTGCTACTCTTAGTCCATCGCTCCAGTATAATTTGATACACCACATCAAAAAAGTCGTTTTGTTCATGCAGTTGCTTGTGCTCTTTCCTATAGATAGCTGACTTCACATTCTCTATCATGGTATCCCACCACTCATAAACCAAATGAAGAGAAGGTTTATCGGTGTCAGCCATCCTAATCATCTCATATATAGAAGCTGTAAAGGAAAGTATATAATCAATCTCATCCCAAAAGTATTCATCCAATATCTTTTCCTTCACTGCTCTTGCTTTGCCAACATCATCCTCTTTATATAAAGACCAGTTTGGACTAATCACCATTTGTTCTAGACCTTCCTTTACTTCCTTAAATCTTCTAATCATCACAAGTGTAGACGCAAACCTTGTTTCAGCAATGGAGAGCAGCTTCAATTTGCAGTGGTCCTTATACATAGTCAATCTCATATTATGGTTCACAATAAAATTTTTTATGAACCCAACATCAGCAGCAATCTCTGAAATCCAACTACATTTATCATACCAATCGTCATTTTGTTTTGGTGAACATATGCTCTTCAAAGCAAGATTAAAAGTGTGAACCACGCATGGTGTCAAAAAGATATTGGGATATCTAGCCTCAACAAGTAATCCAGCAGATCTACAAACTGGCGCATTGTCAGTGATTACTTGAACTACATTTTGATAACCAATTTCCTTAATGACATCGATAAGAAAGTTGGCAATACAATGTTTGTCCTTGTACTCTCCATCACAATTAATTCCCTTCAAGAACATAGGCCTGTTCTCACAAGTTGCCATAATGTTAATAAGTGGTCTTCTTTGTGAATCTGTCCACTCATCACTACACACACTTACACCTTTAGTGCTCCATGTACTCTTAATTGGATGTAAACATCGCTCAATGTGCCTCTTCTCTTGTTGCAAAAGAGTAGTTCTTAGTGCATTGTAACTTGGTGGAACATATCCTGGAAGTTTAGAAGCACGAAAATAGGAGTTTCGATAATGTGGATTCCTTGCCAGGTGGAAGGACAATCCACCTGTATAAAACATCCTTGCAACTTCAGCATCACATTGTTCTCTAGCCTCATTTTGAAAAGCTCTATCAAGGGGCCCATTCATTCCCTTTCTCTTCTTTTGCTCAACATTATACACAGAAGAACAAAGTAAAGAACCAGTATTAGGCAAAGACACTTGTCTTGGAGCTGCACTTTTCAACCGGTGTTCACATTCTCTCATAAGTTTTTTCATTTCTTCCAAAACTTCATTAGTAACCTTTTTGCAAGGTGCAATCCCGTTACCCGACATTTTCAACAAATGAAACTTGACTCTAGAGTAGGAGCCTTTGTAAGTATTATGACAATAATTGCATTCAAACATAGTATTTCCTCCTCCTTTTCCTAACTTGTCAAGCATTTTAACATACTTCCATAATGGCGCATGATCATCTATCTTGATTTCATTATTCTCAGTAGAATTAACATTAGCACTTGCATTATTATCCGGATGACTCATGTTCCTGATTATAAAAAAAATTCAACATATTAAATATAATATTATTAAATTAACTAACCACAATTTTTCTTTTTTTATAACAATCAAATTGGTTGTCACGTGGAAAGGAGGGAGGTGGTTTGATTATGTAATATAATAGCTAAGATATATATGTGAACTTGCAAGTATATATATATGAAATATAATAATAATAATAGATTGTGTTGAGAAGTTGGTCGGCTGAGATTAGTTTGTAGGGTAGAACGACATCACTTTATTATTTGAACAATAATAATAGATTGTGTTGAGAAGTGGGTCGGCTGAGATTAGTTTGAGATTAATAATAATAATAATAGATTCGGTTCCAGTCAAAACGACGTCACTTTATTATTTGAACAACTTAAAATCAAAATCAAAGGAATGAAACACTATCAGAGAAGAGAACACTATCAGATAGAGAGAGAGAGAGAGAGAGAGAGAGAGAGAGAGGTGAACATACCGACGGCCTCCAAAAACACAGAGAGCAGTTTGAGAAACTGACAGATGAATTGAAGAACCAAGCTTCTTTTATTTAGGTGGTGAAGAAGATGAAGAAGAAGAAGAAGATGATGATGAATTGATGGTACGGGTATGGTTTTCCTTCTTCTTTATTTATATAAAGAAGATGAAGATCTGTAGGAATTCAATTAGGAAAAGATCTTCAAAGTTCCTAAACAAAACAGGTATCCATGTTGTTCAAGACTTCCTAGTTCTGTCAAAATTCTAATTTTAATTTTTTTCTGAAATTTTTTCCTAAATCGTATCTTCAAATTGGGATACCCGTATCTGTCATGTCAGATACGCGTATCCTTTTGTGATTGACCGTATCCGTTGACTCTAATATGTATCCCGTGCGTATCTCGGCGTATCCTCTGCGTATCGTGTCTCCTGCGTATCAGACACGGGATACGTTGGTCTCCATGCGTATCCGTGCTTCTTAGGTTGTAAGGGACTCGCAAACCACATTGCTCGAGCAAAATCACAATGAAAAAAATAGGTGTTCTTGCTTTTCATCCTCATGATCACAGAAAGCACATCCATTGTCCACTGGCACCCGTCTCTTTTTCAAATGATGTCGCACAGCCAGAGCATTCCGGCAAGCCTTCCAAATGTGCGAAGTTTAGGAGGGATGCGCAACTGCTAGATTCCTTTCCAAACAGCAGCCTGATTGGACTGCCTGCTGCCTTCCCCATCCCCTTTAAAGCCTAATTCCCCATTTCGTTTCAAATACAACGCAAGACCATATCCAGACCGTACCGTGTAAACTCCTTGCTTGTGAAAATGCCACATCAATCTATCAGGGCAGCCCCAACGACTGAGTGGCATGCTTGTAATCAACCGAGCTTCATTCAAATAAAAAATCCTTGAGATTAGATCGCACATCTATACCTTCAACTCAGAATCAATCAGGTTAGCCATAGTCAAGGGTAGGTCCAGATGTCGTGAACTCGTCTTAAAAGTGTGAGGCTTTGGTATCCATGGGTCCTCCGTGACCCGAATGCTTTTTCCATTCCCCACCCACCAACACAGACCAGCCAGTAATATCCGTCTCCCCTGCATGAGCCCTCGCCATCCCCAAGACACTGTCCTCCCAACCCTGGCCTCCATAAAACCCACACCTGAATGGTACTTATCGTGCAGCACCCTCCCCAAAAGGGATTGAGGCTGGCCCAAAATCCTCCAACCAATCTTCGTCAGCATAGCAAGGTTGAAACAAACCAAATCTCTAAAACCCAAACCACCATCCTTCTTGAGCATCGATAATTGTTTCCATCCCACCCAATGAATAAGATAACGGTCCTTCCCAGTTTTCCACCAAAACCGCGCTATCTCACTCTCTATTTCACAACACAACCTTACCGGTAATTTGAAGCATGACATGGCATGATTCGGCATTGCCATAGCCACTGCTTTGATTAACACCTCTTTCCCGGCAGTGGATAAAAATTGCTCAGCCCATCCATGAAGCCGAGCACTAATGTTCCGGCGTACTGAGTTAAAAATCTATTTGTTTGAGACACCAAAATCTGCTTCACGGCCTAGATAATTACCAAACCCGTCCTTCCCTTGGATATGCAACAACTCAGACATATTCCTACACAATCTTCTGGGGCATCTATGATAAAAAACAGGGAACTTTTTTCAAAATTAATGCTTTGGCTCGAGGCAGCCGCATAATCCTCCAATACTGTTAACAAACATCTCGCCTCCCGCTCCGTCATTGGAAGCCAGAATCAAAACAATACAGAATCATCAGCAAAAAATAAGTGAGAAATTGAAACCCCCTCATTCCGAAATTGGAAGCCATGCATCAAAGCCGTGAGCCCCTCAGCACAAATAAGAAACAAGAACGGTGACAAGGGATCCGTTTGCCTCAGTCCCCGACGTGGAATAATCTATCCTGACGGCTCACCATTGAGCAAGACACTATAAGACACAGTAGTCACACACTTCATAATCCACCCTCGAAACCGACTATCAAACCCCAGCTTCTTCATCATGGCCTCGAGAAAGACCCATTCCACTCTATCATAGCCATAAATTGTATATCCGAACCCCGAGTTATTTTAAGGGAGTGCAGGATTTCATGAACCACCAAAATATTATCAGTAATTTGTCTCTCTACAACAAAGGCCGACTAAGTCAGACTGACAACTTGAGGAATGACTTTCTTTAAGCGGTTGGTTAACACCTTGGATATAATCTTATACACCACATTACACAACAAAATAGGTCGCCATTATGTCATTCTCATAGGATTCCGCACTTTTGGGATCAAAGCAATGTGAGTGTGATTCAACTTCCTGAACATCCGTCCATAATGGAAAAAGCTCTGCACCAACCCTAGAATGTCATCACCAATAGTGGACCAGAATTTCTGGTAGAAACTGCCAATGAATCCATCCGACCCAGGTGATTTAATAGGGTCTAGTTGCTTGACGGCAGCCAACACCTCATCCTCTAGAACCGGCTGGCTCAGAGACATATTGTCCTGAGAAGTAACAGATGCCCGAACACACTCCAGAACGGCACCAACACCCATTGGGTTATCAGAAGAGAAGAGATCCTGAAAATAGGATTCCACAATCCTTCTAATATCATATGCTTCCGCATGCCAAACTCCACTTGGATCCTCAAGCCCGAGTAATCGATTAACTCGTCTCCAGACTAGAACTTTCAAGTGAAAAAATTTGGTGTTCTTATCCCCTTTGCATAACCACTGTACCCGAGACTTTAGCTTCCAATACTCCTCCTTTAGTAACTCCTTTTTAAGATCCACTTCAAGCCGCCTCACCTTATTACCGTCATATTCACAAGCCTGGAGCTCAGTTTGTAGCTCCGTTCTCAATCTATCAATGCAAATTTTGGAGTTTCGCCACTCTTGCCGTTTCCAATGCACAAGGCCCTTTCGTACCCATTTAAGCTTCTCAAACACTTGCAAACCCCTAGACCCACGAAACCCCCGCCGTCATCGCTCCTTAACCAATCATGACACCTTTCCAACGCACTCCATCGTGGATAAAAAAATAAAACGAGATGCTCTACGTGGAGAGGTATGCAGAGTATAGAGCAACAACATAACATGATCTGAGCCCTTAGCCACCTAATGAACCACGTGCGCTTCAGGGTAAGAACGAAGCCAGTGATCACTAGCCAGACCTCTGTTAAGTCTTTCCTGGATACCCCCTTCATCCCGTATATTCCTCCATATGAACGGACACCCCTCATATCCCAAGTCCAACAAATTACTAGACGTAAAAAAATCGCGGAAAGCATCCATGCTCTGCACGGTACGCGGGCGCCCGCCATCCTTCTCCGATGCCTCAAGAATGTCATTTAAGTCTCCCATGACTAGGCACCCTTCTCGACAGGCGTTAATTCGCTCCTGCAAGACACCCCATGCATATACCGCAAAAAACGCAAGGAATAATTCAGCAGAGCATCATGAACTTCAACTTCTATAAGGAATCCAGCATATTTAACCAAAACAACTTGTTGAGCATCCTTCCAGAACATACATAAACCACCACTTAACCCCTTAGGTTCCACCACATGCATAAAATTCATTCCCAATTGTTTCTTCAACCACCCATAGTGGTAAGCTTTATTTTTAGTTTCTAGCAGCACCACTATGTCGGGAGCCTGGAGCCTAACTTGCTCCTTAAGACTTGAAACTATTAGGGGACCCCCGATACCCTGGCAGTTCCAAACGAGGAGTATCATGGCGACCATGGAGACCTATTAAGGCTGGTCTCCACTACCTGAGTCAAGTCTTCCACAAAGGGCAAACACCGTTGTACCTCACTAGACGTATCTGACACCCCAAAACGAACACTAGAGTCCCCATATCACTGCCGCTTGCCAAGTCTACAACGTTCAGCTTCCTCCCGCCCCATGCTCAGCGTACCTTTTCTCTTTGCTCTACCTTCCCCACTCCGTTGTGTACCAACAATCAAATGACCCAAATTAAAGGGGTCAGAATTCTGAGTTAGACTCCACGAACGTCCCAAGCCAATATTTCCCACTACTTGCTCCTCCACACTATCTCCTCCGCCTACAGCTAGCACTTGCTCATCTACAGTAACATTTAGATCCAAACCCTCACCCACTGCTTCCACATCCTGCATGTGACCTGGCCCACTATGGTAGGCATGATTATCCCCCTGTCGTGTGCTAGAAGAAACCGTATTGGAAGCTGAGTTATGAGAAAGGGTCCCTTCCCGGGAGTCCCCACGTCCAAGATTAGCCCAGCTTCCCATGCCGCCTATTTAAGTTGCTGATTCGTTTCCTTCCCCTCGCGTTGACTGCGTATCAAGTCAGCAACAACCGAAAGCCGAGAGCCAGACTTGTTCGGTGACGCAGCAGTGTCTTCCAGCTCTGCCCCTTGAACTCTCTCACCCCTCCACGTACCATGCTGGTCCGCACGACTACCATCTCTGCGACCCCAATGGTTTTCACCATGCTGTCGACGCCCCTAAAAGCCAGGAGTCAAATCATCGTTGCCACTACCACGTCCAAGACTCCTATTCTTGAAGCAGCGAGTAGAGCCCTTAAGTCTTCAACCTTCGAGATCCTCCATCGCTTCCAGATCGACATAGGCCAACAAAGCTTCCGCATATGTGTTATTGTTGCCCAACATTAAGAATTGTGAAACATTCAAAATACCAGAAAATGCAAAAGACAGAGAAATGTGAAATATTCAAAATACCAGAAAATGCCATTGGTTAATGCAAACATTAAGAATTGAAATTATTAATTAAATGAGGATAATATAGTAAATTCACACCTTTTCATATAAAATTTTTTAAAATAAAAATAAAAATCAGATAATATATCCTATTTTTATAGAACACAACTACCCGTTATCTTTTTAAAGATTAATGCTACACTTACCACATTTTTATCCCAAATTTCTATATCACATGATGTGGCATGTCCATATTATATGCCACATCAATTAAATCAATGAAGTGTATTTTAATTAAGGCAATTAGAAAAAAAAATACTGGAATAAATCATAAAAGAAAAGAAAATATTAAATAATTTTAATTGATGTGGATATCCACCTCAGCTGCCACATAAGATGATATAAAGATATGGTATACAAATGTGGTAAGAGTAGCATTATTCCCTTTTTAATTCTAAAATAAATTTAAAATTTTTTGAAAAAAGCCTCTCGCAAGCGCGGAAGCGCGTGCAGAGAGGCTAGTGACTAATTAAAGCAATGAGTTTTAATTGGTCATTAATTGGGTTTATTGAGTGATTATTCACCTAAAATCTTGTAATTAAAATTTAATGGCCAAGATTAATTTGTATTAATCAAGGGCCATGATTTTAAACCATGGGAGCTAGGGTTTGGGGTCTAAACTGTTTTATGACTTATTTTAAAGTGAACTTTCATAATATTAAATATTATTATTATTAGTTTCCATTTAAGAGAGCCTGAATTGCACATTATTATGAATAGACTAAGGCCCAATTTGGGATTGCTGTCACTTTTAGAAAAAGTTGCTTCATTGTGCTTTAAAAATAATTAGTTGTAAAGTAAAGTAACTCTATGTTTGGTAAATAATATTTTTAAAGTGCTATTAGTACAAAAAACAATGTCAAAACCGTTTGGTAAATTTTAATATAAAACTATTGTAACTGTGAATAATGACTAAAATATTCATGATGTTGAAAGTGTTATATGCTAATCATGTGGTGGTAGTGATGGTGGTAGGGTGGGGGTGGGGGTGGGGGTGAAAGAGATAGAGGTAAAGGTGATGGTGGTGTTGAAGGTGGAGCTGGTGGTTGTGGTAGTGGTGGTGGTAGGGATGACGGTTGTGGAGGTGGAGGTGGAGGTGGTTGTGGTGGTGGCAATGGAGGATGAGAAGGAGGAGGAGAAGGATGTGGTTGTGGGGGTGGTGTTTGCGGTGGTTGTAGAGGTGGTGAATGTGGAGTTGGATGTGGAAGTGGAGGTGGTGTCATTTTTTAAAATGAATGATGGTATTTTAGGAATTAAAAAAATTCATTAAAGGCTCATCTTTGCTTCTTTTAAAGCATCTTTGAAAAGCAACCCAAAGCCTGCTTTTAAAATGAATGATGGTGCTAATCATGTGCTACTTGCATTTATAAATGGAAGGGAAGATCTTGTTATGGTCCCTCTGGATACTCAGTGTTTCTGGGTTAGGGTTCGCCGGATTACCCAACTTTTTTTTACGCCAGCAATGGGAGAAACAATAGGGAATTTCCTAGGTACATGCGTTACAATTGACTGTTGACTCAATGGGGATTATCTAGGCTTATTTTTGCAAATTCGTGTCAGTTTGAAGATTGATGAGTTATTGAAGCATTGTGCGATGCTGTGTTGAGTTCCAGATGTACCAACCGAATAGTATGAAATTGAGTATGAACGTCTACCTTTCTTTTGCCTTTTTTTATATGCGACTTAACCATGTGAGAATCAATTGTGAGTTCAAGCAGTCTGGGGTTGGAGATTGAGCAATATGTGCGGTGGAAAACTGCAGTGAAGAAGGTTTATAGTATTTATGTTGAGAATGGCATGAAATCCAAAAGGTTTGGATTGTGGGAAGATAATTCACGTCAGGTGTTACGTGACCAAGGCGTGCAACTGTTTGGAGTTGTCAAGGCTGTGTAATGGCCAAGATGATGGGGGAGACTATGATGGAAATGGATGCGGACATAGAGGATATAGTTCAGCGCTATACACTAAAATAAAGAAGGATTGAGGTCGTTTGAGTGCACGAGGTTGATTCTGGACATCGGACCGAGTTCGTAACTGAACATTTTTGTGAGGTTTTGGTAACTACAAATTATGAGTTGGTGGATAAGAGTGATGTAGGGGAAGGTACTAGGAGGGCATTTTTGGTATAAAAAAAAAGAGTAAAAATTTTAAATTAAAATAAAATCTCTTCCCCCTTTTCTCCTTCTAAGGAAGCCATTTTGGAGGTTCTAGAAACTCTAAAACAAGCCTCCCAAATGCTAATGGTTCAACAATCAAAGCTCTACTATCAATAGCTTCACTGAATTCGAGAGTATTATGTACCCTGGTCAATTGATAAAGTCTCCACTTCTTGATGGGATTAAGTTCAATGGTCCCAAGATCATAAGCTTCTTGAAAAATGAAGACCTAGAACATGGCCATGGTTTGTGTTCTTCAAATTGGGTATTTTGGACGCAAGGAGGCCATTGATGCTATGCTTGAGGAGGGTGTGTTAGTTGAGTTGGGAGGAGAAGGGAGAGAGGTTTTATTTTTAAAACTTTGATATTTTTATTGTTTATTTTAAAAAGGAATGGAGTTTTAAAAATTTGTGGACCAAAATGCCTCTCATTAAGTAACAGAAGTTAGAATAATTTAACCAAAATTGAAGATTGTCCTTAAATTGTTTTGAATTCCAAACCACAAGGGCAAAAGTGACCAAATTGAAACCACATGGGAAAGGTAGTGTTTCGCTTCTAGTTTTGGTTTCAGTTTATCCTAACAGCATTACCTCTTATAAAAGGTTTCCATACGCAGCACACTGCTCTGGATGAACCCAATCAAGGTTGAGTATGCACTAGACTATCAGTGAGTGGACATTTGTTTTCTAAACAGTTTTTGAAAGTTAAATTGATTTATGAATATTATATTTATTGCTTTTATACTTTCCAAGCATGTTGTTAATAATTTATATTCGGATTTTAAATTGAGATTTGCTTAAAATGATTATGCATCTTTATATTGAATGGCTTGGAAAGTTGAGAAATAAATTGAGAAATGGCTTTAGAAACAAAGTGAAGACGTGCATTCCCGGGGATAAGACACGTCAATGACATTCATTCGTATTTACAAAAAATGCCATGGTAAAATACACTTTTTCTTCATTTGTATTTACCAAAAATGCCACCGCTTAAACTCCACCACTGTAAACTCCATGCATTTAAATAGTCCCTAGTAATGTTGTCGCCTAAAATTAAATTACACTTCCAGCAGAACCATAATAAGCCCATTGATCTCAAGATCATTGAGTCAGAGGGGAGTAGTGTTTTTTCGTTAATCTTTCTTCTTTTTGTATGCATGATATGAGCTGAAGAGGTGTTGTAAGTTTAAATGGTATATTAAAAAAGCATTTGATGGGTCGATTGGCTCAAATATTTCCTCTCACCAATTTATGAATAGTTCCCATGGTAATTAAGTGACAAAACAACATAAACTTATTTTGATGAATGATTTAGAGACATGAACTTAGCTGAGTTGGCTAAACTTAATTATGATTTATTAATCATAAGAATATAATACTTGTTCGATCATTTACTGATGAATCCATGACAGACTTAATTGTTGATCGTAGTAATAAATTCATATTACTGGGTAGCAAGAACAAATATGCCTTAAGCATACAAGTTGATCTAGGTACCAAATTAAAATTAACCCTTTAATAAATTGATCATTGTGCAATCTTGCACTATCCAAGTGTAGACATGGGCTCACAAACACAATAAACGTCTATTTATGTGTAAATTATACATGAACCGGTAACATGACATCAATATAAACTAAAAGTTCATTATTTGAATTGACTCTAACATGTGTTGAGAATGGATAGACATATTATGTAACAACCCGGTCCTTAATTAATATTTAATTATTAATTTATTCTAGTAAAAGACCATTATACTCCTAGAATATTTTAATGGTTTAAAAGTTGACTTTTTGACCGGGAAGGAATTTGGGGATTTTAGTTATACCGTTGCATATAGTGCGATGAAACGAGTCCGTAGACACGTAGTGGACTCAAATCGGAGTTGTAACGAAGGAGTTACGATTAAAAGAAGTTCAGTGGCATAACCGTAAATATTTCGAACTTCAGTTTATATAAACCCAGAAATTTCTGGATTCGGGGGCACGACCAGCCGACTTTGAGAGCTGTTTTCTCTCAGCTCCGACCTCCGATTCAGGCAATACCAGTGCCAAATGAACCACGAAACTTCCCTCTTCCAACCCCAGCCCTTCACCGCTTCGATCCTCCGCCATAGTCGCTGGAAACAGTCACGAAATAGGCGGTGCTAGACAGTTTTTGACAGAATTTCCAACCTTTTGTTCTCTGTCGTCCGGCCACCAAATCGGACGAGTGAGGTATGATTTTCTAGCTATTTTTCATGCTCTAGCTTCTGGTTTGGTAGGATTTCAGAAATTTCAAGCGTAGATAGCTCGATTTACAAGTTAGGGCCTTAAGGTTTGTGTTATTGTTTTTCAGGATATTTTGGTCATTTACGACCCACAGCCACCAGGTGTCAGTTTTAAACAGGTTCGACCCAGATTCCAAAGTAGAATTTGGGTCAGGTCGTTTCATATTAAGCTATTGACTACGTGATTTGGACATTTTCTTTAAATAATGTTTCTTAATTATGTGTAAATAATGAACTTAATTTGTCAAATGTTATTTTATTAAGTTTCTTGTTGATTTTTTTTAATTATAATTAAAATTATATTGGAGTGTGAAACAGATCCTGTCGTGTTACTTGTTTATTTTTTAAGTCGAATTCGTGCATGAATTTTTTCACCGGTTATCTCAATGGGTTATGTCGTGTGAGCCCTTTAAGAAAGCAAACCAAAAAAATATTTATCCAACTCACATCCATGTTCATAAAATCTACTCAAACCAAATAGAACTAACTACAAGTACATCAAATATTAGTCGGTTTGCTTTGCAAAAACGAGTACACTTCCATGTCTAATAATACCAACAGTAACTAGAGCTAAATAAACAGTTCTCACAAACCAAGAAAAGAAGAAATTTATCTGAAGAAATGGAACATATTGAGCCACTTCCTCGGATTGCGATTCTTCCAGAAGATTACAGATTCTTCCAGCAGATTACAGATTCTTTCGCCTTCATCTCGCTCACTGCACTGCACTTGCCACTCGAGAACAACAAAGAGATTTCCCATATTTGTTGCAACACTCATTTTCGAGAACAGAGGCCCATGCATTTTTTCCATTTCTCCTCTCTCTCCATACTACTTCAACTTCTGAGTGAGAGACTGTTGCATTAATTGCCGACACACTTTGAGAACTTTTTACTTCTGTTGGGTATTTGGATTCATGAAAAATGAAGGAACAACTATATGGAGGAAATGGATTGAACCAAGAATTGAAAAGAGAAATCAAGAAGAAAGAAAAGGTTCAAAAGAAGAAAGAAATGGCCGGGAGGGTTCTTGGTGGGATGAAAGAAATGAATTCGGATGGAATGGAAGGAGGAAGATTTAACAAACAATATTGGAAGGAACAAAATATAAGCAATGGATAATGGATTGAACGAAGAAATGAAAAGAAAAGGCAAGAAAGAACGAAGAAATGGATTGAATGGTTACATGCTCCAAGGGTCTTGAATGGTTCGAGCCGCAGGCCTTCTCCGTAGCCCCAGCCCCGGCTCCGGGTTGGAGGGCCGAGGAGTGCGGAACCTCAGGGGTTGTTCCGGAGGCGTCGTGAAAACATACTCAGTTGTGGACCCATATGGGTAGGAGTGGCGACAGACCGGACATTTGATCACATCCTTCAACTTCATGCTCTGGTGTTTTTCGTACTTTTTGTTGCATACCCAGTGGAAGTAATGTGAGCATGAAGACACTGATATAATTTGCTCCAAAGCTACATCCTTCCAGCAGATTGGACACCTCCTATGTTCAGCATCATAGAGGGAAAGCATTGTATCCATGGTTGGTTTGGTTTTCAAGAACGAAAGAGAAGACAGCTTCTTGATGGATTGATGAAATGAGGTGCCTCAATTCCACGGATTGATATGGAATGGGATAAAAAGTTGCATGAGGGTTTTACAAGGTTTTGTGAAGGTAGAGGTAGTCAGTTTGGCGGTGGTGGGTGGTCATCTCACCTCTCATTTGGCTCATTGGCTCATTTTCATTTTGTTAGTTATTCCATTCAAGTGGCTGATTCAGTTGGGGTAGTTAAATTTCATGCAAGTGAGAGTTCATAAAACTTGTTTTAAGAGATAAGGTTGTTTAATTTTCTGTTAATATATATATATATTGTAAAATGTGGGTGCAACACCCCAAAAACTATACTGAATCAATAATACAAATATTAGCAGTAATATTTGTTATGATTAATTATATGGATATATTTTTAAAAATTAATATTTTAGAGGGCTAAAATTATAGCTCCAACTATATTTAGCCGTATGACTGGAGATGGTCTAAGAACACAATATCTTTGAAGATAGCCTAAGAAGACAATATCTCTCTCTCTCTTATGGGTCTTTCAAAGGTCTTCTTTGTTGCTCAAATACGAGACTTAAGTGACAAAAATCCGATGCAAGGAAGGCAATTACGATTCCTCTATGCAAGGAAGGCAAATACACCCATTGATTCTAAACACTACACATTGCAGTTTGGAAGTGTCTCTCGTACTTAATAGAGATCGGTACATTCGATTGCTACTGGGCCCAAACCAGTTCCTTACCAATACCAAATTCAGATTTGAAAAACCAAATAGTTTTCTGGAACAATTAATAATTTTGAAGGCCCAAATCAGTAGGCTCAAAACTAAGTTTCCAATTAACTTATACTATTCCATTAATCACTTCACAAAAACTAATAAAAGTAGCACCGGCACTTTTTTTTGACAAATAGGGTTATTCATAGAATCAAGATAGCATACATAGAACGACATGAAACATTGATCTTGTTAAAACCTTTCCGAGGGAGAAATCCTAGGGTAGGAAAGAGTGTCACACATATGCAGTCATAAATAAAAAATAGGAAAATATGTGTCTTGATTGTAGCTACTTTCTCAAATTTAGGATGCTAGAGGATTGATTTCTTAGGGGGTAATTTTTGCTCCCACAAGTATATTTCTAACAACTAGATTGATTAGATTCTCATAAGCAAATTCTTCATTCGATTCAACCATGTCGATTTTAGAAATTAGAGATCTAATATAATCCGTTAAATCATCAAAACAAATTAAAATTGAATTGATTTGGACGAATTGGATTGTGGATCTTGCACACCCCTAGATACAACATATGAATTGGTTATAAATCTTTAAATTCTAATTTTCTAATGCACTATTTACCCTCTTTTTTATTTATTGAAATGCACTATTTACTTATGTGTGCTCATCAGGGAGAATCTTGGTCGTTGCACGAAAGAGAATCTTGGCCGTTGAACGAAAAAGAATCTTGTTTGTTGGTTTTGATTCCTTAGAGCACCTCCACCGCTCAACACAAACCTGGGCAACAGCCCCCCCAAGCCCAAGTTAGGCCCTCTAGCACACAGCCTCAAGCCCAAGGGTAATTCTTGACTGGGCTCTAGCCCGAAGTCTCGGACGTCATGTGTGACGTCACGCTGATGTCACGCATGACGTCAGCAAGGTGAAATCAAAAAAAATTTGCTAAAAAAATTCGAAATTTTTTAAAAAAAATTATGGATTTTTTCCCTATAAATACATAATCATTTTATTCACTTTCCACACCAAATCTACATACAACTCTTCTCATTCCAATATTTTTTACTCTCCACTCATTTTTTTTTACTACTTTCCATTTGTGAAGAAAATCTTATCTGAAATTTGATGGACACGTGGCAACTGAAAATCTTATCTGAAAATTTAATTCTAAAATTTTATCTAAAAATGTTATCTGAAATTTTATGTCATAATTTATAATAAATAGTGACATGTGGCAACCGAAAATATTATCTGAAAAGCTTATCAAAACTTATGTTTTAAGTAAAAAAATAATAATAATAATAAAGTAAAATGAATAGTATTTATCATTATCCTTGCCTTTTGGAGTGGAACCAAAAAAGACAAAATTGCCACGTAAATAATGTCAAACCTTGCCCCTGCCTTTTAGGGTGGAGGTGCTCTTATGGGCAAGGAGGGTTATCCTTCATTAAAACCTTATGCAATTGGAAAAGACAGAAATCCAAATCCCTGCATAAAACTACAAAACCCACCCCCAAACAACCAAATATTTACGTATTTGCCCTCTATTTAACAAACCCCAATATGAATGCATAAGGATATTTCTTCTTCTAAATCGGAAAAGTTGGGAGGACCATTTTGTCTCCTGCGACTTTGATTTTGATGGAAAAACGAAAAGCCGTCGCTTCTCTTGCAAATTCTTTGAACAATTTAGATTTGAATTCCAGATCCAATCCCAAGCCCCAAATCCCTCAAACTCAATCCTCCAGTACGTCCCAAGTTTGCATTTTTATTTCATCGCTTATTCCCTCAAACACATTATTTTTGTACTTACTTCTATATGCATGGCAGGAAGGCTGCTTGAAAGGACCAAGTCTCCTCCCAGCTTACAAAGCTTGTGTCTTGGAGTTGTCGGCAAACATTTGGAGGATATAATCCCAGACTTGTCAGAGATTGCAATCAACTTTCCTCCAGATGTTAAGGTTTTCTATCCTTATTCATAAAACCCACATCAATTTTTGTGTAAATTTGAGTTTTTTTTTGGGGAAAAAATGTTCTTGGTTGCTTTATGGTTAATGGGTTTTTGTTTGGATGTAAAATAATTAACAATTTTTGGTCTCTCAAAAGTTTTCATTTGATGATGGTAGATGGCACTGGTGGCAATTGCTAGAAGAAGAAAGTTACTCGACGATGATGTTATTGTCTCTTTAGCTGATCATACCTGGAAAATTCTTGACCTTTCTGCATCAGATGTTTCGAATTTCGGCTTAGCAAAAGTGGCTGAGATATGTACATCTCTTGGAGCTGTTGATATTAGGTATTGGAGTAAATAAGCTACTTTTTAAATACTAACCAGCTATTAAGGTGTTGACCTTATCTTTTATGATATGCAATCTGTGAACTATGTATGTTTTGTATAATTTTTAAGTTCATCATAACCTTGAGCTATAAATGTATATATATTTGTAAGCAAAATCCTAGGTATTATATGTGATATGTGAGGAAGATAGTTGCGTGGGCACGTAATATGTGAGCAAAATCCTAGGAACATATGTAATATTAGTTAGCATTTGTTTTAATCGTTTAAGTAGGCATTAGCTAATACTTAACTCATCAAAATGTCTTTTGGTTTTGAAACGCTGTAATTACACTGAGACATTTCTTCTGCAGCCGGTGTGACAAAATTACTACTTCTGGAGTTTCTGAACTTGTGCAACATTGCCTTTCATTGGAGACGTTGAGATGCGGGTAAACACCCTCTCCATAGCATAATGAAATGTTTTAAATTTTCATTACAAGTTTCTATATATGCATCTCTTTGTCATGGTCCTGACCTTTTTGAATAATCCAAAACATTCCATAACTATCGTAGAAGTCGGAAGACTTTGATATTTTTGTATTGAGTTTATGTGCATGTGACATGTGACATGTCTTATTGATATATCAACACTTATATGAACTTGGAATTAGTTCCCTCTTTCTTTATTGCTTATAATGTGATGAGCTCACACTCAGTTTTCTAACTGCAAAGTAGACAAATGAAGAGTGATGTGTTTTTACCTTGGGACTGTAGAATGAATTAATAGCTATTTGATTAAATCAGATTTCTACCCTCTGTAGTCTAACTACAAGGTGCTCCCAGAATCTATCCCCCTATTTTTTTGGTAACCATCATATCAAACTCTCTCCACCAAGGAGGATTGGTGCAGACTAAGTTACTCAACCCTGATCATTCTTTACTTTATTTTTTGTTCGTTCCATCCCATGCTATTTTAGTGGCTCGAATACTGTGTTTGACTAGGAGTACAAACTTCATAACAGGCTATGAACCAAAGTTAATGTTGCAGAGGGAGCCCAAGGAGTGACCACACTGCACGCAGGTGCTTGGATATATTTAAACCGAAGTTGAATGATGTAGAGGGAGACTCCTGGGAAGAACTGAATACTGAAGAAATTGCTAATGGTGCACAATCATTGCGTTGGCTTGTGTGGGTATGTACTTAACATTTCCCATTATTATACTTTTTTCTTCATCAATGATTTAGTTCTTTGGTTTGATCTTTCTGACCACTATGGTTTGAGAAATTTGTGTCATCTCTTCACTTACAGTGTAGAAGCATGAATGTCTTGACTGCCTCTCTATTGTTAAACACATACATTCTTTGCATTAGCAAATAAGAACTTGTAATTAGACAGATTGGGTTCCCATGCCTGCTTACACCAATAGATGGACTCGATTTTGGTTCACTGTAACTTGTCCAAAAAGTGGGAAAAGATTAAAAAGAACATACATGCGTTGCATTACCAAATGAGAATTTGTAATGAGAGAAATTGTGATGCCATGCCTGATGCCACCAATAGACGTAGACAATTTTGGTTCACTGTGTGAACTTGTCCCAAAAGTGGGAAAATATTAAAAACCGCAACATGGTTCAGTGTCTGAATACTGGATCACAGAACGTTTATATACACAGGGTAACATGTCAGCACTAGTAAGTATAGGGATGGCTTACAGAGTGTTATAACAAAACATTTTCTGGCATGTAGAAATAGGAAGTGCACCTTTTTTTTAATCTATTGCTTCATGCATGAATATGCTACTTATGACTTTTTGATTGGTTGATTGGGATTGTTAAAAACTGGTTCCTTTATTAACCATTATTCTAAGCAGGAGAATCGTTTTCTAATTCTTTGTCTGATCCTGGCTATTGATAATTTCATTAGTAATCTTGGTCTCTTTTTTTGTTGCAGCCAAAGATTGATAAAAATTCATTGGAGGGATTTTCCTCTGAATGCCCTCGCATTATAGTAAATCCGAACCCATCACCCTTCGGATTCAGGGGAACCCAAGTTCCCAGGGAAGCATTGCCAGATATCCAGTTGGATGATTCTATTGTCAAGGATCTTGATCCCAAAACGTGGGCAGTGCGTGGTTTTACACTCAAGGCAATGCCTCCATCTCTTTCAAGCCACACGGAATTGTCAGTGGCTGAAAAGTTTAGACTTGCTTTTGAGGAAAGGGATAATCGGTTAGCTCCAAAGCGAGCTAAAAATGCAAGGCAACATCAGCGGCGTGCTGAGAGGGAGTGGGTGATGACGGATACAACAGCTAAGGCAGTAGCTTTAGCCTCACGAGCGAGCAGATCTCTACACAGTTGGAACTAGCATATTTTGTTTGTTTGCATTACTGCAAGAAATGTATCACGTTTTCTTCACCTTATTTTCTCTTTTGATTGTACAGAAAATAATCTGTAACATATATTGGGTTTGATGGAGAGAGGACAATTTTGCTGCCAAATTGTCTGATAAAGTTTTGGGAGAATGTTTTCAGAAAATGAAAACGGGAAAACGAATTTGCATTTTCAAGATTGGAGAATGCGGTCTAGTAGCTTGATTGGAAAACAGTTTCAGATAGTAGCTTGATTGGAAAACAGTTTCAGAAAATGAAAACAATGTAACAATGTAAATGTATCTGATAATACAATTTGAAAATAACAAAAACAAAAATAGTTAATTATGTAATCAATATGTGAGTTTCATACCAAGAAAAATAAATATACGTGAGTTATTTTTATTAATGCCTCCTCCAAAAAGATGTAATTTTTTTGGAAAAGAAAAAAAGAATCATCTTTAAAAATAGAATAATGTATAATAATAAAAAATTAAAATGAACTTAAAAAAACAAAATTGGAACTTAACTCCCCAACCTTCTCTATTTGTTTTATTTTATTTAATCAAGTACCCCATCTCTTTTAACTCTCTGCAAATCCCACCCCACCCATCGCACGTATCACCATCGCAGTAACCCATCAACCCACCTCTCTCCCTCTCCCAATCATCTTCTTCATCACAGCACATTTAGCACCCAAACAAGATTTTGATGAGCTAATCTAACAGAAGACCCCCAAATTTCACCCAGCAAGGAAGACACTAATTTCACCAGAAAAAAGAAAATTTGAAAGACCCATACGTATCTAACCGATGAGAAGATCCAGTAATTTCACCGAAAAAAGAAAAAAAAATTAATAGAAGACCTAGTGTGGGAAATTGACGAGAGCTTGAGATAAATGGGATGCTGGAGGTAAATAGGTGAGCCGTCGTAATGAGAGACGCAAAATCGTTTTCCGCTTTTCCATTGAAAATGCTGACTGGCCACCGTACTCCTCCTTAGCCATTTTCATTTTGAGAAAACAGTAAACGGACGTAAAACATTACCTATCGGGCCCTAATGTATTGAAGAAACGTTTGAACTGGTCAGAGCAAGCAATCTATGGAAATCCTTAATCCCGCTTCTCCTGTACAAGTTTTGTGATCATATGATTATTATTCAATCTGAAAATTGTTGAGATTAGTTTGTAGAGCGATGCCTGAATATTGTTCTTTCCCTCAAGTGAGCGGAACTGTATCTATATGCAACCAAACACAAGCATAAGCGTTTTGACGTAAAATAAGTCATGATATCAAACATGACGTGCAAGGAATAAACAAATAAACAAATATAAAGCTTCTGTTTCACATTATCTCTGTAACTCCCGGTTGTTCAACATCAAATTCTGTTCAACCTCAAAATTTCTAAATAACCTTAAAAAAATGCGTACTCTTTTGGTTTGTAATTTCCAGGAAAGCTTTATGAACAAACCTAGATAAACCAGTAAATATATCTGTACTCGAGTGTTCCATAGTTCTTTCGAAAAGCAGATCCCTCCCGTGTATAGCGGAAGACCTGTTGCATTCTTCAGACTAGGTGAGGAAGACCAAAACAAAAAGGATGATGAACAGGACCAGCAAAAATACTATCATCATACACTGGCCTTTTACACCAGCCTTCTTCATAACTGTAGCCACTTTTTTCTGCAAGAATTAAAAAGGAACTTTTCATCTCTTCGGGGATCACTAATCTATATATTTCAGTCAATTAGCAAGCTGAAGAAAATAAAAGATAAACTTGTTTCCGGTGGACAGAATTTCTTGGTAGGACAATCTATTAAGTAAGCAGAGACTGACCTGAACAAAATCAAGACGATTTGATGTACTGTCCATTTCCATACCCAATTCATCTACAATCTTCTCCTGGAATACCAAAAGATTTACAATTTAGTACAACAAAGTAGCAAGAGTGAGTGACCCAGAACCGCAGGGCAGAAAAAGCTAATTTGCAAGTAATAGATACAAGTTACAGACTAATGCATCAACATGCTAATTTGTTTGGGTTTTGCTCTTGCTCCCTTTCCTTGGTTGAGTTAAAGACTAATGCATCAAAATGCTAATTTGTTTGGGTTTTGCTCTTGCTCCCTTTCCCTGGTTAATATAAACTTTTTTTAACCCCACCCCACCACCCAAAAAAAAAAGAACTTGGAGAAAACACCTGAACTATTTGTTTTCCCATCATTGTACAGTAACCTACAAAATTCTTACCTGTGCAAGGAGCTCTTCATGAATGGTAAGCCCAACACCCCCAATTCTCTCCACACTTGCACTAAGTTCATCCAACTCCTCATCCTGTTGCCTACAAGCACAAATTGACAGACACATAAAATCAAAAGAAACAAAGTTATACAGACAAGTGGAAGTGGCCAGAGGATTTGGGAAGAAGAAAACTATGTAAGTAGAGCAAACATTTTTCTCCGCCCAGCCAAAGGGTGAGAATAAATGGTGCACATATAACTACACATTTATTGACAATGAAAGCTCTGTTATCAAACTACAAGCTCAGATGGTTTGACCCAAACATTGTTTTCTTTTTAGAATTAAAAAGTGCTTCCATAAGTTCGACTATGAAATTTAATAAATTTAACAACACAGACTATCTTTTGCAGCCTATATAAAATATGAACAAACACAGCTAGGCAATGAATCTTAGCAAATAATTCCCGGCGAGTAGAATAATAACTTGTTACTCATGTATATGTTTGTCACTCAAATATGTATCAATTGGATGTGGGTGTGTAAAAGAATCTTACTTTATGAGAAGCAACTGTCTATCTGATTCAGATGTTATGAAATCATCGTTATGTTGTGAAGCATACTGGTTGGATCTATCTGTCTCCTGAGAATTAGCCAGCCTCATTAATTCTCGGCGCATCCCATTCACACTAGTGCCAGTAGAATCCTTTCCAGCTTCCACTGCTTTTTTTACAGCACCCACCTGATAAACTATCTTACTAATTTAGGGAATGCACACAAAAGATAACCATGTAATATGCTGTACAAATACATAACAGAATGGAAACCACACAAAGGCTCATTATGTAATTGAATATCCAAAAATCACAACAAAATGAAAACTATTGCAGGTTACAAAACCACACTCGACTGTCACAATGTAAAAGATGTAGGTAATCATCGTAAATCATCAAGGCAAGGTCTGTTATGACAACTTCACAGGATTACCAGATATAAGATCTTCAGTGGCACTAAAACATCTTAAAAAAAGACAGCTTAACAGACGATACTTCATACCTGAGCACGAGCAGTGCTCGTCCATCTCCTCCTTTTTTCAAGTTCTACTTCATCAATGCCATACCAAGTAGGATCTCTAGCTGCTACGGAAATTGCTTTGTCCAACTCATCCACCTTCCTATCAAGAAAGCATGCTTTCATTAGTTGCAAGCAGAAGTTGAAGCTTCGAGTTAGATGATAAGAGAAAACATTGCACATGGTAAAACAAGAGAACTAGTTAAATTCAGAGCTTCTCTCTGACACAGATACAAATTTTAGGATGGATGGATAAGGTAAAATAACAATTGGTGGATGGATGGATAGAGTAAAATAACAATTGGTTGGTCATACAGCCTCCTCTTCTTTCTATTGACTTTTTTTTTTCCTTTTCTTTCTTCTTATGGAAATTCTGTTGAAATGCGTATTTGTGCTGTCCTGTAGATGATGTAACATGATCATTCTTTGGCTCAATCTATTTCTTTAATTGTCTTGAGGAATTACCTTGCTAAGGAACCTAGTTTAAATGGTCTTAAGCTATCCTCTTTTCAAGAAATAAACCCACTTTTTTCTTTTTCAACTGATCTTAGTTGCTGCTAGAGCACCAGCCCATTAAAAAGCACAAATTTTTAAACCCAAATCAAGACCAGACCATCAACCCATGCTCCTTAACCAGCTACATAAAAAATAATTAAAAAAAGTGGTCAAAAAATTCAGTACTTTGGTATCAGCACACTAAGGTCAACCACAACTTATGACCACCTTCACCGGAATTCGCCCACTTTTTGGCTTGAAATTAGTCCTAGAATTATACTCTTGACATCCACATCAACTCCCAACCCTCCACAGCTCAAAATAACCAGTTTTTTTTAACTGAGAAAGAGAATCAAACCATGAACCATGCACATTAGAAAACTTGATTTTCTGATCATCAATTGACGAGGCACCACCTAGTGTTAAGATCTTTTTTTACCGCACAAAAGCCCATTGTTATTGATATGTTTATGGAAATTTGACAAATATCCCTCAATTTTCCAATTTGTTATAGGGATATGTTATGGAAATTCGACAATTATCACTCAATTTTCAATTTCTTTCCAGCCTTTTCTATTGTTTCATGCAGACATTAATGTGGTCAGCAAAAGTCCCATACTTCTGCAACACCTTCAGTGGAAATTAACTAAATTTTCATTTCTGGACAACAAAAATAGTGATTTTTCGCCAATATACCCAGTTTTGCATGAGTAATCTCTGACTATATTACCATGACAGATACCTACCATCTATTCTTTATCAAACAAAATAAAATAAAAATGATAGGCGGATAAAATCAAATCAAATGTCGTAATATTGGCGCACCTGCCAGTCAATGCTTCCACAAGTAGCAATCAGTTCTTTTGTGAGGTGTAATTGCTCTCCAGTATCAGATGAAATGCGTTCCCATTGATGAAAAGAAGATTGCAACTTATCAATCTAATCAAGAAGGAAATATAATAGTCAGAATTCATTTCTGCTACTCCTAAATATAATGCCACGAGACAAATTCCGCAAAAATAATTGCACACCAAATTCATCTGTCAACGAAAAAGTGAAGGATGAGGATGGTAGTGTGTTGAGGCAAACGGGTTTGTATGTGTATATATATATATATATATATATATATATATATAGAGAGAGAGAGAGAGAGAGAGAGAGAGAGAGAGAGGAAGTGACAAGATTCAAAAGCCCAAAAATGATGGTAACAACTCCAAACAAAGTACGAAAGTCTACTAAAGGAATCACATTGAACTGATAATATGTATTCAATAAAATATATAAACCATGTCTCATTCCAAAAGCTTCAAAGTGACTAAGTAATTTGACAACTTACAGATTCTTGAATCTCCTCTTTGACAACATAGAATGGATCTTGAGCTGAGGGCATTGTGAACCTCACGAAACTAATCTATCCTATCAGCATCCAAAAGAAAAAGAAAAAGAAGGGGGAAAAACTTCCATTAGAAAAACCATATAACTTATATAGACACACACGCATATAATATATATATATATATACACACACAAAAAATTCAATCCCATTGAAATATTCACCAAGAAAAACAACTGAAACAAACATTTCACAAAAAGGGTTTGAGGGCCTTAGCTCCACTCCATTTGATTAGCGTGAAATGGAATATGATTTCCAAATACCCAAATCTGTGATCCCTATTCAACATATCATACCATGCAATTGCGAGCTTGATATGATTTGAGAACTGATTAAATCTCCGAATTCAAATCACCACTTTGGATCATTAACGAAACGGACCAAAATTCTAATTTGTATCACCAAATAAGTTAATAACCAGACTCATCAATACCATAACCACCACGTTATTCAAATCTAAATACACCGAAATTCAGATTTGAAAACAATACATGAATTTATGTAATAGGTACGGAAAAAAAGAAAAAAAATAAAAAGAAAGATGAATTGAGAAAGGTGAGATAGGGGCTATACCTGTACGGACTGAACCGAGAGACCTGATCTGTGAGATCCTCGTCTGGACTTAATGTCCGGAAGCAGACGATGAAGCTTTGCGAAGACGAAGTTAGAGAGAATCGCGTGGGCTTCAGTTATGAGGCATGGCTATATTTTAATTTTGAAGTTTGGACCCATACACCGGCCTGCCCAGGCCGAAGAAACAATCCAGCCCATTTTAAAGGCAGGAACATTCAAGTGCGGTCCAATTTATTTGCTTCTTGCCAATATTCGTTATATCTCACAATCAGCATTTTTTTAGGTAAACTAGTGAATTGCCCATGAACTTATACTTAATTCTCAATACGATCTGAATCCAATAATCCAATTACAAATGGATTTAGAGTTGGATTGAGGTATATCTGATTTGAATCCGAATCGTTTACAAGTTTACCCACATACCCTTTCCCCCTTTCCCCCACTCACAGAACGCAACCTAGTTCGCAACTCATCCCCTGCTCGCAGAACTAGGGCTGAAAATGGGTCGGGTCGTGTCGGGTTCGTGTCGTGTTGGGATATTAAACGTGTCAAGAATGCTCAACCCAAACTCAACTCATTTAATAAACGTGTCGTGTCGGGTTCGGGTCGTCTTTTATCGTGCGGGTTTCGAGTCGTGTAATGGGTTGATAAATAATAACATGCATGTTACAAAAGTCACAATCGAAACTCCATATGTGTGTTTTGAAGTCTCTATTTCTCTATATTTTTTCGCGGGTTGACCCGAAAATTACCCAATTATTAATCGTGCGGGTTCGAGTTGTGTTTTTTCCGTGCGGGTTTCGAGTCGTGTAACGGGTCGTGTAGGAAATTGTCACCCCTACGCAGAACCCAAGCAATATCATAATTATGACCATCACACTGAAGATTGAGTAAATTTTAGTATATGATGTAAGTTTTGAGGGGATGGGTGGCTCCTTATTTTATTCAGTTTTTAGATTAGTTATGGTTTTTTAAAATTCAAATTGAATTCTTTATTTCTGAATTTTTGACACCAACTAAGATCAACCCTTATATCTAATATAAAGGTGGGAGTAGGTGACCACAACTCTCTTGGACCATGGAATCTAAGAGAACAAGATTGTTGGAAAGAATACGTAAAACAGTACAAGACACATAAAGCAAAGGTGTTTCTCGATTCCTAGAAACTTCAACAATGATGCGGTGATAACCATCATTAATGAAGGGATCAATCGGAGACACATTCAAATTAATGGATAGGGATATGGTTGATATGAGTATGTGATTGCCATAATAATGGACTTGAATAGGCTCTATTGTTTGAGAAGGCCAAAATTTCCTTATTTGACGCGTGCAAGAGAAATGTAGAGATTTTATTCCAATTAAAGATACGCGGTACTCTCATGTTGTATCTATTGCATCAGATGGGTGGAGCAATTTGAACATAGCTCCTCGATTGTTTTCAGAAATAATATTAATTAAAGGTTGAAGCAGTCAAACAATATGGGTAGAATATTTTTCAGGTTGTATTTCATTCTCCAAAAGAATGTATTTATAGTACAAGGATGTAACCCTAGTAGGGTCAAACTAGGAAACAAGATAAAAACCTAATTACACAATATCTGTACAAAAAGGAAAGAAATATAATCATAATAAACTAGGAAATAAATATCCTAAAACTAATACTCCCCCTCAAGTTGGAGCAAAGATGTAAAGCAAGCCCAACTTGTCAAGCGAGTTGAGAAAGACCATAGTAGACACAGCTTTCGTAAGAACATCTGCCAGTTGATACTCGGATGATATAAACGGAAAAGAAATAATTTTAGCATCCAACTTCTCTTTAACAAAATGTCGATTAACCTCCATGTGCTTTGTACGATCATGTTGCACAGGGTTATGTGCAATTGCAATTGCAGCTTTATTATCACAATACAAATCCATGGGTTTCTGGGGTCCAAACCCAAAATCTCTCAACAATCTTCTCAACCATAGTAACTCACACACACCTTGAGTCATCCCACGATACTCGGCCTCGGCACTAGACCTAGACACCACTTTTTGCTTTTTACTCCTCCAAGTAACAAGATTACCACCAACAAATGTGAAATACCTAAACGTAGAATGTTTATTAATGACTGAACCAGCCCAATCAGCATCTGTATACCCTTCCACATCTGTATGACCATACTTGCAAAACATTAACCCCTTTCCAGGAGTTACTTTCAGATACCTCAAGATGCACATCAAAACACCCATATGATCTTCACTACGAGAATGCATAAACTGACTCACTACACTCATTGCATATGCAATATCAGGACGTGTATGAGATAAATAAATCAATTTCCCCACAAGTCGTTGATAACGCTCTTTATCTGTAGGGACTTGATCAGGATACAACCCTAACTTATGATTATGTTCACTAGGGATATCAATTGGTTTACAATCTAACATTCCAGTCTCTGCAAGTAAATCCAAAGTATACTTTCTTTGAGACAGAAAGATACCATGTTTAGATCTGGCAACTTCAATCCCAAGAAAGTACTTCAAATCACCCAATGACTTCATCTCAAACTCGGAAGCCAGATACTTCTGAAGATTTTGCATTTCTGTCTAATCATCTTCAGTCACAAGCATATCATCAACATAAATAATTAAAGCTGTTAATTTACCTTTGTGACGCTTTAGAAACAACGTATGGTCCGAGTTACTCTGTACAAACCCAAATTTCTTCATAGATGCTGCAAATCTCCTAAACCACGCTTTTGGAGACTGCTTCCATCCATATAAAGACTTCCGTAGCTTACACATAACACCCTTTTTAGAGGTTACAGGAATACCACGAGGGAGATCCATGTAAATCTCCTCCTTGAGGTCACCATGTAGAAATGCATTTTTTACATCGAATTGTAATAAGGGTCAGTTGAGGTTAGTAGCCAGGGACAATAGTACATGCACAGTATTGAGCTTTGCCACTGGAGCAAAGGTCTCCAAATAATCCACTCCATAAGTCTGAGTATAACCATTTGCTACCAATATAGCCTTGTAACGGTCAATGGAACCATCAGCTTTATACTTCAAAGTAGGCCTCATCATTTGGCACACGGGCTCATGGACCGATGGGGGCTCGCCTGGCCCATCGAGAAATAGCCCGCCCCGACCCGATATGGGCTTTTGGATGGCCGGGGTAGGCTTGGACTTAGGTGTCTGAAGCCTAGCCCGGCCCGATTAAGCCGGAGAGAGCCCAGCCCGGCCCGCCCACAAAAGCCTGGCCCGTTAGGCCCGTATATATAGCCGTTATATAATATAGCCGTTAAGGGCTGTGCTTGTTTCTAGAAAAAAAAAAGGCCCAATAGCCATTTAGGTCAGACATCCCAATACAATACCTCCATATAAAAAGGCAATTATCATATCAGTCTCTCCAAATTCTAAACCTAGCGCCGCACCCACACTCATGCATGCGTCTCTGTCTTCCTCTTCGGCTCTATCTTCCTCTTCATTTCTCTTTGGCTATCTCGATTCTCAACCTCTTCATTTCTCTTCAGCTCTTTCTCTCCTCATTCGATCTTGTAGATCCTCTGACTAAGATTGCATATCGAAAACAACGATCCAAGTCTAATAATTCAGGTATCCATCTGGATTTCTTCTTTCAACTAAGATCTCTCTCTTTGATCTTATTTGTGTGCATGAGAAACTGAGATTATGAGAAGTTCATCTATTTCTTTTGTTGTTATTGTTTTTATGTTTAGCTCTTAGTTTGTGATGATTTGCTTCGGCTTTATGACTTTTTATGCTTAATTTGGTTTTGTTGATTGTGTCTGGAAATTCTACTTGTATTATGAGAAGTTCATCTATTTCTTTTGTTGTTATTGTTTTTATGTTTAGCTCTTAGTTTGTGATGATTTGCTTCGGCTTTATGACTTTTTATGCTTAATTTGGTTTTGTTGATTGTATCTGGAAATTCTACTTGTTTGTGTAAATTGAAGTCTTTGTTATGGCTGTTATTTAAAATCTATTGGTGAATCTTCCCTTTCCAGATTTGTAGTGTTGGGTTGGGTTTCCTTTCCCCTCAATCTTTCTTTCTTGATTTATATAGATATAAATTATATCTTGTCCTTTGTGTGGACGATGGAAGAAAGCTGGTGCCAGCTTTGCTTTACGCAGTTAGCTAGGCGGCCAACCATTTCCAAGTTCTTATATTTATATATCTTCACTTGCAGATATCATATCAGCCCAACACAATTTGACAGAAAGTGACTAAACAATCGATTAACATTTATGTATTATCTGTTAAATTTATGTATCACTTGCAGATATCCTATATTTATATATCTTTTTTTTACGAAGCATTTCAATTTCCCATCTCTGTTAAATTTATGTATTATATGTTTTCATCTACATTTAGCTTGTCTGAGATAACTGCAAATTTGAGTAACCATGCTCAAAACATAGGTTGTCATCTCTTTCTCCTTCTCTCTACAAACTATTGATGAAATATTTGTTTTCATTTTTATTGCGGGAGTTTGTGTCTTGCTTTTTTAAGGATTGCAAGGCCTTCTTTCATTTTCTATGGTTGTTGGTGGAAAAAGGTAAGGAATATCAATTGTTTTAGTTTGTTAATATATCTTGCTGTTTTTGTGCTGAACTTTGATTATTAATGAGTTCTTGGTTTATTTTGCAGGAGTTAGTGCTGCAAAAGTAAAGCTTGTGCTTTGCTGTTTATCAAGTAACATCTTCCATTTTGTCTTTATTTTCGTAATATCATCAAAATGGATTCTTCTAGTGCATCACCTTTGACTGAAAGTACAAATTATTCCAATCCCCCTTCAGAGTCACGTAGTGCACCTAGATTAACAAGTAAAGTTTGGTCTTTTTTTGAAACAAAATTGAAAATGGTAAACCAGTAATTAAGGCTAAGTGTGTTATTTGTAATACTTTGTTGGTTGGTAATTCTAGTAGTGGCACTAGTCATTTGTCTCGTCATTTAAAAAGGCATGAAGATGCACAAGCTAGGGTAAATCCAGGTAAAATGTTATTAAATGTTGATGCTGCTGGAAATTTGACTAATTTTGTTTATGATCATGATATTGCTCAAAAAGAACTTGTGGAATTTATTATTAGAGTTGAGCTGCCATTTAAATTTGTTGATAGCCATGATTTTAAAGGCTTGATTCAGCGTGCATTTTGTCCCCAATATAAAGGAATTTCAGCATCTACATGTAAAATGGATGTGCAAAAAAAATTTGATAAAGAAATGATTAATTTGCTTGCTGTTTTTGAAAAACTTGATTCAAAAATTTGTTTAACTTCTGATGTTTGGTCATCACGACAGAAAATGGGTTATATGTCACTTACTGCACATTTTATCGATAAAGATTGGTGTTTGAATAAAAGGATAATTTGCTTTAAAATGATTGAGTACCCACACACCGGAGAGTCACTTGCAACTCATATATTTGATGAATTGTTATCTTGGAACATTCACAACAAAGTATTTACTTTATCATTAGATAATGCATCAAATAATGATTCAACTGCAAGTATACTTCCATCAACTCTGTTGTTGGATTCTGTGCATGAAAAGTTGTTTCATGTACGATGTTGTTGTCATATATTGAATTTGATTGTGCAAGATGGACTTAAAGTTTTATCTCCATCTATTGAAAAAATTACTGATATTGTTCGTAGCATGAATTCATCTAACAAGAGACATGAAATTTGGGTTAAATGTTGTAGTGATTTCCATTTGGGAAAGAAAAATATAGATATTGATGTGCCTCATAGATGGAATTCAACATATATGAGCTTTTACATGTTGCTATAAAATATAAAGCTCCTTTGCATAGGTATGTTCAAAAGGTAAATGAATCACGTTTTTGTAATTTACAAGTACCTAGTGAAGAAGATTGGACAATAGCACAACTTGTTAGTGGGTTTTTACAAATTTTTTATTCTTCAACTAAGATATTTTCTAGTGTGTATTATCCTACTTCAAGTCGTGTTATTAATTGTTTAATAGATATTCATGGATCATTTGCTGCATATTATTAATTTTCTGTTCTTAAGGATGCTTTGACTGAAATGAAAGCAAAATTTGATAAATATTAGAAAGAATTTCCTATGGTTTTTTGCTTAGCTACTATTATGGACCCTAGGTTTAAATTATTTGCAATTGCTGAATGGTTGCACATGATAGGTATTGATCAATTAACCATTGACTCAAAAATTTTAGCTTTAAAGACTTTATTATTTTAGTTATTTGATATCTACAAGAAGAATGTAATTCCCGATGTGGTTCAAAATGTGCAAAATGTTGCAACTTCTACTACTTTGAGTCAAACTTCTGGTTCTATATCTGTCCCTATAATGATAAATTTCTCTATTGAAGGCTTGAAAAGAAAAATGCTATCTTCTTCTTCTTCTTCTTCTTCCACCAACACTTCTGAATTACAATTTTATCTTGATTTACCAACAATATAAGTAGTTGATGATAATCAATTTAGTCTTTTGGATTGGTGGAAAAACAATAAATCATCATACCCTATTGTTTCTCTCATGGCTAGAGATTTGCTAACTGTTCCAACTTCTACTGTAGCATCAGAATCACATTTTAGTGCAGGTGGTAGAGTTGTATCAGAGAAAAGGGCCAGTTTGAGTCCGAGTACAATAGAAGCTTTAATTTGCTTGAAAGATTGGGCCTTGGCAGATTCAAGAAAGCAAGATGCAGCAATAGATGAGCAACAAGCTGAAGAATTAATGAACATTAAAGCATCAAGACCAGATTGGATGGCAAATAGTGAAGTTGAGATTGTTGGTGAATCTGAAAATGAGACCATTTAAAGTTGAAATGTTGTTGAAATGTTATGTAATAGGATTATATTTTATTTTGCAAGCATTGGATTTTTGTTGTAGTAATGGACTTTGGGACATTATTATGCTTTTGAGTGTTTGCCTTGCAATGAAGTTTTTGATTGGATTGTGAGTGAATCTAATTTGATTGTGATTTTGTAAGACCTTTTTGTTTGGAAGGGTATAAGATTTGTAAGACATTTTGTAAGCTTCATACTTTAGCAAGAATGAAATGAATTTTATATATTTGACTTTTTAAATAGTAAGCCCATTTCGGCCCGGCCCGATAAGGTCCATTAAGGCCCGGCCTATGATTCGGGCCTGGGCTTTGAATTATTGAAAAAAGCCCAGCCCAACCCGGCCCGTTAATATTCTTTTACTTGTTTGAGCCCGGTCCGGCCCGGTCCAAGCCCATAAATTTTGGGCCGAGCGCCTAATTCAAAGTAAACACTCATTTGCATCCAACAGCTTTCTTCCCTCTTGGCAAAGGAACTAAATCCCATGTTTTATTCTTGTTCAAGGCATCTATTTCAACATTCATGGCTTCCATCCATTTAGGGTTAGATAAAGCATCTTGCAGCTTAGTTGACACACATACACTAAATAATTTACATAAATATGATGCATATGACTTAGACAAACGATGAGTTGACACATAATGGCTAATGGAATATTTAGATTTGACATGTATATCAGGAGAATATTGTACTTTAGGTTTCCCACGAGTGGTTCGTGGGGGTAACTAATAAGTTGACACAGATAGATCATTAAAAATTACCTCACTTGATTCACTATCACGAGTATATTGGGGCACTGGCAGGGCAGAGAGGGTATTACATCGAACTCATCCATACAAGAATCACTGTCATTATTTTCAGATACAGGCGACTGGTCACTTGCTTTAGTGTGACCGGTCGTTTCGACACCGAGAGCACCTGCTTCATCTTCATATATGAGCGACTAGTCAAGTTCCAAAAGGCGATCAGTCGTTTTTTCACAGGGACCACAAGTTTCATTTTCAGATATGGGCGACCGGTCACTTGCTTCAGTGCTACAGGTCGTTTCCTTCCTAAGAGCAGTATCTTCAAACACATCATTCTCCAATCCAAGACTCTCCAATTCACTCCCCCTCTCTTCCTGAATTGGAGAGGAGAAAGAGACATAATAAGACACTTCTTCATGGAAAGTCACGTCCAAAGTAACATGCAACTTCTGGGTAAGTGGATGATAGCACTTATAACCTTTATGAATAGAAGAGTAACCAATAAAGACATATCGCAGAGCACAAGGATCAAGTTTACTCCGTTGATGAGAGTAAACATGAACATAGGCAATACACCCAAAAACTTTAGGGGGCAACTTGGAGACTAAGACAAGGGAAACATGGTCACCAAACACATCATATGGAGTCTTGAAATCAAGAACCCGGTTAGGAGTACGATTAATCAAATAGGCAGCAGATAAAACAACATGCCCCTAAATATGATGGGGAACAAACATGTTCAACATAAGGGAGCCGGCAACTTCAAGTAACTGACGATTCTTGCGTTCAGACACACCATTTTGCTTAGGAGTAAATGAGGTTGTCGTTTGGTGAAAAATACCTTGAGCACGGAAGAAAGATGTCAAAGTGTTATTCACATATTCGTCTCCGTTATCAGTCCGGAATACTTTGACCCGAGCATGAAACTGAGTAGACACCATAGTACAGAACTCTAGAAGGATGGAAGCAACATCATGTTTATTTTTCAACAAGAAAACTTAAGTGAGTCGGGTACAATCATCAATAAATGTGACGAACCAACGAAATCCGTTCGAAGAAACTCGAGCCGGACCCCACACATCAGAATGCACTAAATCAAAAGGTTTTGCAACTTTATTGTCACTCAAAGGAAACACAATGCGATGACTCTTGGCCAAAATACATGTTTCACACTTAAAACTGAACTCATCACAAGAGCATAATAAAGATTGAAACAGACGATTAAGAAAGCCAAATGACGAGTGTCCCAAGCGACGATGTCATAATCAAATTTGATGTTTGTCTTTGACACTGCAACTTTGAACAGTATTAAGGCACGATCACGAATTGGTGCAAAAGGCAATGTCAAATAATATAACCCCCTATCCGTTTACCATGCCCAATCGTCTTTTGAGTATTGAGATCCTAAAAAGAGCAATGTGTATGATATAAAGTAGCAGAAACATTAAGTGTATAAAGTAATTGACCAACAGATAACAAGTTACAATGGATATTGGGAACTAGAAACGCACGAGACAAGGACAGTGTAGTAGTGAGAGAGATTGTGCCCTCACCAGTAATTAGAGGGAGCAAGCCATTAGCACTAGTTATGTATGGATCACGGGTGTTACTATATAACTCATGAAAAAATTTAGTATCATAAGTCATATGATCAGAAGTACCAGTGTCAATTATCCAAGTATTGGAGCCAGTACCTGAAATATAATCAAAAACACACAAATTTGCAGATGCAACAACAACACTAACAATAGAGTTATCACCCATGATTGCAGCAGAAACTCAACAGATCATGGAAGAGTATACAACGGAACACAGCAGAGACACAAATACTGCAGATGCACGAACACAGCAGAGTACACAGCGGAACACAATAAAGACACAAATACGGCAGATGCACGAAGACATGTCCTATCATTATATAACATACATACATATATTATGTATTATATAATATGTATATTATAAAATATACATTGGTATAATTAATACATATACATATATATCATAATATAATATATATGGGTGTATTATAATAATAATATACGTGTATATATGTATATAAGTTTATACATCTATACATGTGTATTATAGTATATGCATATATATATATTATAATATAATATATTAATAATAATATATATAGGTATATTATAATAATAATATATGTTATTATTATTACAATATAATATATGCATCTTATACATTAGTGAGCATGAAATTAGTAATCCTCCCTTTCCACATAGGTTTATTAGTCCCCTCCTAAGGAGGTGTTTTTGGTGGGCCCGATATTAGCAATCTCATTTAATACTAGGATAATATGAAACAAACATGGGACTAAATTTAGTCTAAACCAGTCCAAGCCAAGCATATGTAACAAACAGCCTCATAGATTACTAAAATGTAAAGAGTGCTGCTATTTACAACCCCCCTGCCCTATTTCCTCACCCACCTTATTTTCAAAATTTTAAAGACAAATTTACCCATTTATAAAATGACTTCTAAGGACTCAAATGAATTCTTTTGTTTGTAGCCCTTCTTTTATAATTTCCTTGGACTCTTCATTTTCTCGGGTTCCGTATTTTGATTTTATTTTCATAATTCCGAAAAAAAAAATTAACGATTTTGCCCCCTAGGGTTTTTCAGTGGTTTAAGGTTAACTTTTTGTTCGGGACTAATTTTGAAAATTTTCTTCGTTCTATTGTGTAGAGCTCGTCCTCACGAGTTCGTAGTCATATAATAGGTTCAAATCGAAGTTTTAACGAGAAAGTTATGATCAACAAAAGTGCAGTGGTATGACCATAATTTTCGAGAAGTCAAATTCTTAAAAATCATATCAGATTCTCCCCCACTTTATTTTTCCTCTATCTCCCCTCTCACGTGCTCTCTCGAACATTCACACAACTTCCAGCCACCGAATCCTCACCGTCCAGCCACTGTTGGCCGTGATTTCTGCACGAAACTTCTTCTGCTCTTCCTCCTCTACCATTCCCCTAAAGAATCAGAGCCTAAAACCCCTTGTATTGCCAAAAATAACGATCAAAAATCCAAGCAGCTACCCTGAATTCATAGATTGTAGCAGTCTAACAAACACATACAACTAAGGCTTCCTCCTCAGCCAACCCACCAGGGGACTAATGTAATACCCTAATATGACTGAACTAGCTTTTTATCCGAAAACATTCCACCTATAAGGTGGCAGAAGCCTCACTAACGTAATTCTATAGCCTTAACCAACAGTATGCAGGTAATTTCATGGTCCTTCACCATAGCAGTTAGTCCTACCAAAAAATTACTTTTTGTTTTTTGTTTTAGATCTATAATCACCTCCTATATTCGGAATAACTTTCAACATTACGGGCAACCCACCACATGCAGCTGTTATCGGATACAAGCAAGACAATCACTTCCGGCAAAGGCCTTTTTTTTTTTGTATTAGCCCTTTCCCACGTCTCTCTCTGAAGTGCTACCATAGTGGTATGAGGAAAGTATACATATATGAATTATGATGTTGACAATAATGCTCAAACACACCGATCAAAAATAACATTCAACGCTCAAAAAGCTGACTCAGAAACTAAAACTCATGTAATTCCTCTAAAAGATTTTATTGTCAATAAGCAAATGATTACTTTTGCCAGATCATTAGGAGAAAAAGGCATTATCCTAGACACCTTCACCTAGAGCATAGAAAAAGAAAAGGAACTTCATGTACATCAATATTATAAATTTGGCGTACAACTTTGTATACACTTTTGAAAGTTAAAGGGGCAACAAAACTCAATCAATGCGTGGTCAAGGATGTATTTTGTCTGGGTTTTTCATTTTTCTGGCCCGAAAGGGAAAACAAAGTATAAATGTATTGATGGTGCCGCCAAAAAAGCCCTCCCTAAAACCTTACAGTTTCACTCACAACTCAGCTATGAGCCATGGCCGTCGGCATTGGCAGAACACATCAATGTTTTATGCTTAGACACAAGGGGTGACTTCATGTTGGTGGCTGCCATGTTCCTGGCCTGAATGTTTGACCAGATCCTGTTGGCTCTGTAGACCTGGAAAACAAAAGTTCAACAATGTAGAATAATCAAACGATGTAGAATAATCAACACAGCGTGCATTTTTAAGGGAAGAACTAGGAAAACTGAATTCATTGTAATGTATCAGGTCACTTTAAACTTATAGGTTTTAGGTCTCTTTGTATGAAGATTTAAGAGCAAGGAGATCTACAATTCCCCTCATTAGTATATTGTTTATGATTTCAAGGTGTAAGTAGTGATGGTTGCACAAACACGCAGATGAAGAATATATTGAACATACTCAGGATCTTGTTTTGCTTTTTTAGCTTCTTTCTCTTTGGAGTTCCTGCCATATTAACAAGCACAACAATGTAAGCATGAAGACATGAGCATTCCCACCCCCACCCAACATAAAGAAACATGAAATACTGGTGAAAAAACAAACTTGAGCAGGACTACAGGTCAGGGAGTTTTGTTCCTCTATTTTATTTTTCTTTGGTAATCACGGGTCAAGAAGAAACTGGTCGAGTATACATAAGAAAAATAAAATGCTTGTACTCTTTTTAAAAAGTAAATACAAAGGAACTACATGAATAGTACACGTGTGTGTAAATCTTAGCAGACCTACCTCACTCCTTCCATCGAAACAGATTCTTCCTGATTTTCATCACCTTTGTGAACAAACAAGGAAGACAAACATAAAAAACCAAATTAACTTAGCATAAAAACAACAAATTAATGCAACAAAATTGTAATGCGCCACAGAATCAATAGCAAATAAAGATTCTGCAATCTGAAAGATGGCCCTAAAATAAAAATCCACATTCTAAGAAACCTTTCTGTGGAAAAGTACATTACTCTGGCATAATCTACCTTGAAAGAACAGTAATTAACCCAACAGTTAGTAATGCAAGATAAATACTGAATGATTATGCAATCTGAAGGATATACTTCAAATAAAAATCTTCATCCTAACACCTAAGCAACATGTATGTGAAGGCGGGAGAGGATAAAAGACAAGTTACCTTCAGAAGGATCACCAAATTGCCGAATGAAACTTTTCAAATCTGGACCTCCAACTTTATCTATACACAGAGTATAATCATGAATAATTGCATGAGCATAATGGCATAGATACCACCATAAAAGGTTCCAGTAAGAAGCTGACCAGTGTTGATGACTTTACGTGCACTGCCTTCTCTTGCTTTCCTTTCCTCTTCTTCTTTCTTTAGAACTTTACAAAATAAAAATAAATAAATAAATGTTTTTTTAAAGTATCTGTATTAAACTGAAAAGTGTAGTAGAGCAATCAAACTTATAAGTTAGTGACACCAGTTTCCACTAAATCTTAAAATTACCAGCCTTTAGATGGGAAAAAAAGGTTATATAGATAACAGACATGCCATTTTAAGGAGATAAACATGGTGAGGAGGTGGAGGGACTTTGTGGATCACTTTTTCATTCCTTAGAAAAAAATGCAACAACAACAGAATCCAGTCATTGATTAAAAAAGTGATCCCCTCATTAGTATAGATAACAGTCACTGATTTTGGCACTATTGGCAGCATTCAGGTATTTACCACTAAGAGGCATATTTTAAGGCAGTTGGGATAGTTATGTGCTACTGATGAGGGGTAATCTTGTACTACTAGCCACTATCTTTTCTTATTTTGGGATATTATAACAGACGCATACTACCTTAATATGCAATTAATGCATGACTTCATTCACTTACCTTACATTTTAAACGATGCTCCTACAAAAGTCACAAGTTGAATATTGATTTTGTAATAAAGATCTTTTTTAGTAAACCTACAACTCGATGGTTCAAAAAGAGCCAGAAAGTAGCAGAAGAAACCAGACAAAATTGTTAACTAATGGTAGAAATGACACATACGAGCAACATTCTGCCGGACACGTTCACGTCTTGCTTCCAAATCCATCAGTTCCTGGAGGCATAGAAAGAAAAAAAAATGTCAGACGGTAGAAATGAAGCGGAAATCCAGAATGTATCTTAAGCAAGATATCATTATGAGGAAAGAAAATAGTGTCCATGATAGCATGAGCATCTGGGAAGATTAGTCAATGGTGATTTTATATTAGACGATGGCAGACAAATAATCCACCTTCTTTACCAAAATGTTTTGCACAAATTTCTCTTTTTTTTTCAAATTAATGGAAGAAGGGAAATTAATACACCAAGGAATTAAAGAGAAGCAGATGTCTAGATTACCTCCGGTGTTGGAGCCCTTTTCCGCTGTCCGTTGAGCCAACATATCCACTCAACTAATATGATCAAAGGGTGAACATAAAGGTAGTAGAAGAAACAATGAAGCCATAGAAACAATGAATGCAAACTTTTCCAAATCGAAGTGTATAGTATCTCTAAGATACCAAAAATATTTATGGATAGGTAAGCTATCCATATTTCAACAGCTCAAAACAGAGCACTGTTTTTGCTAATCTGACAAAAGTTAAAAACAAACAAAATATTTCTGAAGCAAAAAGAATTACCTGGAATAGAGGTTGGGTCCTCCTCCCTCTTGAATACCACCCATCTTTTCTCTTTCACTAGTGCGTCAAAGAGAAGGGGAGAAAAGGAAAAATAACAAAAAACGAATATTAGTTGTACTTTAATTGACAACATAATATTAAATCCCGCACAATTTACATATACAGCTTCATGTTCTTCAAGCTATATCACATGAACTCTATCATACCACAACTCAATACAAAGGAGTATATTCTCGTATTTGTGGTACTGGATAACTTCTGGGTACACTTCACTAGTTCGTGAGCAAGAAGTATATTCTCCAAGATTTTCCTCCCCTGAACAAAATTCGCTTGATTCATACTGATAAAATCTGGTGGAAATTTCTTGATTCTGTTGGTCAGCATCTAAGGGATACTTTTATAAATGAGGTTGCAGCAAGAAATGGGTCGGAATTGACTCAATCATTCTATGATCCAGGCAAGTTACCAGGAAGGTGAATGCCACTTCTATAATCTTAGTTCCTAAAGTGAAGAATCCTTCTCAAATGAGTCAATTCCGACCCATTTCTTGCTGCAACCTCATTTATAAAAGTATCCCTCAGACGCTGACCAACAAAATCAAGAAATTTCCACCAGATTTTATCAGTATGAATCAAGCGAATTTTGTTCAAGGGAGGAAAATCTTGGAGAACATACTTCTTGCTCACGAACTAGTGAAGTGTACCCAGAAGTTATAAAGAGACGAACTGAGCTACAAATGGAAGCTTTCCTACAGGAAGGTAAAGCTACTGATATGAAGGAGAAAAAGAGAAGGTGGTTGAAGATTTAGAAATTCGAAGACCAGAATAAGGCCTCAATTTTAAGACATATTTGGAAGTTGGAGTATGTATGCCCTGGCTGGTTCTCTGTGGGTGGCCTGGGTAAGGAGTTATGTGCTGCAAGGCAAGGATTTCCAGATTTCTAATAAACCTTGTCAATGTTGCTCAAGATGGAGGATGATGCTAAATTTAAGACCTCCTGCTACAACCTTTTTTATTTATTTTCAAAACGACCTCATCCTAGAAGATTTCATAAGTATCATTAAAAAAATAATAAAATAAAAAAGGTAGAAAAACTCATCTGTCGCTTGACCAGCATCACGAGAGGCCTTTATTGGATTCTGTTAGGACAAAGACTTATGTATTATGCAGCTAGCTCTATAAATTCTAAAGTTAGTTCAGTGACTTTTGGTGTCCGGCCGACTCCGGCCAATCATTCAGCCCAATCAACCTGCAGCTATCTTCTAATTCAGCCCAATCATTCCATTGAAGACCATGTTTCTGCTTCCCAAAGCATTCATTTGTTACATGGTTAGCAATTCAAGACATTTTATCTACTGAAAAGAGAATGAGTTTCATGCAAATGCAGGTGGTTTAAAATGTGTATATTTTTTTCATCGGTTCTTTGAGAGAAAATGCCACCTCTTTTGCACTTGCAGCTTCACCAAAAGGATTGGGATAGACTTGTTGAATGAGTGTCGTCTAAACAGGCCAGTGACTAGTTTTTCTATTGGTTATTAAATTGACATTAAAGGTTCTTCTGCTACTATACTTTTGTGTGAGTATGCAGTTCCCTCGGACATTTTCCGTCAGTACTTGTAAGGGCCTAGTTCCTCTTTTGATTTGTTTTCTGTGATGCAGTATGTGCAGCTTTAGTTCTGTTTGTAATGTGTTTATCAGTATGAAAAATTCTTACTAATAAGAGAAGACACATTTAATTATACTCGCATACATTTTCTTGTCCAAAGACAACATAAAATTATAAGAACAACGCAATTACCAAGTTAGCTAATGCAATCATAAATCACAATAGTGTTCATTCATGCCTCAAGAAATTAATGCAATTCCTTAAAACCCCATGAAGCAAAACTTGAAGTACAATGCATAGTCATGACAACCCAATTGGTTAATTCAACAGATAGAACACAACAGAGTATAATGATAAAAACAAAGATTCAAAACAATCTGAACAAGACCCATGAATCAAAATTGCAGCAAAAAGAATAGCAACCAATAAAAAAACAGATAGAGAGAGAGTAAAGAGAGACACATACTGATGCCATCAACCTCATCTTTTTTGGCGAAGTAACGGTTGCCAGCTTTGTCCATTCCCACCATAGTCCTGTTGGTGAAGAACCCAGCAACCCTCTGAAAAAGCTTCGACATTTCTCTTCCCGAAATCCAATGAAATCTCAAATGGGCTTCACTTCGCTGTCAGTATATTGCCATCACCAGCATCTTCTTTGATGTCCCTAAATGTTTAGCTGTGTTGTACGACAGTCGTTTGCAGTTTGCAGGGTTATAGAAGAAACAAATTATGGGTTTTAGTTTGAATCTACGACAGCATCGTCCTCGGCTCCGTTAAACTTAATCTCTCTGAACCCACGCGCCTCCTCGCCGGTCAAAATAATACCAGTTAAGCCACCTCGTCGTGGTCCTTGTTGGGGTTTGCGATGCAACTAGTACGGTTCAACCCGAATTTTGAACTGTATGGCCGGGTTAGAAGTGTACAAATTGGGTTTGGTTTGGGTCAAATAACCTCTGACCCAAACAAAAAATTGGGCTGATCGTGAATGCAGGTTCTGTCAACTCAAACCCAACCCAATTTGATCAATCGAACCCAAATCAACATTGTTCATTTTCCACTTTGTTTGCATATATAGCGACAATTGAGGGCATGTATTGTAGTTTAGCTCGCAATCAACTCTGATATGCCAAATTAAATAGGTGGATGGATAGATGTGTTAGGAATCAGACCTTTCATCTTTTAGAAAGAACAAGTGCAAAATAATACAAACGCAATCGGAAACACAAAAGTAAATCAATCACTCAAAATTAGAATTCTCATAGTGCTACTAACCATTAGGTCATTTTCCAAATTTAGGTTTACTTATTCTGTCAACCAGTCCTCTAGATCTTAATCTAGAACAATTATTTGAATTCTAATTTATAGAGAAAGCTTAACGTATGTTAAGATTTCGATGAAAGGTGATCATGTGATTATTGCATAACCACTATATCCATGGAATTTTGATGCTTTTGCTATGTTCACAACATTGAAAATATATTTTTTTAATAGTTAGGAGAGATCAAAATGCTCTTGATTTAATTGTGAGTGCAATATACATGACTGCGTAACATAAATTTGGTTATGCGGTTACTAAGCATGCATATAAAAGTATGATAATTAAAAGAGTAATATCACACACCAAGATTTTTTCCAACTCTTTTTCAAATTCTCTCCCATAAAGGGAGCATGATACTATAAAATTTTGTATGATTCATATAAGGTTCACTCTATGGAAGAGAATTTGACAAAAGAGTTGGAAAAAATCTTGATGTGTGTGATATTACTCGTTATGTGAAAGAATTGATATACGAGTTGGGATAACTCTTTGTGACATGCTTACTTATATGAAATGAGTATTTGAATTAAGAGATAGTTAAACAGGTGACAAAACCCTATACTTTTCATTACAAAACCAATAAACTTGAAAAAGATTGAATTACTCTCATTTCGGACTTCCCCTTACGTTTACTAATATTTAAGTTTAAGAATTATTCTTATTCTTAACTTCCCTTTTATTTACAAACACTAATAAGAATTAGAAAGAAAAAAAATATATATGAATTAGAAAATAGTTAATCTCATACTATTTCATTTTCTGACATATTCCTAACTTCTACCATTCATCCCTTTCTCATTCCAATTCAGTAAAAAAGTCATTGATGTATTCCTCAACTACTATGCGAAGTTCAGTAACATGTTTGACAATAAAATAAGGAGTGAGGACCAAAATGAAATGTTCGTCAAACTAAAATGCCTACTGGTGTGTTGGCTTCCCCTCCGTCAAGAATCTCGGGAACCAAACAGTGTTATACGTGTTCGTACGGTGTCTACTCGTATTGGCATTTAGGCTTTCCAGAGAATTCAAAACTTATGCTCAGCTCTACAGTCTATCTCCAGATAAGCTCAATCAAATTAACTCCCGATTTGTGGGAGCAGATTTCCACCAACAAAATGGGTTCTTAGAGACTCAATTACCTAAAGAAATTTTCAATTTTGATGCTTTCATAAAGCTTCAATTGTCCATTAACCAAGTAGGTATTTTGCAGAGACTTGAATTTGCTCAATCTCTGCAAAACCCAACAAAAGCCAATGGCTTTGTCCAATTCAATCATGTGGGTCTCTGCAAAACCTCCATTTTCTAGCTCATTTCTCCAAAACCCTAAACCTCTTTTGCCCCAAATCTCACGTCCAAGTCTCCATTCTCAATCTTCACTGACCCCAACAATCCACTGTGGTCTGCGTGAGCTCCGAGTGCGAATTGATTCCATAAAGAGTACCCAGAAAATCACCGAAGCCATGAAGCTCGTCGCAGCTGCCAGAGTTCGAAGAGCCCAAGAAGCAGTCATCAATGGCCGACCCTTTGCCGAGACCCTCGCGGAGGTCCTTTACGACATCAATGAGAGGCTTCAAGGTGAAGCCATAGATGTGCCCCTGACAAATGTTAGAGCCGTCAAAAGAGTTGCTCTTGTGGTCATCACCAGCGACCGCGGTCTCTGTGGTGGTTTCAACAACTTAGTGATAAAAAAGACCCAGACCCGGATCGCCGAATTGAAGAAACTTGGATTGGATGTCACTGTGATCAGTGTCGGCAAAAAGGGTAACTCCTATTTTATGCGTAGGCCTGAAATTAGCGTTGATAGGTTTATAGAAGGTGGCCTATTTGCAACAACAAAAGAGGCTCAGGCCATTGCGGATGATGTTTTTTCACTTTTTATTAGCGAGGAGGTTGATAAAGTTGAACTTGTGTACTCTAAATTTCTGTCATTGGTGAAATCCCAACCGGTTATTCAGACCCTGCTTCCATTGTCACCGAGGGGCGAGGTTGTTGATGGGAATGGGAATTGCGTTGATGCAATGGAGGATGAGTTCTTTAGGCTGACAACAAAGGGAGGCAAACTGAGTGTGGAGAGGGATAGTGTGAAGAAAAAGAGGGAAGGGCTTTCGCCGGTTATGGAATTTGAACAAGACCCTGTTCAGATTATTGATGCCATGATGCCTCTCTACTTGAACAGTCAGATTTTGAGGGCATTGCAGGAATCAACAGCTAGTGAGCTCGCGGCAAGAATGAATGCTATGAGTAATGCGACCGACAATGCAGATGACTTGAAGAAGACTCTTTCGAATTCTTATAATCGGGAACGTCAGGCAAAGATTACAGGGGAGATATTGGAGATTGTTGCTGGAGCTGAGGCACTAAAAGATTTTGAGTAATCTCAATCTTCCTCTTCTTGTAGTTCTTTCATTTTTCTGCCATATTGTTCATGGTGGAAGTTTTGTGACTTATTCATAGTCAATAAGTTAGTGCAAAGCGTCATTAGCTAGAGAGTTTCTTAATTGTAATGATAGTCTGAGCTCTCATATTGAGAACCATATTATGAAATGGAGGGAAAAAAAAATCATTCTTATTCATTGATTAGCAGTGTGGAGATGCAGATGATGATATCAACTAGCAGAATTACAAAATCATCTACTCTTGAAATGTTGCATTAATGAATTCTAGTTCTTCAAAGATTGTAAAATCCTAGTAGAAAGATTGTTTCCATACATTGATTGGGAAACTCTAATAGAAATTTAGGAGCTTGATGAAGAAATCAATCAAGAAGTTGTCATACGGAAACTAGTCAGTCTCATTTCCTTGAAAAAAAGGGGAAAAATGGAGGAGAAACTTCTAGGTGCTTAAAAATTCATCACACCGTCGAGTGTTGATAGTGACCGCCATATATTTTGAAGAGAAGAAGGTATCTTTCGGGGGCAATAATGTAATTAATATGCAGCTTTCCAGAATATACAGACTTCTCAAATATCAAGATCTTCTCCTCCCATGGATTAGAATACATTAGTGAGTCATATAAACGCATAAACTTAAGACAAAGTTACTTATCTTTTTCTTGGTGGAATGCTAACTCTTGTTATCTGTCTGTTTTTACTTGTCCTGCTTTGCTGCTGGTAAAAAAGCTAAAATTTACAACAGGGGATAGTTAAAATTTGTTCCTTCCTCAGTCTCACTGTTGACCGGCAACGGAAGAAAACAGCCTAGAATAATAAGATTTCCACAAATTTATGGTTACACTTGATGACCCCACTTATGGCCACAGCCCTCCAATGCATTGCATGAGCATCAGCAACTTGAATCTGCTAAGATTGCTTTGCTAAGATTCTCCTTTGTTTTTTTTTAAAGTAATCTTGGAGGTGGTTGAATTGGTGAAAAGCATTGGAAAATTTTGTTGGTTTGTCGTGCATATGGCAAAATGATCTGTTTTTTTCTTTGGCATGCAACTCGGCAGCCCAGGTACGATGAATGACGGCTTCTCGGCATTGTTTGTGGGTCATATTGCTGTTTATAACGGGTCCTTCCAAACTTAGATTTCCCTTTCAATGTACAATTTTGTCTTGGTTGTGATTCTTTCTTTTATTACATATGCATAATGCATGCATCACTCTTGTTTTGTCGTCCCTGAACTTTCCTAGACGGCTCTCTCTCTCTCTCTCTCTCTCTCTCTCTCTCTCTCTCTCTCTCTCTCTCTCTCAGGTTAAACTTTTTTTGTGTTAATTATATGATTCACATGTTTTTTTAATCTTTTCCATTTGATGTATACAATTCTCTTTTCTCTTTCAATATTTCATGTTTATTTTCTTACTTTTGGTCTCTGTTTCCTGATAGTAACTAAATTGTGCGCTGTGAAGTCAAGGTTGGGCTACCATTTCTGCTGCTTTTTCTTTTAATATTATCCTCTCTCTTTTTTTGTTTGCTAAGGAATTTTTCTTTCGTTTTTTTTATGCGAAACAGAGAATTAGAAAGCAAAGCCTCTAGGGCAAGCCAGCCCAAAGAGATCAAAATAAAAAAGAGAAACAACGGATAAAGGAAGACAGTAGGGATCTTAGCTAAAATATTATTTGTCACAGCCCCATAATTTTTCTGTCTTTGCTTCAGCTGCTTTAGTCACAAGTATTGACTCTCCTGCATTGCAGAGCTATATTTTCCGAATTTAACATGTGCATAGCTGCTGCTTTAAGAAAAATGTGAATCAAATCTGAGGAAGAGACAGAAGGCAGAGAAAACTTTAATTGTGCCTTATACTATGTTGTATGACACCCCCCCACGTTTGCAATAAAACTTTAAAATGTAATGATAATAACCTCAAATCCAAGTGGACTTGAAAGGAAAGCATCCACTACTTTAAACTAATCAATTCAGCATCCCTCATTCCCTGTTTTCCATTTGTTGTTTGCACCTTTTTCTTCTTTCTTAAAGGGACACTCTCTCTCTCTAAACCAGACATAGCATCATCTGAGAAGATCCCTACCGGCCAAATAAATTTACAAAGACATATTCTTTATTTTCTTTTATGGTTTTTTTGTTTTTTTGTTTTTTGTTTTTTTTTTTGGGGTTTGCTTGGAATTTACAAAGAGAAAGATCTTATTAACTGGTTTTGTTTTACCTTCTTCGAAGTCAGACTTCTTGGGGACCAAAAGTAAATACATGGGAAACCATCAACTTGGAGATCTACAAAAGACAGGTCTGTCTTATTCATGTCATTTTTCACTGCCCTTTTGTACCTGTGGCAGCTTGGGTTCTCCATAAAATCTACCCCTAGTCGAATTCTTTCAATCATCCTCAGGTAAGACCTTGTATAGAAGAAATAAGATTCTTATCAGAACCATCGTCTTCCCTCTGCTTTTAAGTTCTGGGAAAAGAAAAGAAAACCATCTACTCAAAACTTTCTCTTTAACATAATCTTGCTTTCCCATGTTACAGATACCCCTTTGGAATCTTGGGAAAGTTGTGGTGCCTGGCAGTTCTCAATCAGAGAAAGGTAGATTCTTATTTCCCTCAACTGAGACACCCTTTTAAGGGTGGCAACCCTCTGAAGTAATCTTAAGAATTCTCTCTCTCTCTCTCTCTCTCTCTCTCTCCTCTCTCTCTCTCTCTCTCTCTCTCTCTCTCTCCCTCTCCAACTTGTATTCATTTTTGGTATAACAGCTTCTTTGGACTGGAGATGATCCGCATCTAAATTCTGACCTCTATGAAATGTTTCTGTCATCTTTGGACAGGTAGGCAATCACCAATGGAGAACAGGTATGGTCTAACAAGGCAGTGCAGTGGAGTTTGGAGGGCCTTGAGAGATGGAGACTTTGAGGAAGAGGATGTTTGGGAGGTTCTAAAAGATAGGAACAGTTCTAGTAACAAAATGGTTGGTAGATCCAAGGAATCCTCTGTTTCTGTTCCAAGACACCTCCCAACTGCTTCAAGAATGATCCCAAAAGCTAGCAGTCACAATTATGGAAGTGGCAGTAGCTGTAGTAGCAGCAACACCATCACTCATGAAGCCAAAATTGTCCAACAATCAGCACCTGTCAACATTCCTGATTGGTCAGAAGTATATGGACAGAAATCAAAGAAGGTCCCCAAGAATGTTTCATGGCAGAATGATGATGCTGATGATGAAGAAGAAGTTGGGGATGATGATGGGGACAGTGATGATGATGATGAGGAGGAAGACTATGACTCAAAGGTACCCCCTCATGAATTTATTGCTAGGAGGCTTGCAAGGAGCCAGATTTCTTCTTTTTCTGTTGTTGAAGGTGCTGGAAGGACCCTCAAAGGGAGGGACCTCAGCAAAGTGAGAAACGCTGTTTTAACAAAAACTGGTTTCCTTGAATCATTGTGATCAGGTCTCATCCAATGCAATCAATCATAAAGGTCTTGCTATAATTGTCATGTCATGTATAGGGGTTTCTGTGATGGTTTTTTTTTGGGTCAGAGAATGTCTTGTGTAGTTAATGTTTTAGGGTGTAAGAAATCCAATTTTAGTTTGTAGAATTGCCATGAAATTCATCTCCCCTTTCCTCATGGGTTTTTAATTGCACATTTCCATTTTCCATGTATAGGTTTTTACTGTCCTAATATGTGAATATTTATGGCCCAAAGCATAACCAACTGCAGGTACATCAAGGAGCTGCTGCCGTTGTTTTTTTCTGGGTGAAAGCATGAAGTTTCATTCATTTGCCACAAAATCATAAAATCAGTAATGTCAGAACTAAAATAATGAGAACCATGAACATATCATACTGCTACTAACATTATCTTAGAATCTCATTGCCCCCTTATGAACGTGGCCAAAATTGACTCGCAATATACATTCATTTTATTGGGTTGGCCTGGCCCCAGAATGATCTCTATTCAAGTATGGTTAGGTGGGAAGGAAATATTATAAAATTCCGTTCGTCGACCACACGAAGAACATTTTTTTATTTTAATACAATCGATATTTGAAAAGGAGGGAATCGAATCTAGAATCTCGGGTGCAGAGGTAAATGCTCTTAACCACTTAAGCAACAAAAACATTTCTTTTAATCCATAATTGCACAACACTAAAATACATAAAAGATCTACCTCTGCTGTCTAAGCAAGTTACCTTTATTGGGCCACATCCCGCATGGGCAAAAAGGCATTTTGCCCCTTGAATGAACCCAATTATTGTTACTGCGTGCCCAGCCTCCTAAACGATATGGAAGAAGAAGAAGGACCTCACCACCACACAGATAAATCTGAGAATTTGAAAAAGACCTCTTACCAACTGCAATGAATGAATTAGTCTCTTTCTTTTTCATTTTGTTTTTTGTTTTTTCTTCCTCAAATAAATAAAAACGCTGCAATCTCTTTCATTTCAGAGTGTTCCTCAGCTAGAAAACAAGCTTTCCTTGAGCTTTTCTTAATTTTTTTTTACTCTCCCCACTTAATCATGCTTTAACTGTTTAATCAGTTTACCTCTTTTGACCTTTTGGGCTATGACTAAGTGTTGTCTCTTTCTTTCCTAAATTTAACACCCCCCACCCTTATAAGCATCCCAACGGGTCCCTTCTTTGTTTTTTTATTTATGGTAATTGCACTTTATTTATTTAAAATATATTGCTTTTCTCCACTCCATACTGAGATGGCAAATTTTGGCTTTAGTAAAATTGTTTTCAGTTCAGGGTATTTTATCAGAAATTTCAAAAATTGACTGACTTTCATTGGTGGTCTTGGTATTTTGTATTTTTTTTAATTTATAGAGCAGAAGAAAAGGATGATCATTGACATTGCTTATTTTAAATAGCAGCAGCACTATAGATATCTAGAAGAGCATTCAAATTTGTGTGAAACGGGAATAATATTGTTTTGCCATTTTTAGTCAATTACAATATATCACGCTTGATAATTTTTTTACTTGACATGTCGTGATTGATTAAAAATAACAAAATACTATTATTTCCGTTCCACACAAATGTAGAGACAATAATCCGCCTATATTGAAATAGCCATTTTGGACTACTGAAGCCCAAATGTGATACGCCTTGAGGTTTTGGGATAATAAACAAACAAATAATTAAATAATTACCAAGAAAAACAAAACAAACTCATTAGCTAAGATGGTGATCATAAGTGCGGTACATGCTCACTCAAGACTCAACGACAAAACTTATGCATTATTTTGTACAAGTAATAATAATTTAGGTTCAAGTTCAACCTCATGGTGGCTCAGTGCTCTTACCTTTTAAATCCCTTATCTGTTATTTTTTCGCCTAAACTTTACAGCATTGATTTGTCGACATACATTCTAAAACAGGGAAATCATAATCCTCTTCTTAGTTCAATTATTTGCTTGTAGTTTGGCTAAAAATAGTCGTCCATGAAGACACGTTTCGAAATTATTGGAGTCAAATTACCTCATATTGGCTCCGCCATTCCACGCATATATGCACTACGAATTTATTGTAAATTCTACATCAATCAATTAATCGTATATACGTATAATCTCGCATTTTTATATATCGATTCGCAACGTCAAAGGCTCAAGAGATGAAGGAAGCTAGAAATTGCCTCAGCCTTTCCTTCATGGAAAAATTCTAGTTCCTTGAGTGCCAAACTTCTGAGCTCCTTCACCACTTCCATTGTTTCCATCTCATTTCCTTCTTCAACTCTATTTGAAAACGCTCTCATCACTCCCACACACAGACCATATCTTCTCAATCTCTCTATTTCCTCCTCACTTGCGCCTCCTAATATGGCCCCACAGGCGGCCCCACATGCATGGAACCCACCTTCCTTTTTTCAAACACGTATTTGTAGTACCTTGATTGTTTGCACAGCAGCAGTATCTCATGGTATTGCCCATCCACCATGCCCTGTGACCCCATGGCACGTGTCATTTCAATGATAACCCGTAAAATCCGGTCCGAATTGTTTTGGGCCGGATCCATTGACTAGCCAATAACTCATACCCAAATGCAAATATTCCATCTCCAGTGAGAAGCTCTATCCCTGCACTGTGAACCATGGGCCTGGGCTTGGGCTTGATATTGGGCCCATCGGTTGATAGAAGTTGCTCATGAGTAACAGCTGCGGCATGCATGAGGTGCAAGGCAGCTGCCGCAGCAATGGCTTGGTCGCGGTGGCCGCCCACGAGCTCACAAGCGGCCACGCACAACACCGGTCCGGGGCTTGGCAGGGCGGAAAACACGAAATGGTGCATGGGCTCAAACACTGAGAGTGGAGGCCTGACAAGGATGTGCTGCTTGCTTGAGATGGACCTCTGTCTCGGCATGCACGGACGCCCAATAAGGATGATCTTGCGACATTACAGCCATCGTGGTCCTAGATGGACGGCTAGGATTTGATCTTGACATTTTATTTGCCAATGGGTTCGGGTTGATGCTAATGCGAAGGAGAGCTGCCATAGCTAGGACTCAGGAGGAGGCGTGAGAGAGGCTTATTGAGAGAGGAAGGTGAAGAGGTTAGATACAATTATATAGGAGAGTCTCAGAGGTAGGTTTGTTCTTGTTTATTGTCGTCTGCTTCATTCATGGAATCTTTGCTCTGCCTAATTTGCCAGTAAGTGACGTCGTGTGGCCCTCCTCCTTGTCTACATAATTACCTGAGCTGCATGTCGTATGCCCACTTACAGTCCTGAAAAATAAAAGACAAAACATCTAATCAAATGAATGGCTGTGTGATTGTCACTTTTGGGTGGTTGTAACCAGCCGATCAATACTTTTGGTTTGGAGCTTTATGTAGCTGTACTGTACCACATCACATGTATCACATATTAGTGAATTAAGGGCAACGTCTACGGTGCACGCGGTGCACCGGTGCGCCAATTTTTCAAAACTGCCACAGCAGGTAGCAGGTAATATCATATAAATAGCTGTTATTTTCACTCACATGTCTTATTTTCTCAATCACCTTATCTTTCCACCCATCATATAAATTTTAAAAAATACAATCATATTTTTTCACACACTAATATTTCTAAAATACCCTTCTAATTATTACCTCATTTCCTCTCTCCTTTTATTCTCTTCTCTTTGCTCATGTCTTCTCTCCCTCTTACTTACGCCCCACACATCTTTCTCTCTCATTTTTGCTGTATGTTATTTTCCATCTCTCACTCTCTCTCTCTCTCTCTCTCTCTCTCTCTCTCATGTTTACTATACAAATTAAAACAGTTTTTTGCTGCATCTTCTTTTTCTTTTCTTTTTTGTAATATATGGATTATGTGAATATAATCATATTTATGCTCTTAGCTTCCTACTATTAATAAACTCTTTCTCCAAAGTTATGTGTTTAAGTTATATAATGATGATCTTCTCATAATTTTTGAAATTTCCATTGAATATGAATTTTTTCTCTAATTACCTCTTCAAAGGTCCACTTAACAAGCTTAGATTTTAAGGTATTTCTTGTCAAAATTTGGTGAATTTTATTTGATTAGAGGGAGTGTGCTAAGCGAAGGACTACCAAGAATGACTCATGTTGGTCCCAACAATGCTTCTCATGGTGCCTTGAGTGTGCATGAGGGGTTCCTTTTTGGGCTATTACTTAACCTACTCGTGTTCTTGTGCAGGGTGCCTCAAGTTTATATTTATTTTTTTGTTTGTCGTTCTCTGTTATTTTGCTGGTCCTTAGTGTCTTTGGCTGATGCTTTAATGAAGCAAGCTTGAGTGACCAAAAAATAAAAAAACTATCGTAGATATATAGCTGGAAATATGAAGAAGCAAAAAAAATTTGTTTGGTCTGTTAGTGTTTGTTTTTATTTTGGGGAATGGTTAGAGATTGGTTTAGTTGGTTTTGGAATCTTTGAATTTTGGATTGTTTGATTTTGGAGAATTTTTTTTTTACAGGTTTGGTGCATATGCTTATATATGTCCATATCTATATAATTTGGTTGTGTTTATGTAATCTTCAAAGAGGTTTTACCTGCAATTGGAAATCGTTTCCGCACAGGGTATTGAGCAATTTTCTTTTATCAGTTCCTTTCCGTTATTATTTCGTTTCCATGTTTTTTTATGCGGCATAAAATTCTATATGACCATCAAAACAACTTAAAGAATGAAAATGCCATTCAAGAACACTAACTAATGCTTTGGTTTGTTTAGAAACAAACATGAGTTTTTGTTTTGTTTTGTTTTTTTTTTTGAAGTGTCAAAATTATATTTTTGGAGCATGAGAGAGTATAGAATGTCACAAGGAGTTTGTCGTAAATTTTGGTTGTATTTTTTAGATTTATAATTTATTTATTATAATTTTTAGAAATTAAATTATAGAAAAAGTTAAATTAAATGATATATGGCGACACATGACAACCGAAGAAAGAAGAAAATATATAGCATGGTATAAAAAGAAAAAGAAAATATAAGGAAAGGAATAAAAAGAAAAGAAAATATAATGCAGACAAATATAAGTTTAAAAAAAAAAAAAAAAAAAAAAAAAAAAAAAAAAAAAAAAAAAAAAAGAAGAAGTGGAATTATCTAATGGGAAGGGACGGCTGGCTAGGGGTAGGGATGATAATTTTCCCCACGGGTAAAGGTTTTCACAAGAATTCGACCCTAATGGGTCGGGTATGAAGGACATAAAACGGGTAAGGGGATGGGTACATGGAATTTTTTGGGTATGGTGTTTGGGGAAGGGAGGGGATGGTATTTTAATCTCCAACCCGAACCCTCCCCGTTTAGAATATATATATATATATATATATATATGTTATTAAAGTGATCATACCGACTAAGTTTTATATTATTATATATTTATATAATTTATACAAACCTTAAGCCACACTACTTATTTATTTAGTTAACTTCCAATACATATATAAACATTCTTATATTGTCTCATAAGTATAAATTATATATATATATATATATTCATTAATGCCTTAGTACTTTTTTTCTTTCAACAAAGTAGTTATATATTGATTTTTTCTTCCGTAATGGGGCGGGTTGGGGAATCCCCGATATGAATATTGTGGGTATGAATGCGGGGATGGGGGAGAAAAACTTAACAAGAATGGGGATGGGAATGGCATACCCACCCCTCATTCGACCCATTTCCATCCCTAGATGAGGGAGTTGTGGGGTTTAATTGTTTTTTTAATGGATATAACTTATTTTGTTTTGTTTAGGCTCTTTTAAAAAACCTTTTTTAGTTTTGCTTTTCTCTCTCATACTTTTGTTCTCTTTACCGATTGTGCAAGTTCCAATTATAGCTTTTTCTACATTTGTTAATAGCCGTTGATTACAATTGATTCAACGTTGAAAAAATTCAAGCACTGATACACCAGGTCCATGGTAGAATTTTCGGTGAATTAAGTTGTGTTCGCGTGTATCATGTGGTTACTTATCCATTTCGATTTGCAGTAACTATCTTCTTTCTAATGTTTTTCCATGACACAAACCACGGTATGATGTATCTTTAATATTAAATGAAAATGAAAGCCAAGAGATGATTCTTACAATATGCTTCATTTGGTTTGGTTTGGTTTAGGCCTTAAATCACACGCCAAATTGATGTAATATCACGAGTTTGATTATGCCTCAAACTGCATACCGAACAAATATAACATTACGGTTTGAATTAGGGTGAAATGGAATGGATTTTGTAATGCTCCAAATTTCCAAAAGGTCGATAACTAGATGAATGGTGGTGACTTGTGGCCAATCCACGATGATATACAAATCTACGATGTATCACATCACATATATACTGTTAGCAATCAATAAAGGTGTGTGACTAAAATCCATTATCATGTTGTTGACAAGTTAATACTCATTTTATGTCTTCTTCTTCTTTTTTCTTTTTTTTGTGATATAATAATATATAATTGACTAAATAAACAACCTTTAAAATTTCAATTAAAATTTTCAAGTGTTTCCATGTTATGTGGTTTTTATTCAATTTTTACCGATATCGATAATTTCTCGATATTTCCATTAATATTTCCGTGCTTTTAAACCACCGATATCGTAGACAAAGATTGCATCTGATTATTCCAAATGATGTCAAGATTGCCAAAGACATGACATGGTTTAACATGTTCCGTTTAGACCCTAGTTTAAAACATGCAAGTTTTTCTGTTAATGGTGGCACGAGCAAAAATGTGCTGAATTACATTTATGCCACCAATGCATATGCTTTTTATTTCTATTTTAATTATTGTTATTGCTTAATATTTAAATTTTGGCTAATCAAGCTCAATTTGATTAGGGTTTGGGGTGGGTCTTGTTCTTCAAATTATAACCCCAAACAAAAGGTATGTATAATGGGTCATTGCAGGTATTTGATCATTCATTTCATTTGATGGGGCCTCTGGACCTGTAAAATCCATTATTTGAGTCATGTTCTTTGCACGTGCTCCATGTGTGCATGCCGTCTTTTGGTATGTAGGGGTAGTTGAGTCGAGCATTTGTGAAGACAAATAAATTTAGAAGGAAAGAGTCCACCGTTTGATTCTCTAAATAAATTAAATTAGTCTGCACCTTATGCCGACATGTGACACTGGTTGTTCAACAAACATTTATTTTCTTCACTTACAATGCAATATTGTATTAATTTTGCAATAGTACGTTTCAAATTAAACCATACAATTTAGTTCATTAACATTTAGCGACAAGCATAATGCTAGGCTTATCACATTTTGTACCACCTTTCTAATAGATGTGGAGCCCACCAATATAATAGGGTCCACCTCTATTAGAGAGATGGTACACAATGTGATATAAAAATATGGTAAGCTTAGCATCTTCCGACAAGGGTAATGCTCGATATACGGTTAATTTTCGCCTGTAAATTTTGATTTGCTCAAATGAAAAAACCAAAAGAAAAAACTTTGATCTATGGTCTGGTGAAGTTCTTTTGTAATGTCTGTCTAAAATCCATAATCCTCTGAGTAACATTCCAAACAAGTTTAGAACCATCCAATTCCAATTTTGCTTCATTGCCAAATACCTATGCAGATGTTTCCCCTTTCACTTACCAATTCCATCTTGTGTCTAGAAAAACTTAACAAAAATGGTACATAGGCGGAGCTAACCTTTCCATATTGGAGGAGGCCAATAACTCAAAACTTTCATTATTTTCTTACTAGTTACATGTTGTTTCATAAGTTTTCATTAAACTTTAAAAAGGAAAAATACGGCATTTTTGGGTTCACAGTTGCACATATAATTTTTTTTCTATATCTCTTGTCACGTCATTTGTCACGTAAAGTTTATTCCTTATGGATTTGTTACTTCTCATACTCAAAGCCTTTCATAGGCCTTCTATTTTGGGTCAGAAATTTACTCAAGATCTCAAGTGGTATAGTATTTTTGAGGCACACAGGCTTCTTCACAAATCATAAGGTGGTTAAGATGTCTCTCGCGTATGGCAAAACTTCAGACGTACAACTTGGGACAGAAAATTGAATTTAAAAAGTTTTGTTGAGGTCAGTTATGTAATTTTTGAACAGTATTTCAAGTTTCAACACCAATGGTTGTTGGGTCTTCCTCACCTCCACGCACCTCCACCTTCTCTTTAACACCAATTAGAAACACACAACTTCACCTGCCCAGAAACCCAAGAGACCAGACCTCCATGCTTTGAGCATGCAGAGGTTTCTGTGAAAACATTTGGGTGTTCGATTTTTCCTAAGGAGCGTGGAATTTTTGGATCTGAATTTGGGTCAAGCAAGTGAGTTGACTTCATTGACTTGGGATTGGTAATGAGTCATGTATTGATTTAGCTATTGGGTTTGGTTAGAGTGAAGAGAAGTACAATGTCTTGGAAGAGCAGAGGAGCCGAGTCAGCTTCAAAGAGTGCAGTGTCTCGGAAATGGACCATTTTGTTTTGTATTGGTTGCTTTTGTGCTGGGATGCTGTTCTCTGATAGGTAATTTCTACTCACATAAAGCTTCCATTTTTCTTTGAATTCGATCCATTTGTTTAAGTATTTAGCTTGTAACTCTAATTTGGTGAAGTTTGTAGCTTCCTTTTCCCCTTAATTTTAGTAAAAGATTTGGAATTTTGGTGGGTTTGTGTATATTGGCATTAATTGTGTCAGCCAATAGTTCTTAAAGAATATTGGTGAGTGATGATGGATTTTGAACGGTTTTCTGGGATTGGTAATTAAAGCATCTTTGGTGTATTTGTTAATTGTTTTCTGGGAATCTTAAAGTGGAGATTAATGATGATGGCCGTGGTTTTTAAATGCAGTTTTACTAATCAGACAATGAAGCTTATGTGTCCTGGAATTCTCTTTTTTCTGTATTACAATTATGAGATTGTGATAGATCTGAATTTCATGGAATAGATCTAACTTTTGAAAGTTTATATGAATATTATTCATCGTACTGCTTGAATTCAGACATCATGCTTGGACATCAGTTGCTGTCCTAATCATTTAGTTCAAGAGAGGACTCCGGTGTCCCTTCTTCATTAAGTGGTCCTGCACCATCTTCTGTGCGGCCCCTCCCTCCCTTGACCTTTCCTTTCCCTCTCTTTGCTTCTCATTGACGGAAAACCTTTTGATGGGTTTCTCCTGCATGATTTCCAGATTAGGATATCGGTTTTTGATAACATCCTCTGGCATCGCTTATCTGCTTACACGTCACATTCCGGTTGCTACGTGCAATTTTTCTGCAAAATGTGCATGCATACACATCAAAACATGTTATTACTTGGAACATTATCAGAAGCGATAAAGTAGCATGTTCTATGGTAGAGTATAATTCCAGGCATGTTCTATGCTTATAAAATAATAAATAAACTCTGCCAACAGAATGTGGTCAGTGCCTGAAATTAAAGGCATAGCGAGGACGACAAGGCATGAAGAAGAAACGCTGCAGTTAGTTTCTGGCTGTGATCCAACAATTGTGAGTATTTTATCCAAATAACCATGTCCTTTTCTTTTCTTTATTTGTTTATTTATCTCTACCTTTCTTTTTATTTAGAAGGATGTAGAACATGAACAGAAGGATGTTTATGGGGAAGTTTCAAAGACTCATCATGCTATACAGTAAGCCAATGCCGGAGCTTATCTAAATTTTGTTGAAGTTGCCAGTGTTATATCTCATGACTCTTACAAAATGCAGCACACTGGATAAAAAAATTTCAAATTTGGAGATGGAATTAGCTGCTGCAAGGGCTGCACAGGAATCCATACTTAATGGTTCACCTATTGCAGAAAATTTAAAAATTCCGGAGACAAGAAAGAAAAGAAAATATCTGATGGTCGTAGGAATAAATACTGCTTTTAGCAGTCGAAAGCGCAGAGATTCAGTTCGTGCTACGTGGATGCCTCAAGGTTTGTTGATTGACAACCTGCTTTCTTGTATAATTTTCTAATTAGATTTGAAAGCGTCTGACATTTCCTTTCCACTTTTTCTTTACTATATGATTAGGCGATAAAAGAAAGAAGCTTGAGGAAGAAAAGGGCATTGTAATTCGATTTGTAATAGGTCACAGGTGGGCATTTGAGTTCAAAGCTGTTTGTTGATACCAATTTTTTTATTTATTTCTCGTTTAGGTATTCTGTCAATATATTTCATGAAGGTCTCAGTCTTTCACAAGAAAATCATGTAATTTGGTTCTTTGCTATTGAGATCTTTAGCCTGCCATAGATTCAATCTATGTAGAGAGTTTTTATTTATTAAAAACATTCTGGGAATCATACAATGTGATAGAATCAAATACTCTTTTCCCCTTTGGTTGTGTCTTAAAATTCTAATTTCTTTTCCCCCTCCCTTCTACTATCCACATCATAATTTTATTCTCCATCATGTAAAGAAACACTACAAGTATGCATGCTAGACAGCTTTCAGGCTCCATTGTCTATATGTGTATGTATGCATTCTGTTTTCACTACTGCATTTCTTATTTCTTATTTATTTTTATGTTTTATCTCAAAGTTAATTTTTTGTCACATGATTTACCCCTCGGTTATCTACGATATAGTCACCTCAACTTTGAAATCTTTTGCACTTCTTTAAAGATAAAAAATATAAACTTTAATGATTACAAACTGATTTGTCTTTCCTCTATCACCTGTTCCATTGCTAGTGCTACATCAGGTGGTATCCTTGATAGAGCTGTTGAAGCAGAGGACAAAAAACATGGTGACATTTTGCGGCTGGTAAAGCCCTTATCTTTTCAACTAGTTCAGTTAGTCTTTTATCTGACTGCACAACAGATATACTACGTAGGGACATTTCATAATGTGTTGATCTTAGGAAAAAGCTGATCGAAATTTGTCTTCATAAATTTTGTGAAAGCAGGATCATGTTGAGGGCTATCTTGAATTGTCAGCAAAGACAAAGATATTTTTTGCCACTGCTGTTGCTTCATGGGATGCAGATTTCTACGTCAAAGTTGATGATGATGTACATGTAAATATAGGTATATATTTATCACGTGTTCTGTTTCTTTTGTGGGTATAAAAGCATAAGAAATCTTTTACTCAGGAAAGTTTTTTGTTTTGTTTTTGTTTTTGTTTTATTGAGTTTGAAGCATTCATTATTCAAGCTCAAAATTACTTGTCCACTTGGTATTCATAAAGTTTCCTATGTATTCATGCTTTACATAACCTCTAAATGTTTTCATGATGAATACCGAGTGATGTAAAGCATTGTCTTTATATGACTATGTTTTGCAACCAAGTGGGTAGTACTGTGGCAAAAAATGTTGAAAATTTGTGTTTTCAAGGGTTTAAAACTGGAAATTGGCTTTTCTTGATTAAGCTGAAATCAGAGTCTTGTTTAAGTAGTCATTAATGTTGGCATTTTTGCTGCAGCCAGTGTGTAATAACTTATGCCTATATCTTTCTCCATTTTCCTTAGTGTCGAATTCATTCATCTTGTTTTTTCAGGAACACTTGGAGCAACTTTAGCTAGACATAGATCAAACCCCAGGGTGTATATTGGATGCATGAAATCTGGTCCAGTCCTTGCTCGAAAGTGAGCTGAACGCTCTTCAAACTATTTCTTTCAGCTAGTCATTTTTGCCATTCTTTCCCTTACCTTATTTGTTTATCAACAGGGGAGTGAGATATCATGAGCCCGAGTATTGGAAATTTGGCGAGGAAGGGAACAAATATTTCCGTCATGCCACTGGACAGCTCTATGCTATCTCAAAAGATTTGGCTACTTACATATCAATCAACCAGTATGTTTCCATATTCTGTATGGTGGCAATCTTTCTGCCCAAAGTACGTTTACATATTTCTTACATTACGCTAATCATGTAGGCATGTGCTACACAAGTATGCCAATGAGGATGTTTCTCTGGGGTCGTGGTTCATTGGATTGGATGTGGAGCAGATTGATGACCGGAGATTATGTTGTGGAACACCACCTGGTAATTTCATATGCATCTATTTTGTCCCATTTCCTTTCAACTATCTGGGTATTAATGAGGATTGCTATGGCATTAGTTTTGGGAAAATAAATTTTGGTCTCTAAGAATCTGATTAACTTGGGTTGTTGCACACACCATATCTTCAACGTTGTGTTTCAGTTATGTAGAGTGCCAATGGATCGCCAAGACATTGTTTATTATTCTGACTCTTATAGCAAACAAGTTGAATTATTTATTTGGGTAGCACAATTTTCATTATGTGGCACACTAGGAATGGGGATAGTTTGGTGATTGTGACGTAAGGCATTGGCTTACATGGTATACAAGGCCTAGGTCCACAGGCAGCTGAGGTTTGAGTTTTTCACTCATTACAGACCCATAGAATTGAAATGCCAGAGGATGCATTTAGTGTAAAAAAAGTGGGAAAGACACAATTACCCATTGTGTTTACTGTTCTGAAAAATAATAATAATTAGAAGAGATGACTACTACCACTTTAAAGCACGCCTGCCCTTTAGCTATGACCTTTGTTACAACACACAAGTCTGTGCAGTGGCTTTCATATCTAGGATTGTGTTATGGGTTGATTATGGCCCATTAATTGCCACACTTGCTGTTTAGCTGGTGACACTTGATCATGGTGACTAGCGGCACATCTAAGACTCGTCATGAGATCTTAGCTTGGATCCTCCGACCTATTGACCATTTCTTACCAGAAGTTTGCTTCTTTCTGTTTATGACGTACGTTCTCATGTGACTTCTGTTTAAGACTTCAAGGCCAGGTTTGATCATGTGCGGAACAACATGGGTGAAAGACACCTGTCTTTCCCTGTGGTGCTCTTTCCATGTTATTGGTGGGTGAGTTTTGTGTGGATTTGCCCATTCATTCATGATAAGTTTACATGTTAAAATTACAAATAAAACAAAATGGGGATGAAACTTAACGGTGCATGGTTCAAGCTAGGAACAGATATTATCATAATGAAATTTACAATTAGAAGTTTAATGGTGTTAATTGTTACCACAGATTGTGAATGGAAGGCTCAGGCAGGCAATGTCTGTGTTGCTTCGTTCGATTGGACTTGCAGTGGAATCTGCAAATCTTCCGAGAGGATCAAGGAGGTCCATCGGCGTTGTGGAGAAGGTGAGAATGCTTTGTGGAATGCAGTTTTCTAACCAGCAACTTTCTTCCCAACTCAGGAGGAACATGTAAATGGCTTGAGCTTGTATCATAAAGTTCCGCACAGAAAAATGTTTGTAACACGATATGTAAAATGAGATGCATAGCGAGATGGGTTGGCACCCTGCTGGGGAAGTTGCTTTCCTATTTCTGGGATTCTACTCCATTTTAGAAGAGGAGAGAACCCCAATAACAAACTTAAAAGAGGCAAGAGATTGTAGTTAATTCATTCTTTGAGTGCTTCCGGGGCCATTTGTAAGTCTTCCATGGCTAATGGAGCTCCACAATAAGTGCCAATGTCCTGCTGCCTTTTACTTTATAAATTAGTGCATTGCAGTTGAACTTTTTGTGGGTTTTATACCTTTTCCATGATAGTAGAAGAAATGAGGATAGATATTTTTTGGTGCTCTTTCTTGAAGATGAAGCTTCACTGTGCAAAGCACATGCGACCACAGGCCAGTTGACTCAATTCACTTGAATTTACTGAGTTAACAACTTGTTGATCATAGATACTGCATTAAATGTAACTCACAATATTTATTTATAATCCCATCTACCTGGCGCAGACTAATGAATTTGAGTAGGTGAACCATAAAAGCATCAAGTGACCAAACAAAGGTCATCCATTAAGTGAACAGCTCAACCAAATTGATGGGAGAAAATTTACCAATAAAATAAAATAAAAAATTATGGGTGAAGACAATTAAGTTATCACCATCAGAGGCAACCAAGGAGATTATCCATCTCTTGTACTTACAGCATTCTGGGTGGTTCTTTTAGGAAATTATATTTCCCAACACAAAAAACAAGAAGAGATTAAATATGTCACTGTGAGGTCATGTAGACTTATGATCAACAATCCTCTCTAGGGTGGATTTCTTCTAGTTCAGTTGATGAAGTTTTCACACAAGAACTTGATTGGGAATTGGATAAATAATTTTGCTCATTATCTTTACTTTTAAGTGGTGGAGCATCATCATTTCACTCAATGTTTGCCAACTGTTATATTATAATTAATCATAGCTGCCAATGGAGTTTAGACATCATAGCTGTGTGTGTAAGAAATCTCATTTCTCTGTAGTTTAAACTATCGTTTGTACTAAAAAAAATAATTAACTATAGCTAATATGTGTGGTTGTATCTATTATGAAAGTGTGCACCTAAGGAACTTGAAAGAGATGAAAGTGAGGAACTATGCTTTCAATGGTTGAATTGATTATGCTTTTGAATGCATATGTTCAATTGTTCGCAATATAATTAAAAGGGTTTTATACTAGAGTTAAAAGATGGTGAGCTTAAGAATTTCCTTTCTCATAATAAAGTAGTTTAAAGTATCAGGGAAGCCTGATGTCATGTAGAATCACCATCAATCATGGCATTTGTTTTAGATAATCACGACACCATGTCATGATTTCCTGCACTTGAAAAGCAACAGCCCCACTATCATCTATCTTTTCCCCTCACTCACAAGACTTCACGTAATATATCTCCACACATTCTTTCAAGCATTTTGTTTTATATATAAAAATAAAATAAAACCTTAGCTAAGTAAAATAAAATAAAAATAAAATAAACCCATATTGATTATTTTTCCACAAAAAAAAAGTACAAGTACATCCCTATTTTAGTCTTAGCAACATTTTCATCTCTCTTGTGCATTAAAAAAAAATAGAAAAGAAAAGAAATTTTCATCTCTCTCTGCAGTCTGCCTGCCCTCTCATATAATAAGACCAGAGGTTCTTGTTAAAGTGAAAGTTGGTCTTATTTGCATTGCCCAAAAATGAGAGAAAACTTTGATGAAAATGCTCCTAACTTCACTTCCAACCTTCCTGTTCCTGCCCTGAAGCTCCTAGATTGCTTCCTTAGGGTTTCAGTGATTCCTCTTAGCATTGCAACCATATGGCTCACTGTGACAAACAAACAAGACAACATCAGCTATGGGAAGATAGAGTTCAGCAATTTCATGGGCCTCAAGCAAGAACCCCATTCATCTTCTTTTTCATTTTCTTGGACATTAATTTGTCTGCCTAATTCTTCTGTTTTTAAATTTAATATTTGAGCTGTCTTTCTGCAGGTACATGGTTTGCATCAGCACCATTTCTGCTGCATATGTTTTCCTTGCAACTATGGCCTCATGGATCAGATGCTTGATGACTAAAGCTTGGCTTTTCTTTGTCTCTGACCAGGTTCATTTTCTTTGCCCTTCTATGTCCCCTTCAATTTATTTTATTTTCTTTCTCTTTTTCACTTTCAGACATAATAATAATAATAATATATAGGAGGTGGATGTTTGGAATTTTGGGGAAAAAATGAAATACCTACCCTCATAAATAGTTCTGTTCTTATTATGTTTTTCACATATGTCCTCAAAGGTTGTCAACATTTGATAAAATGTGCGATTACCCATTTTGGTTTTTATCCTGATTTGTGTTGAAGGCTTAATTGTAATGTTGAAAACCACTAATTAAGGTCCCAAATTTGGCACAAATATATGTAAGAGGGTGGCCTTTGCTGATTTTGTGTCCTTTTCTTTTGTTTGAATTTTGGGTGCAGATTGTGGCTTACTTAATGCTCACATCTGGAGCTGCAGTTATGGAGATACAGTCTTTGGCCTCCAATGGTGACAGAACAGTCTCATGGAGTGAAGCTTGTAGTTCTTATGGAAGATTCTGCAGTAGAATGAAGGTGGCCCTGGTTCTCCATGCCCTGGCCCTTTGCAGCTTCATTGTCTTAGCTGTGATTTCAGCTTATAGGGTCTTTAGCATGTTTGAGCCACCTGCTTCTCGTAGAGAGGTGGATGAAGAGAGGATTTAGATGGGTTTTCTTCCACAAATCTGAAGAACATAAAAAGAATTATGATATATATATATATATATGTATATTTGTGAAATGATTAGTTTTGAAGTGTTTCCAAGTAGTTGGAATATCTGTCTTTCCAGATTCAAATAAAAGTCTATGCTTCTAACACAAATCATCTTGTTTGACAAGTGGAGCACTTTCGTCCACTAAAAGTCCATATTCTCACCTACCACACCCAAAGCAGAACTTTCCACCAAACTTACTAGAGTGAAGATGAAGCTCCAAAAATTTGTCGGAAAGTAGTGTGACTGTCATTTAAAATGCATTTGATGCCAGCATTTCAATATTGAAAGAGATTTTAAGTTCGATTTTCTTCCTTTCCATTGATCGCAAAAACGAAAAAAAATCAGTAGTAACAATTTTTTTATACGACCAAAATTGACAATTAATTCTTGAAATCGATTACATTGAAACCGTAGTACCTGAAAAAGATCCGAACATTTGCAGAAGGTCCATTTGATTGTTAGTACTACTACACGCTCCAAATTTATTTCTTTGGCATTATATCATTTACTCAAATCAGGACCAAATTTAAACTTCATTTCCAATAGATAAGAAGATCCTAACATGTGCATGAATTTTATACTATATATGATCGAGCATAATTCGTAAGAAGTGGGCCTTGAAGTGATGACCGTTGCTATGTCAAATTAATTCCTCAACCTATTAATCTAATCATAGTGCTTTCGGTTGGTACCATATTGGTGTCTTAGGTTGTCTTTTTTACAGATTTCAGTACGATCCACAGAAGAATGCCAGCAACCGATGACAAATCTGTAAGTTGACTCCAGTTTTGGACATAAGGCCTTCTCCAACCAGGGAGACAAAAATCCAAAATTTGGAATTTTTAGCCCCAAACCTTCTCCAATCCAGGTATTTGGAGGGCTAAAAATTTGGGTTGACTGAAAAATGGGGCGGTATTTGGTCTGAGATTCCAATCTAGGTGGAATTAACGTTGCACTTCAATTGTTGCATTTCAAATGGGCTGCTTTCTTTTGTTTTGTTTTGTTTTTCAAATCTAAGGGCTAGAAATTAATGGCTGATATTAAAACTTGGCTGGATCAACAGGAAAAAAGTAATTTAACAGTTGAAATTTAAATCCAAAAGCAAAAATAAGTACATATATTATTCTAAGTTCGACACAACCTCAAAACACATCCTAAACTCTATAAATACTCATCAATTTGTTATATATATATATATGTATATAAAAGGATTATATCATTCTTTAACAATTTAATAAAATTACGGACTCAAATTATGAGTCCGCAAGATTGGAGGAAAAAACAATTTAAGTCATGAAAATACATAAATAATAGTATTTTGAAAGGTGAAACTTCGGATTTGAATCCTCTGGGGTTGGAAATGGCCTAACAAGTACAAATTAAAGAAAACTAATTGAGCTTAGCATTATATTTGTTTTTTAGTCAGACAACCCAGTTTTATTTGTGGTCCATGGAAACTCGGCCCACTATGGAGCAGGATCAGAAAGGATCGCAGTCCGGATTAGTCCAAGGACAACTCAACCAATTGTTGTGGCCCTCTGAACAGCAAACGAAACGACAACAACGACCGTCGTTTAGTGGAGAAGGTGAATGAGTGATGAGTGAAGAAATTTGCTTTCGGGATAAGTAGTAAAAGCAGTCACATTCTTTCTTCTGAGCAATATCAGTTTCCCGATCACAGTTTTTCGCTTTCGTATTTCTTCAGTCTCTCTCTCTCTCTCGCACGCAGATTCTTTTCCAAATATTTTGCCTTTGCTTGTTCTTCAGATATTCTGTGGTAAGAAGTTTTAGAAAAGAGAAGACTTTTTTGTTTTCTGTAATCTTTCGATTAACCTTTTTTTTTTCAATCGGAAACCCTAATTTGGTTCTTTTTCTATGCTGTGATCGGAACTCGGAAGTGCTAGTGAAACCGTCAAGACTTGTAATCCTCCATGGCTAAAAGCTCCTTCAAGCTGGAACACCCACTCGGTTCTCTCTCCCTCCCTCTCTCTCCCTATCTGATGTGATTGATCTCGAGTTACATATGGGTTTTGTTGATTGAAAATGGGTCTCTCGCAATTTTCTTAATTTATGAACATAGTATTGAAATTTTATTATTTTTATACTGAATTAAGCTTCAACCTTTATCTTTCTTGATTTGGGTTATCTCTTCTTTTCCCTTATTATTTTCCTTTTTGTTTATATTTATGAGTTGTATGATCTGTGTTGCTGATTTTCTGAGATTTAATTGAGAGATGAATTGTCAACCTCAGTATATGAATATTACCTTTAATTCTGTAATTGAATTGTTCTAGGCCTTTCTGTTTTGATTTTCGTTGTGTGTGCATTCTATAGAGTGAGCATCACTGTAGTTCTGATATCTTCCAGTAGATCAGATCCTACAAGCTTATTCATTTTTACTTTCTTTTGTTTTAATTCTTTTATTGTTTTTTTCTTTTGCCAGAGAGGAGGCAGGCAGAAGCTGCTCGGATCAGGGAGAAGTATCCTGACAGAATTCCGGTATGAATATCATTTGCAATTCATCAAGAGCCATCTTATAAAAATGGTCATGGGGCAGTTAGAAGCTAAGGCCTTTTAGAGCCTAAGCAATATGCAATTTTAAAGTTTGACTTCTCAGAATGTTAATTAATACAAAACTTGAACCAAGAAAAGCTTGTTTGAGCCTTGTGCTTTGCAAAACAGCATGTGCTCTTGTGTTTGAGTTGTGCCTCTCTAAAGGGACTTCGTGAAGGTTGAAAATTCTCTATGCAATACTCGTTTAACTTTGGGCTTGAAGTATGGTGCATTTTTATAACACTTTCAAGATCCTTGCCCATAGGCTGTATGTCCTACACATAATTGTTCTTTAATTATGTGTTCATCTTCTTTTTTCTCTATATAGGTTATTGTGGAGAAGGCTGAAAGAAGTGACATACCAGACATTGATAAGAAGAAGTCAGTCTTGTCTTTATTTGTTTCACTTGTGCTTTATATATTTCTATTTTGGTTGTTCCCAATTTTCTTAGTAATCAAGACTTCATACTGGCTTGTACGTGATAGATTATTTATTTTTCCTGCTTTGATGAGTTATGCCATGATGCTTGCTTCCTGGTACTCTGCAATTTTCTAAAAGGTTTTCCTTTTGAAGAATGTGCACGTGTTGTGTGACATTTCTTTGGTAAGGTCAAGACTTGATAAATGCTTCTATGTTATAGATTTTTTTTCCCTGCTTTGATGAGTTCTGCATGGGCTTGCTTGCTGGCACTTTACAATTTTCCAAGCCATTTTGAAAGAATGTGTGTGGTGTTGTTGGCTATATATGTCTTGCATGGGATTGAGTCAGACATCGCCAAACTATGGTTACATTATAGATTATTTCCTACATAAGGTGCTTCATGTGTATCATTAAGTGTTTACCGTGGAGCACAAACAAGTTTTGCGTCTTTGATCTAGAAATTTAACTTCACATGTATCACTAGCCATTACGGGTTCTCACTTCATAATATTACCAGAAGAAATTAGGAAGAGCTAGTGCTTGCATTGAAGCTGAAATGTTAGTTTCTAACAAATGGACTTTTGATTGTTACACTCTCTGTAAAACATTCTTTTCACAGTGCACGATCTAATTCAATGGATTTTGTGTAATGATCAATGATCGAAACAGATATCTGGTTCCTGCTGATTTGACTGTTGGGCAGTTTGTTTATGTGGTTCGTAAGAGGATAAAACTCAGTGCTGAGAAGGCTATTTTTATATTTGTCAAGAACATTTTGCCACCCACTGGTAAGAATAATGCTCCAAAGATGTTTCATATATACTATAAATACCATCATCTAATGACCTATTTCTCAACATATGTTTGGTTTTGTGCTATTGCAGCTGCCATGATGTCTGCAATCTATGAGGAAAACAAAGATGAGGATGGTTTCCTTTACATGACCTACAGTGGTGAAAACACATTTGGTTAATCCCAGTGCAGTCAAGTTGATATGTAAATAAGACTTTTAAGAAGTATGAAAAATTTGTAAATTCTCGGATTTCAACTTCTGCTATTGCAGTCCCAAATTTGAGGTTGCTCTTCGTATAATGCCTACTGTTAGAAGTTGGATCTATGACCTTATGCTGGAAATATCATATGGTTAATCCTTCTATGAGTTCAGTGAGTAAATTGTCGAATGCGTGATGTTTATTTTTCTTTCCAATTGTTCATGTTTTGCGTTTGTGTTTGATGATTTCTTATCTAGAGTGCAATGATATATCTATTGAATGTGCTTGGTACTCAAGCCCTACTGCAGATTCAATCTCTTGTTAAAGTGCTTGAACCACACTTTACTCCACCATCAGTGCTTGAACAACACTCTACTCCACCGTTCCTTGCATTCTCATTTAAGGTTGGTAAAACACGACACAACTTCTCATTCTTTGAAGGACAACGAAATGCCACCAGCTGGTCCTGATCAACAAGGTTGAAATCTGATACCTGTTCGGCGAGTAGGACCAGACTGACGGCCACCAATGAAAATGGACAAACAGTCATGTCTCATGCTTTCGCAAGAGGCGATGACCATTACGTAGAGCCTTGGAAAGTTTAGTTGTAGAATGACTTGCAGCATCATAATCATTCTATTTCCCAAGTTTCTTATGCTCTTCTAAAATATGTTCTTATAGTTACAGCCGAACAATACCAGTTGCTTATGGACTAGTAAGCTCATCAACAGCGAAGACACTAGTTTAATCACGAAGTGAAAAATAGTAACAGCTGAACAATACCAGTTGCTTACTAACATTCTTTTCTATATACAAATTGCTGAACAATACCACATGCCTCAGTTGTATATATAATTATTCCATCCTCATTCATCCCAAATTCTCTCCTAGCGTGCCAGAAACTCCACGACTGCAAAAACCAAAAATCATATATCAATCACTTAAATCATGCGACAGAGAATGATTTAAAGATAATTAGACAACATAATCCCTAAAATATAATAGAGTAATACTACAAACAGTAGACCACGCAAAAAAGAAGAAGGGGACATACACAATAAAATATGTGCACGACAGGGACTTTGGACTCTCGAGTAAGAATGTATCTTGACAAATAAGGCTCTCAAAATTTCTAAACTCCATTGTTATTACATTTGAAAGGTGAGGACTTTTTTGTCCATGGTTTGATTCCTTAAATGTATCTTACTAAGATGAAGAGTTGTAATGAGAACTACACTAATGAAATACAATCAAAAAAAACTATTTATAAAGGGCATGTTCAAAGTACTTTACAAGTAGATATGCATTATTAGTGCACACAAAGTTGATCAAAGCACTCTTCCTTCTTTAATATTTTAAACTGCATTATTACAATAGTTTTTTTTTTCCCTTCAAAACTTTAAAGAAAACAGAATAAAGTCGAATTCGTGTGAAAATAAATGCTCTACCAGTAAAACTAAAAATTCACGAGAATTATTGTAATGGTTGAATTGTTTAAATATACATATTAATAATTGATTAAATAAAAAATTAAATCGAAAAAGTAAAACTTACCACGACGAGTACGCTTCTTGTACAAGACAGTGTAATCGCAGTGACGGCACTGAACCTTTTCGTTTGGCTTCAAAGGGACTTCCTCCCCACAACCTACAAGTTCACATCACAAAATAAATAAGGCTTGCTTTTTCATGTTTCCAAAAAATTATTTTCTTTCATTTTTTCTAGCGGATTTTCTCGGGAAACACAACGAAAAGTGGGTGAATTTTCTCGGGAAACAAAAGGAAAAGTGGGTACCTCCGCAGATGTACTTGACTTGCTCTGGCTGAGGCTGAGGATCCATGATCGATGAGGGTCAGCTTCTAGGGTTTGTGACTTGACTGTTTCCTAAAGGTGAAAACCTAAACAGTAAATATTTATAAGCAAAACAAAAGCCTGCTATTTGTACTTCCCTTTTCTTTTTCCTTTTTTTTTTAAAGAAGCAAAGTCCTAAGAAACAACTGACTCTCACGCATGCTACAAGTTACAACTGCTATTTTTTTTTCCAGCTAATTTGGGGATACCATAACTAGACTGCAAATTAAGTTAAAATTATTAATCTTCGCATGTCATTAATGATTAATCTGGCCTCCAAAATAAGTTATTAATTATAATCCTCACCTGTCACATTTTTTCTTTCTTTTTTTGGGATAAATACCACGAGGTGTCCTCACACCCGAATGGTGGAATTAATCTCCGCTCTGGGTTCAGCTTGCCCTTGGCCACATTCATAATTTTGACTAATTAATAATCTGCCATTTTAGGCAGGTGATCTTGGCTCTTCAACAAGGATTAGGCAATCAACACAAAGTATCAATTACCATAAGTGATAAATTAGATCCATAATTAATAATGTGGCATCCATAATTGATCCAAAAAAAGATATATAAGTTAATATTACAATACCATGATGAAAACAAACACCATCAAGGAAGATGAAACAACAAGAGTCTCTTTTAAGCCATCAAAGCTTTTATTATATGCTCTGTAATAATTTATAATAATATTTTTGTATAGTTGAATATCATCCTCAGCAAATTCCAGGCAAGTTGTCCCAAGAGCTAGAGGCTTTGCCATGCTCTGCTGTGGCAGTAACAGGGAACAATGCGGCCATATGCTGCTGCATGTCAAAATCCAAACAAGCATCCGTTACGCCGGAAGAGTGACCGTTGGAGAGCTCTCCACTGTCGCTATACCAATCGGAGATGGGCTCGGTGGAAGGTATGAAACTGAACAGCTTTGACAAATCTTCAGGCAGTGAGCTGATTTGATCATCCTGGATTGGCTTTGCTTCTGGCATGTATTGAGAGAAAAGGTCATTATTATGAAAGTCAGATTAATTAACAAACAAATTAAGAAAGAGAAAATGGCTCCTAGCAGAGAGAGAAAGAGAGAGCACAGCCTTCAACTAGGTTTTGCAAATATGATGAAAGATGAGCATGTGACGAGCTGTAAACTCAGACATCCGCGGTTCCAACCCTCAAATGCGCAAAAACTTACAAGGATAAGAGAAGTTGAGCATAAATTTAAAAGATAGAGAAGTCCACTCTAGAGGCAGGGTCAGTTAATCTGCACCATTCTAAACCATCACTTACTCAAAAAGGGGCGAAAAAGAATAGAAAAGAAAAGACATACGCACACGCTTCACACACAAAGTCTCCATATTCGAAATATGGAAATGTGTGGACATCAAGGCTTTACCTAAAGATGCTAATGACACACAAAGTTTTCCATTTCAGAAGATGATTTTACTTGTTCATTATCACTAATATTAGAAAATCAAATCATAATTCATTTTGGGGAATCTGAGGATATGAACTTTGACAATTGAGATGTTAATGCGACTGAGCTGTTTTTAGTGTCACAAACCATAATTGAAACATAATTTTTTTTTCTTTCACGACTTACTCAATTTAGAAAAACTTTTGTGAAACGGAATATCATTATTTTGCTATCCCGAGCAATAATGATATGTCACGTGTGATAACTTTTCCACTTACAATATTTGGTCGGGATAGTAAAACAGTGTTAATTCCCATTCCACACAAATGTTTCTCCACTCAATTATGTGGTAGTAAAGGTAGCAGTTGAAACGCATTAAAAAGAACCAAAATCAAAGCAGATCAAAAGGAAGTTAAGGCTTTAGAAAGCATCAAAAGCCCAGCTTAAACAGCATTTGATGTGTCTGACTCAAGAAATTGCATGCACACAATGAAACAGAGCATTTAAGCACAAACAAGCAGAAACAGAGCATTTATGATGAAAACCGAAATTCAGTCACAAACAAACAAGAATAACAAAATTAACAAAAAACCAATACTTCACCTAATAACGAGCCCTCGATGGAGCTTGTAGACTGCAGCCATCGGGTATAATTATCCAACACATGCTTCTCCTCAAATGAACTGAATAGCCCATTTGCTCTCTTTGAAGGATTTCCACCACCACAAGCTAATGCCTCAGCTTCTTGTAATAAGTCCTCCAACAACCCATTACTGCTATGGGCCTGGCTGGCGGATACTGCTGCTGCTGCCGCTGCCGAGATTACCTTGGTATCAATGGTAACCTCAGACTGCGTTTGGGATACTTGGCTTGAAGGGAGCTCCGACTTGACCGAGTAAACTGAGCCAGTAGACGACAAGAAACTCTCAGAGTACTCGAACTGGGTTCGCGACGATGGCAATGGCGGTAAAGATGGGTTCAAAGTCCGCGGGAACTGAAAGGCGGCACTCTCAGGCATTGAATTGGTGCTTGTTAAGTGAGAAGAGGCAATGTCAGGCATTGAATTGGCACGTAGAATGGAAGTACTTCTTTGCGGGGTTGGGGAGACTGGGGGGGAGAATCCGACAGAGTCACGGTACCGTTTGTAGCGTACCGGGGCTCCGAGGATTGGGGCGGGACGGTGGAAGGTGAAGGAGGAGAAGGAAGAGGTGGTGGGGTTGCTGGGATCAAAGAGAGGGAGGGAAGTGAGAGTAGTGGACTTGGGATGGTGTGGGGAGGAGAGAGGAGAGAGAGATGGTGGAGTGGGAGAGAGTGAGTGCATATGGGCTTGGATTGGGCTTTGGATTTGGAAGGAAAAAGTTGGGGTTGTGCAATTGGTGGTGGATTGGAAAGGGTTTTGGATTGTGGTCGTGGGTAGGGATCGGGAATGGGATTGTTGGGATTGTTTAATGTCATTGGGATATAGCGGTAGGCCTTGGCGTTGCCTCCTCTTCACCCTTGTGTTCCAGTAGTTCTTTATTTCGTTGTCTGTTCGCCCAGGTAACTATACAAAAAAGAACAGAAACAATCAGATTAGATGCTCTCTGGAGAAGTTTCTGTTTCACAACAGAAAATTAAAGCAAAAGCCATAGCAGTTTTTTTTTCCTCCAAAAGCAGGGGAAGAAGCCAAATGAAACCTGTTTCCAGAGCAAAAAAAGGCCAAACCCAGCAGCATTTTGTTTTCCAAAACAAAAACATGGGCACAAGAAATCAAAAACACAGAAATGAAATGAGGAAATTATCATGAAAAATGAAAACTCATTTGTAGTTACCTGAGAAGCCATGCGAGCCCATTTGTTGCCATACTTGGCGTGCAGCTCAAGAATGAGCCTCTCTTCATCAGGAGAGAAGGCACCTTTCTTCAAGTTGGGACGGAGATGATTGGCCCAGCGGAGCCTGCAGCTCTTGCCGCAGCGATTGAGGCCAGAGTTCCTCTGTACAGCGTTCCAATTGCCCTCGCCGTGTTTCCTCACATACTCCATCAAAATCTGGTCCTCCACCGCGGTCCATGGACCTTTCTTCAGACCCTTGCTGCCCTCCACCACATCACCACCACCTCCTCCGCCGCAGCTCAATTCCTGCGGCGACCTTCCCTCGCTCTGCTGTAGCAGACCGCTGTTGTTGTTGTTGCTGCTGCTGGGTGTCATTATCAATGAAATAGAGAGACCAATATCAAAGATAGACAGATTCTGGTTGGCCCAGCAAGTCAATATCACACACAACCCAGGCAGAAATTGTATATAATTGCAAAGAAAACTATTTGAGCTGCACTTTTTTGTGTCCCCCACTTGCTTAGTTTTTCTTTGAAATTTACATATTAATTATCCTGCCCTTTCTGTTGGTTATGTTGATGAGTTTCTGTGGGTTTTTTTCGTTTTTTTGATAGCGGTATTGGGTTTGACAGAGACCCCTCTCTACTCCTTTGTGATAAAGAAACTTTATTGTAGCACTACTTCAACAGTTTAGAGCTTGTTGGGGTCGGAGTATGAGGAGAAAGAGAGGGGCGGACGAGGAGGAGGAGGTGGTTGTGGTGGTGGTGGTGGTGGAAGAAGAAGCCTTCCTTTAGCCTTTAGCACCCGGAAATCAGATGAGCGGTGAGAGACGAGAGATGGGTTGTTGTTGTTTGTGCAGTGGAGGAAACGTAAAATGTGTTTGTTTAGAAGACTACTTGTGAGACTCCAAGCTGTAACATAATTTTTCAAGGGCTGCTCATATTTTTGGGCAATTGGTTTTTTCAAAGCCTTTTCATCACATGACACAAAATCTTCTTCTAGGCTTAGCTGGTACCTTGGGGTGTCTTAGCATTTGTCAGTTCATTACTGTGGTAAAAAAGGTAAAGACAGATGGGTTTTGGTTATTTTGGGGGAAGTGGGTAAAGTGGCAGTTCAAGATGGCCATTTCGTTCAGATTTGGGAGTTAGCTAAGACGGCGCCGTTTTTCAGAGGTTCAGTACAAACTACAACCCACTGGATCTTTTTGTCACCCACGGCCTGGACGCGGAGCCCCCATGGCCTCTGTCATATTGCTGTAAAAGTAAAAAACTTATAAATCTCCTACTCATTTATTTGGATAAAACGAAACTAATAAAAAAAGAAAGAAAGATAAAGATTCACTTTTAGAATTAAGTCTTAGCCGTATTAATGAAGTGTTTACAATGTCCAAAATGTGATATGTATACCATTGCTTGGAATATGATTAGGAATTAAAATTAGGCTTATTTACTGTAGTGCCTCCTGAAACTTTTGTTAAATCTTACTTTGCTCATTCAAAGTTAAAATGATCCACTTTGCACCCTTACCAAGGTTTGGTGTCCCACATTGCCCACCGCCATCAACTCCATCCAAAAGTCCGCTAAGTTTGATGACATGGCAAGAATATATTTGTAATTTCTTACACATTGATCATTTACCACCAATCTATGTGGGCGACGTGGCAAAGTGGAGCCCACTCCACTATGAACAAAATGTTAATAAAAAATCTTTTACATTTAAATACTTTTAAAATATATATATAAATTAATTAAACAACACAAAAAAATAACATAAAATTGAAAAATAATAATAATAAAAGAAAAAAATAAAAGCGAACCGTAAACCTAGCCCCCACTCTCCCCAGCCGCCTCCATACCCACCCACTCACTTTCCAAATATAGTACATGAAATCTTTGATTTTGTTGAAAGTAACTTTTGTTCTTTTCTAATTTCTATCCAAATGGTAATGCATGTTGATCGTGACATTGAAATAACCTTGGCCGCGACTGTATTTTTTCCGAGATTTTGTCGGCAAGCTTCCAGCGATGGATGGTGGAGCTTCGTACTGGCATAAGGCACCACTCATCCATACCCGCGACCCAACCTCCAAGCTCCCCTATCCTCTCTCTCTCTCTCAGAGCCACCCAAGACCCAAACCCTCTTTGTATATGTTTCTCTTTACCTCTGTGTGTGTGTCTCTCTCTCTCTCGCACACCTAGCCCTCCACGACCCAAACCCTCTATCTATGTTTCTCTTTCCTTCTGTGTCTCTCCCTACCGTAGTAGCTCGCGGAGTAGGGAGCCAGATCTGGTCGCGGTGTTGCGCGGGCTAGGTGGAAGATCTGGGTTGGCTAAGTGGAGATCTGGGTTGGGTTTTCTGAGAGATAAAGTGGTGATGTGGGCTGGGAGTGGTGGTGGTGGTGCTGTGGAGAAGATGATGACTCTTGATTTTGTTTTTGTTTTTATCTTTTAAATTTTTTTATTTCCAATAATTTTGTTTTTCTATATTTTCATTTGTATTTTTTTGTTGGGATTATATTTATTTTTAGGATTAACTACACTTTAATCCCTGGAGGTTTAGTGTCAGCGAAATGGGCCCCAAGGTTTCAATTAAATCAATTTCATACCCGACATTTCAAAGTATTACCAATTTACACCCGCCGTTACATTGACCGTCAAAGTCAGACGTTAAATGCTGACGTGACAGTTGTGGGACCCACTTCATAACCAAACAACATTTAGAAAGAGACCAATATGGGACCCACCCACTAACCAATTCTGGAAAAAAAAAATATCAAATAAAAAACCATTAAGAGAAAAAACTAACCCAGCCCTTCTCTATTCCCCACGCCGACTCATCATAGGCCGTCACTCCCTCCATTTCCTCAGCTCATTCTCAACCTCTTCTATCTACCCACTTGTCTGCCCCAATAGAACCTAATCAACAACCCACCCAGTCGCACCCAAACCACAACCTGACCCACCCTACCCCTGACCATACAACCCTAGCAACAATCCCATCGCATCAAAATTACACCGAACAAACAAAAATGGAGAACACCACCTGGAGGCCCAACCCTTACGATACAATCTGTAAATCTTAGGCAAGCGTTGGCGGTGGCACAAGAGGGAGGCGTTGGCAGTTGGCGATGTTGGCTCATGGATATTATGAGTAGTGGCAACCATCGAAACAACCTCCTCTCTCTCTCTGCAGACAACAAACTAATTTCAAAAGCAAAAGATAAAACAACCAATCATCAAAACACACAACACACTCCACCATCAAAACAAAACAAAATCACAGTAATCAAATCATTTTTTATTTATTTAAATCTCACTCTAAAAAAATCCACCATAAATAACTCATTTCCTTCAATATCTCCGCATCTATCCATGGTGGGTCTGCATCTCTCCATCCTCTCCATCCTAGCTCTTTTTGCATCTATCCACGTCTTCCATTTCCTTCATTGCCCTCCAACATTAATGGGTTGGTTCGATACTAGCTGTGGGAGAGGTTGTGGGTTTTTTTGCCCTGTCCATGGTGGAGATTTGGGTTGAGATTGTTTTTAGTGGGAATTATATGGTTATGGAGATGGAGAGGATGGAAGCCAACGAAGTTGAGATTGACGAGAAGGGGCTAGGGTCTGCAATCTTAGGTATTTTTTAAAAGTTATTTTATTTATTATTTTATATAAAATTAATTTTTTGAATTGGTTAGTGGGTAGGTCCTATATTAGTCTCTTTTTAAATGCTGTTTGGTTATGAAGTGGGTCTCACGACTGCCACGTCAGCATTTAATGTCTGACTTTGACGGTCAATGTAACGGCGGGTGTAAATTGGTAATACTTTAAAATGTCGGATATGAAATTGATTTAATTGAAACCTTGGGGCCCATTTCGATACTAACACTAAACCTCTATGGACTAAAGTGTAGTTAATCCTTATTTTTAGTTATGGGAGGAGATCTGGCCCAGATCATATGGGATGGTGGGTTGGTGCAAGATTATATTTTAATTATTTTTAGAAATTAAGAATTAAAATATACTAAGAAAATCCTATCATATTTTTGGTTTATGTGAGGTGGCTTCCACTTTGCCAAGTCACCCACTTAAATTGGTGTGTAAATAATCCATGTGTATAAAATTACAAACATATCCTTGCCACGTCATCAAACTTAACGGACTTTTGGATGGAGTTGACGGCGGGGGTCAACGTGGGACACCAAAGGGTGCAAAGTGGGTCATGTTAACTTTGAGAGGGCAAAGTGAGATTTGACCAAAGTTTCAAGGGGCACTACAGTAAATAAGCCTTAAAATTATTTTATTTAGAGTGCTGCTATTTACACCTCCGCCTGTCTTATTTTCAATTTACCCCCTTAAAGTTAAAGTGACCCATTTTGCTCCCTTGACTAAGGTTTGATGTTCCACATTACCCTTACTAAAGTGGGTCATGTTAACTTTGAGAGGGCAAAGTGAGATTTGACCAAAGTTTCAAGGGGCACTACAGTAAATAAGCCTTAAAATTATTTTATTTAGAGTGCTGCTATTTACACCTCCGCCTGTCTTATTTTCAATTTACCCCCTTAAAGTTAAAGTGACCCATTTTGCTCCCTTGACTAAGGTTTGATGTTCCACATTACCCTTACTATTAACTCCATCCAAAAGTCCATTAAATTTGACGACGTGGCAATGATGTTTTAGTAATTTTGTGCACCTAGGTTTTTTAACTACTTAACAAAATTAAAATACAAACATAAAATTGAAAAAAAAAAGATTTTAGTCCCCCCCCCCGGGGCAACCCACAACCCATCCATCTCCCTGTGCAGAACCTAGAAAGCCATTGCCTTTGCTACAACTTAATTGTATTGCTTTAAAGAAGGTGAAGAGAGATGATGAAGCATCCCAAAACTTGAAATATAAGAATGTAAACAACAATATAGGAAAGAATTAACAAATTCAAGCATCTTCCATTCATTTCTTTCATAACTTCCAAAAACCCAATTCGAATTTGAGATTTCTCCCCCACTCCACCGCAACCCACCCCTCCCTGCGCAGAACCCAAAAACCTATTCCTCCCCCCATCCCCCACCCCATCCTTGCGCAGAACCCAGAAACCCATCGCCCCCTCCTCCAGCAACCCACTCTCCCTGGGCAGAACCCAAAAACCCACCCCCCCCTCCCCCCCGATTTCTTCTCGGCTCCCCAATTTCCCCATCAAGACCCATCGCCCCTTCCCTATGGTTTTTTCTACCCCACTCCCACAGAACCCTAGCCCCCGTACCCATTCCCCTTCTCCCTGACCCGTGCCCCTAGCTCATTTTCCCCATCGCAACCTACACACAAAGAGAGAGAGAGAGAGAGAGAGAGAGAGAGAGAGGAGAGGAGAGAGAGAGAGAGAGAGAGAGAGAGAGAGAGAATTCAATTTTTTAAAGTTTTAATTTTATGTTTTAATTTTAATTTTTCAAAAGTAATTAATTTTTTATCCATGCTAGAGGTAGGCTCCACTCAAATTTGTGAATAAAAAGTCTAGGTGCACAAAATTACTAAAACACCCCTGTCATGTCATCAAACTTAACGGACTTTTGGATGGAATTGACAATAGAGGGTATTGTGGAACATCAAACCTTGGTCAAGGGGGCAAAGTGGGTCACTTTAACTTTAAGGGGTTAAAATGAAAATTAAACAATGTTTCAAGGTGCATTGTAGCAATTAAGCTTTTTTATATAATAAAAAATCCCCAAGTATAGCTGCGCAGCTATACTAGTTTTTATATGTTAAAAAGAGAGAGGACTCGAATAGCTTCCGCCTAGTGAAGAATGTGTCAAACAAGGTATAGCCGTTTGGATATACTATTTGTTCATAATAAAAACCTTAGTATAGCAGCTCGGCTATACGCTTTAAGTATATTATATTTAAAAGGAGTCTAGCCGCACGGCTCTACTATTTATTAAAAAAAAAAATTAAAAGAAAAGGACCCTTTTAGTTGCATTAGTTTATACTTTGTAGATATTAATTTGTTTGTTTCACAACATCTCCAAAGTAGATATTGAGAGAGATATATTCACACACTAAACTCAATTTTAGAGTAGATTCAGTTCAGTCAATTTTTTTTTTTTTTTTTTTGTTGTGTTGTGGGGGGGTGGAATTTTTGTCTGTCTACCTCATTCTCTCGAGTGCTATTAAATTTTGTTACTGCACTCATTATTTGTGGTAGAGAATTGCATGCTGAGTTTAGACTTTAGTGGTTAATTTGTTTAATGATCATAGAAATTGAAAATGGGTTATTTGCTAGGCCCCTCACGATTCCGCTTGTGCTCAATAACAAAAGCAGGACAAAGCTGGAGTAATTTCAACCTAAATGAATGAATATTTATTACCAAATCAAGAGAGATTATGGAAAAAAAAGTTCCTCTTCTACTTACTAGAAATAGAAATACAGCAAGTTGATATGTGAGGGGGGGATTCGTGGGGTGTGCTTCAGGTTCAGGCCATTAATAAGTATCAAGAGCAGATATGTCGTCGTTTGGCTAGGAATCCAGAGAACCAATGTAGGCATGTTCGTCGTTTAGCTAGGTATTCTTTGTTAGTGATGTTTATTTATTTATTATAGGTTAAGACAACAAATTGAATGGAATGTCTAAGGACATGAACGGTCAAATATTGTAAAAACAAATCGAGGGACAAATTGAAAGTACAGTACAAGTAGAGGGGAATTTTGGCGGATTACTCTACAAAATATTTATCTAGCAATCGAAATTATATAAAGAGCTTCGGTTGAAGAATCGCTCAAATAAGTATATTGTAGAATAGAAGAATAAATGTTCAAAAGACGCAGATTTCTCTTATTACTGGTATATGCACTTCAACATATTATTTTGGCCAAAGGAACAATAATGATGTTGGGAGTACGAATCTGCAGAGAGGTTTAGTTAGTTTTTGGGCAGCAGCTACCATAGCATTGTGTGAATCATATTTTCTTAGAATCCATTGCCGATTGATTTGATGATTAATTTTTAATTGTACTGGGTCATTAAGACCTTGTTCATGTCCATGTGGTAAGAAAGTTGCTCTTCTTCCCGAAAGCTAGAGGCCCTACCATGCTCTGCTGTGGCATCGGTAGGGAACATCGAAGCCATTTGCTGCATATCCAAACTAACATCTGTTATGCCAGAAGAGTGAGCATTGGAGACTTCTCCACTGTCACTATACCAATCTGAGACCGACTCCGATGAAGGGATGGAACCGAACAGCTTTGAGAAATCCTTATGCATGGAATTAAGGTGACCATCAACGGAGCTTGTAGACTGCAGCCATTGGTCATAACCATCCAACACATGCTTCTCTTCAGATGAACCTAATATCCCATTTGTTGTCCTTGAATTATTTCCACCACCATAAGCTTCTAATGCATCAGCTTCTTGTAGTAAGTCGTCCAACAAACCTCTCCTGCTATGAGTCTCGTCGGCGGCGGCTGCTAGTGTTGCCCCAGCCACCGAGCTTAGATTGTTATCAATGGAAATCTGAAGCTGTGTTTGGGATACTTGGTTTGAAGGGAGCTCCGATTGGACTGAATAAACTGAGCCGGCAGGTGACAGAAAATTGTCGGAGAAATCGAACTGAGAACGAGGCAGTGGCGGGAAAGAATGGTCGAAAGTCATGGGGAACTCAAAGGAGGGGTTGTCAGACATCGAGTAGGTGCGGGTCAAGGATGCAATGGCAGGCATTGAGTTGGAGCCTGTTAACTGAAAAGAGGCAATGTCAGGCATTGACCTGGTACGGAACATGGAAGTATTTCTTTTCAGGTTTGGGAAGCGTGGTGGGGAGAATACCATGGAGTCCCGATACCGTTTATGGCACAACGGGGCTCCAAGGATGGGGGCGGGGCGGTGGAAGGTGAAGGAGGGTGTGGAGGATGGCGAGAAGGAAGAGGTGATGGTGTTGATGGGATCAAAAGGAGGGAAGGAAGTGAGAGTAGTGGGCTTGGTCTCGTGTGGGGAGGAGAGAGGAGAGAGAGATGGTGGAGGGGGGGAGAGTGGGGGCAGATGATGGGATTGGGTTGGGCTTTGGGTTTGGGTTTGGAAAGAAAAAGTTGGGGTTGAGCCATTGGTGATGGGTTGGAAAGGGTTTTGGATTGTGGTTGTGAGTGGGGTGAGACTTGGGATTGTTAGCGAGGTGGCTTGGGAATGGGATTGTTTAATGTCATGGGGATATAGCGGTAGGCATTGGCGTTGCCTCCTCTTGACCCTTGTGTTCCAGTAATTCTTTATTTCGTTGTCTGTTCGCCCAGGTAACTAACAAAAAAGAAAACTAAAACATGGGCAGCAGAAAAAATCCAAAACCCAGAAATGAATGAGGAAATTATTATAATGAAGAAAAAAAGAAAAGATTATAGTTACCTGAGAAGCCATGCGAGCCCATTTGTTCCCGTACTTTGCGTGCAGCTCAAGAATGCGCCTCTCTTCCTCAGGAGAGAAGACACCTTTCTTCAAGTTGGGACGGAGATGATTGGCCCAACGGAGCCTACAGCTCTTGCCGCACCGGTTGAGGCCAGAGTTCCTCTGCACCGCGTTCCAATTGCCCTCGCCGTGTTTCCTCACGTACTCCATTAAAGTCTGGTCCTCAGCCGCCGTCCACGGACCCTTCTTCAGACCGTCGCTGCCCTCCACCACGTGCCCACCTCCTCCCCCGCCCGATTCGGGCGGCAACATTCCCTCTCTGTGTAGCTCCCAAATGCTGCCGTTGTTGGTTGTCATTGTCACAATGCAGTTTTGGTGGGTGGCTCCCTCTCCTTCCTTGTTTGTTAAATTCTTTCTTTTTTTTTTTTTTTTTTTTTTTTTTTTTTTTTTTAAAATTTTACCCCCTTTTTTTTCCTGGGTATTGGGTTGGATAGTGGTATGGGGGTTGGGAAAAAGGACCCCTCTCTCCTCCTTTTGAATAAAAACTCTGTTTGTGTACTACTGGAAACCTCTTTTTGTGGGTTTGGAGTAGGAGGAGAAAAGAGAGGGGCAAGGGAGGAGGTGGGTGGTGATGTTGGTGGGGAGGGAGCTAAGCCCTCTCAGGATCTACAAACAATAACAGAAATTAGAAATCAGAAAGAAAAAAAAATTGTTGTTGTTGGGTGTTGTGGTTGATGAGGGGCAGTGGCAAACCTGAAGACATATGTATAAACTGGGAAAGGTGGTGAGGTGTTGTGCTACATGTAACTTGTGAGACTCCAATCTGTACCAAATTCTTAGGCTCCTCTTTTTTGGCAAATTTGGTTTTCCCAAGTTTTTTTTTATTTTTTAAAAAACTTTTTATTACATGGCACCAATCTGAGCTGGTAAAAAGAGTAAAAACAGATGGGTTTGGGTTAATTTGGGGAGAGTAGATGAAGTGGAAGTTGAAGATTGACATGCCGTTCAGATTGTAGAGTTAACTAAGACGACACCTGTGCCAGACTTTCAACAACGCTTCTCGGTGTCTTGGGTCTGACGCTTAATGCGTCCCACGGTTTATACACGGAGCGGCTGGTGTGTGCACATAGACAGCGCGCGAGTGAAAGTTACCATCTGTCTGCCTCAGCGCCGCTGTTAAAAAAAACACACGCTACTCAAAATATTGGGAAAAATAGAATGGAGTTTCACTAAAACACCTCAAATGGGGGTTAAAATAATGAAGAAACTAGTTCAATTTTTACAAATTTATAAATAAACCCAATTCTAGACATTATTTATAAAAAAATTCAAACACTATTTAAACATAGAAACACACCCAAAATCAACAATTGTATATTTTTTGGGTGTGTTTATAAATGGGTTTTGAGTGTGTATAATGATGGGTTTTGGGTGTGTTTATAAAGTGTTTTGGGTGACAAAAAAAATTTCAAAAATCGTACATAATTGATTAAGTGCGGACCATCAAATTATGAACTTCACGAGAACACAAACAGAAATATATATATATATATATATATATATATATATATAACTCTAGTAAGTAATTCCAAGATCTAGTCCACATGATGTACCAAATACACCCAATAAATTTTCATTATAGTGATAAATAAAAAATAGAAAATGTCATTATAGAGAATGACGTACTTTTTCTTATTTGTATACATGGATGTTTTTTTTGGTGTATATGCGCTTCTTTTTTTCTTTTTTTTTCATTAATAGGTACTTTTTCTCAATTTGATGTATGTCACTATAAGTAGGAAAAATAAGAGGGCTTTTCAAGACTCGCACATCATTGTTGCTAGCGGAGCCACATACAGGCCTCTAGTGCCCGTGGCCCTCCAAGTTCCATAAAAAAGTCAATAACTCTTAAACACCTGCTACAATATCAGTTGAAATATAAGGCTATAAAACCTTGAAATTACAGTACTGCTTCCCCCACCTCCCCAAAAAAAAGTTACTACCTCCGCCACTTCCTACACATGCTATGCTATGCATAGCTTTGCAAAAATAGTTGGCATTGAGCCTTCTCTTAAATATTAGAATACAGTTTATCGGGAAAGTGATAAGTTGTAAGTTTTTTTTCCCTTTTGAGAAAAGATAGGATATTTAAACGATACTACAATTAGATATATCGAACTCATCATAAATATATATCAGTGTGATAAATCGTAAGTTTGAAATAATGTTACCAGAATGAGAAAGTGTGAAGCGCTTTTTTTGGATCTGAACACAATGATACTCTAATTTGACCATAATTTGATGACAAGGCTCACCTATTCTGAAAGGGTCTGTTGACATATAAAACTTGGAAGTCAAAGAGAGAGCACTGTGATTAAGCAATTAACACTTTCAACTTAAAGAGAATTAAGAAACTCATTAATGACAATAATTAAACTCATTAACAAATGTCTTAAGTGATTAAAGGAACTAATAATAATTCAAAATTTAATTGATGATCCAAAAGTGATGGGAGCATGATGACAAACATATGTAACAGGTTGGATTAAGTAAGAGCCAGCCAGCCAACACGGCATTTCTTGTGCCGCAGTCAACTCATAGACCACATACCTGAGAGTTGAGAGCAACACGTTTGCTGCAACACATTGGTTTGGATTTGAAAGGATGGAAATAAACCCAGTCAGTCAAAATTTTAAAAGGAGCCACCCAACATTGACCTTAATTTATATTAGCACATGCAAGTCGGCATATAATATCTGCATAAAGGGACCAACCAAGAGCTAATCTATCTGTGTTCTGTCCTGTGTGTATATAGTCTATTTGGATTTGGCAAATAGAGAGAGAAAAATCTTAGTAAACGCTTTGAATCATCTCTATCAATGGCTTTGCATTTGCTCTCAAACATCTTGAGCTGCTTTTCAGAAGCTCCTCAAACGCAAAGCAAACGTTACATATGCGATGGTGATGTTTGTGTTCTCAGAAATCAGAAGCAGTTGCGTGGGACAAAATCAACGAAGAACAAGCGCAGGCACAGCCTCATGAGGATTTCCTTCGCCCGTCTTTCGATGAAAAGGTCTCAGAGTTTTTCGGCACAACAACACAAGCTATAAGCTCTCATGAAGCCTATCTTTCAGTGATAGATAATGGCCTCAGTTCAGTTGATATGAAGTTATGCAAGCCACTAGATTCATATGAAGTTATGTAAACATTGAATTGTATTGCAGAGCCTTTAATGGAAAAAGGGATTGTGATCAAACTCACTTTCATTCATATAGAGGTGTCCCAAGTTGTAACCAAAAAAATTCATGTCATTTGTTTCTTAATAGAAACTCGCTTTGCCGAAAGGGCTGGATAATCAAAGGCCAGCTATGAATTTGCTTGTTTTAGAATTGAACAATTTGTCAGGCCATGTAGCAAGCTCTCAGCAAGTCATGCAAAAATGGCTGTCCCATTTATGCCATGTAATAAGTTTACGAATTTCTTAACCAATAGACTACCGGAGGTATGAAAATGATACCGAAACGAAAGTTTGTGTATGATAATGTCAAAAAATGAACTTCATATAATAAATTCTGAAATTCGGTGAACTATCGGATAGTAAATTGAAGTTACCCTAAATTATAAAGAACCAATGAACACATGGACTAAAATGTTTGCATGTCTTCTTTTTTTTTGGGTCGAAATTGATGCTTCATTAAACGCCCCATAAAGAGTGAAAAAGGACGTACAGAGCAAGTCCCAAAAAGTACTCAAAGAAAACAGATTACAAGCAAAGTTGGGGTTCCTATCACAGACTAGACTAGAGTCGGTGGAAACAAGCGAAACACCCAACACCAAACAACCTATATCGAGGGTGGGCAAGACATTCCATCCGCGACCAAAACATGAACAAGAGACTGGCGGTCGATTGACCCAGCTTTCCAGCGCCACAGCTCTACTACCCAGCCCAGCCACAGTGGCCAGCTCCATTCACGAGACTCGAACCTCGACGAGAGCTTTCTGATCTCCATCAACAGAGTAAAAATAGTCCACACCTTATTCCCCTGTTTACCTCCAACTCCATCTACCAAGCCTTTAGAATCAGATTCCATTACAACCACCTTAAAATCATTTTGTATCGCCTTCTTTAAGCCTCTCAAGGCGGCCCTACCTTCAGCTATCAAAGCAGAACTACCAAGTAACTCGGTCAGCACAGCACATTTAAAAAATCCCTTCCAAGTTACGGATTACGACACCAATACCAGCCATGCTACTTTCTTTTTTCCAAGCAGCATCAGTGTTGATCTTCACAAACCCAATCCTAGGGGGGCACCAAACCTCTGCCACATTTAAGCTACTCAATGGCTCCAATGTAGGGGTAACCATCAATCTCTGAACACTCTCAAATTCAGAAACAGCTGCCATTGCCACACGAATCCCTCGCTGGGGATCAAGCTGCGTCTACATTTGCGTAGTCACACTGTCCTACATTTTGCATTGTCGTTCAAAAGGTTCAAAAGACTTCTATTACAACCAGTAAAAGTAAACTTCTTTTTGAGAAACAATGTTCATAACAGGTTTAGCCCAGCTTAATCCAAAGCCACACTTTTATCCAGGTTAGAGAAACTCAACAGCAGATAAAACAGTGAAAAAATTAAGAGAATTCTAAGATAGAGGAAAGGCAAATGGTAGGAACATTCAATTTGAGAGACAATAGTCCACATGTACATTATAACAGTAGAGCAGTATAAAGTGGAATTTTCAGGGCAATTACATAAAACATGAGTAAAATCTAGACAACTAATTCTCATCAACCTGTAACAATGTACAAGGCCTCAACTAGAGTGATGCATTTATATCGTTTTAAGAACTCCAAAGCAATTTGATGTAATCATCAAATGAATCATCCTTCTGCCGGATTTAGCTTGACAATATGACACAAAAAGTGCTACTGCAAGTCACTAATACTTATCTGGGACATCCAGAACTTGGAGTTCTGTTAAAGTGATCGTATCTTAAGCTCTGAATGGATCATATCTAGTCAAGCAAGCTGATCTGACCAAAGATAATCCTTCATTTTCATTTGGGCAATTCCCAGTCCAAGTCAAAAATGGATAACTACCACCACCAAAATCATTCTGTCATAACAAGATCGAAGACATTCTCACACTTGATGCAACTATGGCACAGGAGATAAAGGTGAATTCCGGAGACAGGAGCCAGCAGCATCTCAGCTCTGTACACTATTTGTTTAATTCTGCTGAATACCCCATCCAAACTCAGAGTTGCAAAGCCAGGTCTGGCTGCTGAGAGTCAACCAGAAGACCCGAGGACTGTTTCACCGGAGACCCTGGGGACTGAAAACCAATATTCAAGTCTGGAGGAAGACTTTCCTGTTTCTGTCTTGGTCTTGGCTGGGCATGCGAACTGAGACCCCGCCAAGGTGACTGCACCTGAAATCTAGACAAGTCAGCTGCTGCCAACTGAGGAAAAACTGTAGGTCTGCTTTGGAACTGTGGCTCATTCCCGATACGGACAGGTTGTGGTAAAAAAGTTGGAAATGAAAAATTGTTCTGAGTCTGAAATTGCAAGGGAAACTCCCCCCGAACTCGCGAAAGTTGTGATTGAAACTCCCGGGCTGGGTTGTATAAGGAATCTGCAGATATCTGACTTTTGGTTTTAGTGAGATTCTCGGTGGGTTGTTTAAATGCTCCAGCCCCTATAGACATCCAAGCCCGGGCAGCAGCTGCTGCAGCATTGTTTGAATCATCTCTTCTTACTGATGGAACTGATGGTACAACGGGTTGAGTATCAACTGACGATTGATTTGATGATTTCTGTTGTTTGTGAGTCTTTTCGGCCAATTTTTTCATCAACTGCACTGGGTCACTAAGACCCTGCTCCTGTCCTTGAGGAAAGAAAGCCGATGTTCTTTCACTTTGACTAGGAGCACTATCAGATGGACTAATCATCCTATTGTCCAGAGAAGCACTCGCAGCTTTCCCATTAGGCAAACCTCGGGTAACAATACCATTAGAATCCGGCATCTTAAAAGGTACAGGTTGTGGAAGATTCATGTTCCTTGATACAGTATCTCTGGACCTGGAAGATGTCTCCAAATTTCTTGATAATTGCTTTTCTGCAACAAGATTGGCATTATTTTGGTTGACTGAGGGTACAGAGTTCAACTCGACTTCCCTTTGAACCTTGTTCTCAGGCTCTATAAACCGGGATTGTGGATTCTTCTGTGGATGAACAGCATTAACTGCAGTGCCAGGTTTTGCTCCAACAGGACCAATCACAGATGGTTTCCCTTCTGTGTAATGCCCCTTAGCAGAACCAAAAAAAGATGGTCTCCCTCCTGAAGTAGGCACACTAACAGAGTGCTGTCTCTCTTCTGTAACAGGGCCAGTAACAGGGTGCACCTTAGCAGAAACTGAAGTCCTAAGAGTTCTGTCATCCTTTCTCAAGTTCGGGTGTGAATAGAACTTTGAAGCCAAAACAGATGGATTTTGGGTACAATTTTCGATCATAAGTACTGGGGTTGGAAGCGGCTCATATTCTCCAACCCAACCACGGCCAAATTTACACCCATCAGGTAGTGCCTGTTCAATCCTCTTTGACGCAACTTTCCAAGCAACAGGTCCAAGACTTCCAGAAAAACGAGCAAGGCTCCTAGCATATGAATATTCTGCATGAAGCCCAACCTGATTCGAAATTGATAATATCATTCAAAAACTAGTAATACAAAAGCCAACTACTGGGGGAAAAGAAAAACAGATTCTTTGTCACATACTGCAACAAACTGCTTGATTTCACCGTCAAAAGTAGTAAATATTGATTCTGATCTGATCACTGGCTGAGTAGATACGTTATAGGTTGCACGACGGTTCTCATCAACCACAGATGGCTTCCTCCCAACTTTAGATAGGTGACCCTTCCCTAGAAAAAGTGCAACAAACAAGAAATTAGAGGAGAATCCTCTCCTATGAGACGACATTATGACGAACAAGCTACTTCAGATCTTTATGAGCTAACTAATGCGTGTTTATCAACTATTACCTCCAAAAGAAAAATATTAGGAGAGGAAAAAGAAACCAACTTTGCTAATGTAATCCACTACAGTAACAAGAATATTGAGATCCACATTTTCTTTTTTTCATCTATCATTGTAGATCTACATGATGAAAAAGGAAAACAAACACTTCAGTGCACCTGATGACATATCTTCTGCCTTCTCCATATTAGCTTCATTCAAGGAGGAATTACCCTCCACTGGTCCATCAATGTTGCTAGGTCTCTCACAACCACTGCCTTGTGTTGGACGGGAACTGTTCTGGACATCTCCAGCAGTCGCAAGAGTTGCACCTGAGGAGAAATCAGAGCCAATAGGTTCCTGTAGTGTTCGGCACAGAGGCTTCTTTGTCTGTTTCTTGACCAAGGAATTGGAATTTGTTTTCTGAACTAATTTGAGCTCCTTTTCTGAGCGTTCATAGTCAATCCTTAACCTCTCAAATTTTTTCCTCGCCAGCTCTTGTATAGAACATGCCTTTCACAAATATCAAAACACAATGGTAAGAAACAAACAAGCTGGATAAAGAAGAAATTTGAACAATAAGATGGTAAAAGCTAATTACCTGTTTATAGTATATTGTATCGGATGAATTGTATTGCATTGCGTTTGAACATATTAAAAAGACATCACCCTGCAACCAAGAGGACCAGATTACCAAGAAGAGAAGACACTTCTTTCCTCTTTTAACATAATTTCAAGGGAAGGAATTAGAATAAAAACATTATTAAACAACAAGAGAGAAGAGCCAATTTGAAGGTGAACTTGTGCACTTTTCTCTCCTTCACCCCCTTTGAATTAAGCTAATAGTCAGAATATCTTCAAAGATTTAACATACATTCCCTCAGCCCCTGGTAGAATATCAAGCTGCTTGGACTCTAGAATGATAGATAAACGTCTTTCCATAAATATACATTAAAGGTTTCAGTTTCAAATATGTTTTGATAATAAATGTAATCATCTAGCAAAAAAATGAAATAAAAAATAGGAGGAGAGGCACAGGCAGGGAGCAAGAGAGAACTCATAGCCAAATTCTTTACCAATCAACTCTAGTCTGACCTCACATACCCCAGTAAATTCTGAAGTTTTATCACTAACAATTTGCAGAGAATCCACATCCTGCACCCTTATTTTGTCTAGGAGACCTATGGTAACTGACCATATATACAGATCATAACTTAATCTTGAATGAACTGAAAACTTTGGAGCTTTAAAATTAACAATCCAACTCTGACAATTCTCTTGCATACGCATAGTATTATAAATATTAGCGTGAATGAAATTCCGAAGACTATCACACTCAAAACATAAAGAGCCCCTTCCCTCTTTCACTGACCATCAAAATTCCCCAAACGAATTAACGAACAACAGGATGAAACATAAAAAAGTGTTCACAGAATCAAAAATCCAAAAAAGGAGAAAGAACAAAGAATAAGTTAGTCTGCTCCCTCAAGCCCCCCACCCATAACTTAAGAAGATCATATAACACTGTAAAACATCAAAGGGAAGTTTTGCAGTGCTTTTACAACAAGACATATCTAAGCCCCCACGATATTAGTAAGAGTACATGGGTAGTATTTGGTAACATATGAGCACCCACCTCAAATTGGTCCAATGTAGAATATGATCCATTCTCCAACTGCTTTCTCACCGTGGCAAAGTCCATGGGATGCTTGATGACATCATGATAGTCGGGAAGCTACAATATCAAACATCATATCAACCTCTAAATCAAATTCTTAACCCCAGAAGAGATGGAGAGTTTTGAGCAAACGTAAAGCCATATTCCATGGAAAAATTCACGCACCTCCTCAGGATCAACTGGTTCTGCATATACGCCATAAGTGTCTTTCCTGCCACAATGAGATGTGAACATCAGAAAACGAAGCTTTTAGCTTTGAAATTGGCAACATGAAACAAAGGGGAAATAAATGAGACCCCATACTTTTGAAGCTTGTCAAGGATCAACTCCAACGTTTTCTTATCGGGCAATGGAATCCCAGGCTGAGGATCAGAGGGCGTTTCTGAAACAAAGACAAGAAAAATTCAACAACCCCTATCATCTTCACACATCTCAAGTTCACAACACAAAGCAACCAAGACCCACATATCCAACTCACACAAAAACAAACCTGGAAGGAGACCTTGGCGCTTAGAGTCAGCTTTTCGACCCCGTTCCTGTCAAAATCCATAGGCCCCATGAAAACCCACAAAACTAATAAAAAGTACCAAGGCAAATAAAATGTAAAAGGTAAGAAAGACTGCGTTTTAATGAGACAGAGACAGAGACAGGTAAGGCAGCAGACAATTGTATCTATAGAGAGAGAGAGAGAGAGAGAGAGAGAGAGAGAGAGGTGGGGAGAGCGTGAGTGTTGGTTTTTGACAGTTGACTCCAACTGTTAATATCACAACACTCAAACAGAGAGTGTGAGGAGTGAGAGAGAAGCTAGAGAGAGAGTAATATAGAAATCTGGACCAATGAGAAAACTATTCTGAGCTGCACTCTCACTACACTTCTGTCTCCCACTTCAAAAAACCATTTCTTCTTCTGCATCAGATCCGTACATTAATGTATACACATACATACCTCACAATCATCATCATCATCATCATCATCTTTATCGGAATCATCGCCACCGTTAATCCGGCGCTTCTTCAACGGCTTCCTCTCACTCTCACCATCCTCCTCCTCCTCTTCCTCTTCTTCCTCCTCCTCTTCTTCGCCAGTCTCATGCGCGTGGGAGTCACGCGCCGAGCCATTTCTGCCCTCGTCGAGCTTGACCACCAGCTTCACCTTCTTCTCTCTCCTCCTCTCCTCCTCTTCTTCCTCCTCGTCCTCGTATTCCTCGTCCAAGTAGTCGTCGTAGTCGATGTTGTACTTCACATTTCGGCGCCGGAGGCTCCTCCGCACGTCCGTGTCTTTCTTCACTGACTTCGCCGGCAACTCGCCAGACCGGCGAGCCAGATCTGCCTTGGATGGCCTCCCCTTCTTCTTCCTCCTCACGATCTGACCCATCCGCCCTGCTTTTTTCTCTCTCTAAAACCCTCACCCTCTCTTACTCTACTTTCTCTCTCTAAAACCACGCTCTGTTTCTCTCTCTATCTTTTGGTTTGGCTCCATTATTTTCGATGCCCGTGGCTTGGCTTTTTCGAAAGGGGGGCCCTAATTGTGAGGTCCGAGCCTGCCTCCGAGCCTCCTGTTCGGGTGCGAGTAGGTCAATAAATCATTGATTTTTTTTAAAATTTTGGCTGTGTTTGGGCAAAAACGGCGTCAGTGCTTGAGGAAGACGGCGTTTGGTGCTGCCCGCTGCCCGGATGGGGCTTGCGTGCTGCCCGCGATGCTTTTTGTCAATTGCCACCTTTGCCTTTTTCTTATCGGCTAGGGACGGTCTTTGGCGCGTCCTTCCACGCCCTGCGAAATTTTCTTCCCCAAATAACACATCGAAATCTATATATATAGCAAAAAGTAGAGAATAATGGAACATTCAAAATACCAGAAAATATTTTTGGTTAATTCAAATATTAAGAATTGAAATTATTAATTAAATGAGGATAGTATGGTAAATTCACATTTTTTTATGTTAAAAAAATTAAAATTAAAAACAAAATCATATTATAGGTCATACTTTATGAAACATAACTACCCAAGTTATCTTTTCTTAATTCTAAAAATGAAAAAAAATGAAAAAAAAAAAACCAATTGGCACATGCGGGCACAAGGGGCTAGTATATAATTATAAACAAATAAAAAATAAATCATAATGAGAAAAAATGGATATTTTTTTTGTTGATTGAAAAAATGGATAGTTAACCACATTAGTGCGATTAACAAACTGCTACCTCCAACGAGGTTCGAATCCAATTGAGAGTACTTTGTGGTTTAGGGACAAACCGAATCCCAAACATGGATTAATCCCATCATTCCAATGTGGGAACCCCTTGTAGTATTTACCCAAAAAAATGAATAGTTAATGAAAACAATATTATAAGTCCAGAAAACATAATCACATGTTGTTAAATGAACTGCATGCTCTTAAAATTTGGATTTATTAGTGTGAGTTGATGAAATGATGATACCACTACCTAATTCCACTTTTAAAGCATCATTTATTGCTTATTCCATTAAAAGCTTTCTCACAACATCACACGTCGTTTTTGGTTGCATGGAGGCTATATGGAAAAAGTGGTACCCTTGTAATAAAGTGCTAGTTAAATAATAAGAGACTAGTTTCATGTAGTAGACAATAATTAGAATGGTTTTACAAGTGGAATGTGGTTTCAATAAAAATAAAGTTTGCACCCGAAATCTTCCACGGTTGGAAAATTAATTTTAGCAGTTCCAGAATTATACGTTAGTTTGTCAATTATTCCATCAATTTGGGGGTTAATTTGTCCATTCAATTTGGGACTTGTTTTAGCACGCTTTTACCATTGACCATAGTCCCCTACAATAAAATTTTCCCCACATCCTTTGTAGCAAGGAAAATGCTACCTTGCTCAAGCTACCCAAATTATGCGGAGTAGAGTCTTTGAATTTGTTGTATATTTGAATTCAATTCCTCTTAATTTTTAGACGCTCTCTCCTTCTGTGAGTCTCAAAGAAAAACTCCAAATAAGGGGGCGGAGGAAGAAGCGTCATTGCCCCTCCTTTCTCCTCGTCTTGTTTTTTGGGTTAGTAAATAAGTTTATCTAATGAATTTTATTTTTTATAAATTAAAAATTTTTTGTTTAAAAAAAGGTTCCTCTTAACTTTCTCTCATAACTTAATTTTCAAAATTTCAAGTTTTTCTTTTTTTTTTTGTCAATGTAGCATTTTATTGGTCACCTCGTCAGCATTTTCATAGATACATAGCTATATTGTTTGCACCCTAACCTTGTGACTTTGAGTTTACCAAAGATCTCTGGTACATAATTGTGACAGAATTGTATATTTGTTCGCACCCTAATGGGGCTCAAAATCAAATTGAAAATTCATAAGGCAAAGTGAAACATGACCGAATGATAGGATTTTGCTAAAGTTTGCCTTCGTAACTTGTATATTATATTTTTTGTGTGCATTATTTCTAATTTTTAGTGTATAAGTGATGGCAAATCCTAAGGCACACTCCCAAAAAATCCTACAAAAGTATTTATGTTAGAAATGGGCAAGTAAGTTTCCTTTAAAACTTTTCCCTCTTTTAGAGTAACTCTAATGGAAGATGTAAATTTTAAGATTTCTTGATCCACAAGCTCATCAACCCAATACTTTTTTTTATGTTGTGTACCCTTTAATCTATTATATGATAATAAAGTTCAAATCTTGTTAAGAATGTTTCATATATTCACAACCTACTTTTAAATTGATTCCATTATAACTGCAAAGGATTTTAGAGAGTTCTACAATACAATAAAGGCTAGACTTTTTACCACAAGTAACCATTGTACTATTTCAAACACATCATTTTCATCTTTATTATGTCGAGTCGAGTAATGTCATCCCAATCTTCTTATGCTGCAAAAAAGATTAGTGATGACTTGTATCGAATTGAAAGTTTTTACACGAAAATAATGTAATTGACATAACAGTAATTAAGTATCAGACTCATCACAAATATATATGATCTTAGCTATCTATGTGAGCCGAACTTGAGAACTCCTCTGATTAAGTAGAATAGAGACAAATATTACTATACCAAATGTTAGTTAGTATTAGTGGAAAGGTTTAGGCTACTAAACTATAAGCAATGGCACAATTTCAAATTGGAAGGAAGGCAATGTCAAAATTTGACAAGAACTACTCCTCCAACCAATCTGAAGCACCTTGAACAAAGTGTGTAGAGTGGCAGCACGCACTTTAAAGCAAGTAGAGCAAATTTTTAGTCATCGTTGTGATTGAAAGAGATTTGCCGTAACCTAGTGTGCATTGCCACTACAAATTTTCTTTTCCCGCTTGTAATGGATTCATGGATTCGTTTGTCATTTCACTCAGTTTACCTTTTTCAATTTTTACTTTTTCCACTTCATTTGATCAACAGTTGTAGATGATTTTATATCCATATTATTATTATTATTATTATTATTATATGAATCCACTATGATCGGACACATGTAATACGGTCCCACATAATATGAAATCATGAAGCTAAATTTTCCTAAGTGGGCCATCGAAGATCATTCATGGACTTCAATAGGGAAGCTGGGGGAGAAATGTTATTCTTTTTCAATGGAACGAGGGGAGAAATTTGAAAGTGTTTTACCTGGCCCAAGTACTTGAGAAAGTTCACAAACTTGCTATTTTAGCTTATTTTTCCCAAACAATACGAATATATTTTTAAAAAGGTTAATTGGTGATTTGCTCCTTGAATTTATACTTAATTTTCGATTTAATCTTTAAAAAAAAAATAATAATAAAGATATGAACTTTTTTCACCAATTTCCCCATTGCCATCTAAATTATCAACATTTTATCCTTTTTTTCTTTTTTTTTATTAATAAAAAAAAATCATTTAAAAATAAAAAAAAAAAATTAAAAAAAAAAAAAAGAAAAAAAAAAAAAAAAAAAAAAAAAAAAAAACTATCCCCTTTCGTAACCCATCCCCCCTCCCCACCTTCACTGCCTTCCCGTTCGCAATGCACCCTCAAACCCACGACCACCCCTTTACCCATCACGGCCTCCTCTCTTAGCAGCCCACCCTCCCACAACCACCACCTCACAACCATCTCTCTCTCTCTCTCTCTCTCTCTCTCTCTCTTCCCCCAAACCCCAGGCTTAGCCCCGACACCCACAAAGTTACCCACCTCACCACAACCTGCCCGCACCTGGTGCGATTTTTGCCCAAATAGATTTGGTTTTTTTGTGTTCAAATATGTGCATCTGGGTTTTTTTTTGTTCAAATATATGGTGGTGGTTTTGGTGTTGTTGTATGGGATGTGTTCGATCTTTGGGTGCAGTGAGGGCATAGAGAGAAGTCAAGGGAGAGAGAATGGGTGGTGGTGTGATTTGTGAAGAGGACATGGGAGGCTGGGATTTGGGGAAGAAGAGATTGGAGTGAGAGATATATATATATATATATATATATATATTACTTTATTGTTATAATTATTATTTCAAATGTTAAATTATTTTTATTTTATTTTAACATGAAAACATCCAATTTGCCCTTATAATTAACGGCAAATTGGATGAAATTTTGAGAATTTAGATGGCATGGGGAAAATTGGTGAAAAAAAAAAGTTCATATTCTTAATTTTCTATAAATAAATTAAAAAAAGGATAGAGAGTAAATAGAAAGCTAGATACAAATTCAAGAGACAAATCACCAGTTAAGCCTTATAAAAAAGTGACACTAAAAATCATAGTCCCCTTTCTCCTAAAAAAAACACTCTAGAGCCATTTTTACTTTGAGGGGAGAGGAAGCCATTTATCTTCCTCCCCTCTCCCCTCATCTCTTCCCCTCTTTTCCCCCCATTTTCAGAGACAAAGTTTTCCTATATTTGTCTTCATTTTGTTATAATTTTCCTTTACTCATCATAAGCGAATGTGTCTTAGCGTTGGATTTCCACCTGCATTTTGGTGTCAGATCTCTATCACCATACTTTTTGCAGTTTCTTCATGTTTGGAATAAGTCGTATAGACTCTTTGGGTTTTATGTGTAGTTTTCACCTATCATTTTGTGAGAGTTTTCCACCTATCTTCTGTGAGAGTTTTATTTGTATTATTATGGCTTTGTTTTTTCAAGCTTTATCTATTTTTTGTTGTTATGAGTTTGGACTTTTAGTTGGGATACCTATGCCAGAGTTTTTTTTTATCCTACGTGATTGTTAGTGGATGAGCCCTAGATTTTCTCAATTTTGATGTCTGATCGCTCTGTTATTGTAATGGCTCTTTGTGACTAATTGCTTTTTTGGCTGAATTATGAATGCAATCCCATAATTTATGAAGAAAAAAACTACTATTATACTATGCTAAGCTAACCACTCTTTTGAACCCATTCCACAATGTCATCTCATGATTTGAACTATTCATTTGTTAGGTATTCATTCAAAGACCAACAATGCAAAAAATTATCCAAGATTGACAACATATAGTCATCTAAATGTTGTTAAATAAATAGACATTTACTAACAATGTTTGATTTGGCTGAAAAAATTTGGGTAGCGAATGGTCATTGAATGATTACCTAAAAAATAAACGGTTTAGATCATGATATGACATATTGAAGTGAATCCAAATGAGTGGTTAATTTACTGATTGAGCGCTTGAGCGGTCCTATTATAATTGTTGTTGAAAGTGACTCTTCAATGCTTTCATATTGTGGATGCAATTAATAACATATATGGACAACACTTTCCCAATGAATATGCTCAAGTTTTGTTTAAGGGTAAACTACAATAAACCTCCTAACATATAGGGTTATTTACGAGTCCATACCCGATTTTGGGGACATTTATGGGTACATACTCAACATCGCGGAAAACCTACAGATCGCCCCCTCCGTTAGCGAGTCCGTCAGGAAATTCGTTATCTGCCTACGTGGCAAATGTGGGTTCCATTTTTTTAATGAGGTGGACTTACATGTGGACAAATAAATAATAAAAAATTATATATTTTTCAAAACTAATTTTAAATCATTAAAACTATTTTAAAATTGATTATTAAAAAAATTAAAAAAATGAAAAGAAAAAAAAATTCTCCTCTCTCCTCCTACATAGCCAACCCTCTGTCCTACCCGGCTCAACCCCACCTCTCAACCATTTTTGCAGATAATTCCTCATGATTAATTATCAGTTTATGGGTAAACTGATAAATCCAGAAACAAGATTAATTTTTGGAACAAAATGATAAAGTTCAAACAAACATAAATGTGAAAAAGAACAGAGCCCAAAAAGGTAGATACTTCACCAATAACAAATGATGCAAATACTTCCCCAAATGTATTGTTCTAGCTATAAGAACACAAAAAATGCAGATAATTCCTCAAATTTAAACTCATTTTGCAGATTCTAATATTGTTCTAGCTCTGGCGAGATATGAAGAACGACGACGAGCTCGCGAGGTCTTGACAACATTCCCCATGGCATGTTGCGAAGACCCAACCACCTGGGTTTTGCATATCAACCTCATTCATTCTCGACAAGTAGGACCAAGAACGAAACGACGCCGCATCGGCCTTGAAACCCGACTCCCTCACTATCTCCCCGCCACCACCGTCCTCATTCATGGCCGACCCCTCGCAAAGCCCTAACCCTAAGATCTCGGCCTACTACCAAACCCGGGCGGCGCACCACGACATCGTCACGAGCGACTGGCTGGCCCAGGCTCAAGCCGCCGTCGGCCAAAACCACAACGAACAAGGTCCAATTGTTGGCGAGGTTGAAGCCAAACCCAGTTCTGCTTCTGGCAAGCCCTTCAGCGTCATCAAAGAGTTCAATAACTGGAAAAAGCAGCCCGATTTGGCTGAGGCCGTGGCGGCGATTCGGGCCTTGGCGCCTGTGATTCGTTCCAGTGAGGCATTCTTTCATTTGATTCGTTCCTTCGTGTTCTTGCATTCTTTCAGAGAGAGAGAGAATGATTTTTCTTTTTCTTTTGATTTTAAATGAAAATTAATTATTTAATATAATTTTACTTGTTTTGTATAATAGTTTATTAGTTTTTTGTCCACGTGGAACCCCACGTCAAGTAAAAAATGGGTCCCACAAATGACACATAGGCAGATAACAGATTTTCTGACGATCTCGCTAACGGAGGGGGCAAATTGTAGGTTTTCCGCGACATTGAGTATGTACCCATAAATATCCCCAAAATCGGGTATGGACTCGTAAATGACCCTATAGGTTGGGGGGTTTACTATAGTTTACTATTTGTTTAATTAGCTTTAACGCTCTATGTTTTGGCAAATTTTTTATGACAACCAATTTATCGTCTTACATGTAAGGCGATCATCATACATCATTTGTGTCAATGATAGTTTGTGGTTTGATAGCCTTTGATCTAATTCAAAACACTTTCTTAGAGGATCCTAGCATTTCAAGTTCTTTAATATTTTCAACAGGTCCAATTTTTGACTAGGAGCAGAAGTGTTTTTCTTCTTCTTTGTAAATATCTTCTTTACCACATAAAAAGCACAATAAAAGTGTTATTTTTTTGTGTTACTTTTTTTTCTTCATAAATTTCTATTTTTGTTTAAGAATATTTTTCATTACCGTCAATTAAGGGTTATATTCTCTTTTTGTTAATTGGATGTACTTTAATGAGTTGAAATCACCAATATTAAAGTCAAAATGAGAAAAGAAAAGTTCGATAATTCGTCACGTGTGTATTTTGAATAGTTCTAAATTTAAGGATGATAATACTTTTTTTTTTTTGGTGGGAAAATAAGCGATAGTATATTATTGATGAACAAAGCAACTATGTGCCGAATATGGGTAAATCTTCTCCAGTGACCAAACACATCAACATGTTGAATTGATATGAAGAGATTACGCACAACCCAAACAATGACTAAATCCCTGATCATGCAACCAGAAGCACATGTATTCATACCTACAATACAAATCTGTCGCGCAATGATAGAAACGGCAAATACGTATTGAAAGCCAAAATTAAAAAATAAATAAAAATCCTAAATAGAAAACAAATCGCACGAACTCCTAAAGAGTTTCTAAAAAAACAAAACTAAGAAACAATACCACCACTCCACATCTTCTGGGCAACCCGAAGAAAATCATAGCGTCATACTGATTAAACTCATAGTCCCGCATTGGCTAAATCTGAACCCAACACAACCAAACATCTTTCCCTTGTTAGAGCTCCAAACTATGTCGAAGAAAGCCAAGTCCTCGTGTATGTGGGCCAAAATACGGTGACTATATCATGGCGACGACATCTCTTCATGGTGACTACTTCCACATCACAAAATAAACTAACAATCTTGAGGGAAAAAGAAAGGGAGGAGAAAAAAAAGGGATGAAAGGAGAGAGGAGGAGGTAGGGAAGGAGGGATTGGGGCGGCGGCTAAGATTTTTTTTCATGTTACTCAAATATAAATTTTGAGAACTAGAGTAAAAGTTTAGGAAAAGTTTTTGTAATTTTTTACTAGAAAGATTTTTATTTTATTTTATTTAAAAAAGAAAAGAAAAAACTGTCGTTGAGTTTTGAACTGCACGACACGAGCCTACAAGAACGTAAACAGCAAATTAAACTGAACTGAAACCCTCGCTCTTTCCCTCTCTTTTCCGGGGTTTTCCTCTTCTCCTTGGCTCTTTCGCCGTCTTCAATGCAGAAACTGAGAAAAGCAGTGAGCGAGATCGCCTACGCTCAGAACCACGCTAAGCTCACTCATCTTCAACTCTGTCTGATCCCTGTCCTCCGCTTCGCCTCCTCTCTCTACAAGCTCGCTCTCTCTCTCCGCCGCTCTCTCTACCATTCTGGCCTCTTCAGAAAGCACCGGTAATATCTCTCCTCCGATCTCCACTTCATTCTTTCTCTTCTGTTTGGCTGCTTGGAAAATAAAACAGAACAATTTTGGACCTTGGCTGAATTGAGACCGTTACCGCTAGAGGCTATGAGTCGAATTCAGTTGTGCTATATCAATTTTAACGCGATCTCTTGAATTTTATTGCATTTCTCACATTTTCTGAGAAACCAAACGGTACGTAAAGCGTTTGTCTGTAGTTATTGTTTAGAAGTTTTAGCTCAACTGGTTCAAGCCCAAATCATGCCAATTTAGATGGAATCGATGCAGAGCTCTTGCTAGAAATGATTCTGTATAGTTATTTTATTATTTTGGCTTTAATTAAGAAGAAATTATTGAATTGGAAGGTTGCCGGTGCCAGTGATCAGTGTTGGGAATTTGACATGGGGAGGCAATGGGAAAACTCCGATGGCAGAGTTCATTGCTCGCTTTTTAGCTGATTCAGGAATTTCACCTCTCATTCTTACTAGGGTACTTTTACTTTATTTAATTTTCTTTTGTATATTGTTTAACATTTATCGATCTTCATGTTTGATTTAAAGTGTCCATGAAATTTCAAGTGATATTTCCGTTGGCAGGGTTATGCTGGTGGGGATGAAGCCAAAATGCTTCATAGGCATTTACTTGGAAGGCCTGTAAAGATTGGTGTGGGTGCAAAACGGGCAGCTGTTGCTGCTCAATATTTTGAAAGATATGGTTATGTTGATCCTAGCTTTACAAGTAAACACTCTGATGGACTGTGCATTGAACCGAGAGTGGGGGGTCATCTTAGTTCAGAAAAAATTGGTGCTGTAATTCTCGACGATGGAATGCAGGTATAATTGTATACTTTATCCTCATTTCTTTCCTCTTTTTCCTCCATTTTGGGGACTTAGGATGCACTTTCTATCATTTAAGTCTTTACCAAGTAGTGGTATGTGATCTTTGAGTGTAACTTAGACAATGTTCTATATCCTTAATGTGGGATAGCAAAGGAAAGGGTGATTTTGTGGTTATTAGTAGAGTAGTTTAGGGGACATGGCAAATTGGCCTGAATCAAAATTTAACATGTTGTTGAGATGTTTTAAAATGTAGAGCTTCTTGTTGTCTGCCAATCTTTTTCCCTTTTTCTTAAGTTTGTATATGTGTTTTGGGTGATACTCTGCCACTCCATCAATTGGTGACCTAGAGGATCTGTGATCCCACTCCTTCATGCTCATTGAGGTGCTATTCTTTTTCTTTATTTTATAAATATGTGGAAGACAGCACTGGAGCTTGCAGCGTGACCTAGAGATTGTAATGGTTAACGGATTAACACTATGGGGCAACTGTCACTTAATCCCACGTGGACCATTAAGGGAGCCTTTGAATGCGCTTAGACGGGCAGATGTTGTTGTACTCCATCATGCAGATTTGGTATATAAACTGATCTTTACTTTTTTTTTTTCTTAAAAAAAGTGGGTTAAAGATTTTGCCTCAGCCCTTGTGTATGTTAGCCAGTGGAGATCTGTAATTGACACAAAAGTTTATGCTTGCGAATCTCACAGGTTTCAGAACAAAATCTCAAAGCTATTGACTTGATGCTACAACAATTTAATAAATCTCTTCCTATTTTCTTCACTAAAATGGATCCCTGTTATTTCTTTGACGTGGGAAATGTCAACTCCAGAAAACCTCTGAGGGATTTGTCTAACAGCATTGTATTATGTGTTTCTGCCATTGGTTCATCAAATGCATTTGTGAAGGGAGTTGAGAAGGTATTATACTCTTGGCCACCTCTCCTTTGTTGAAAGCAGATACATATATAAATATATTTGTGTGTGTGCATCTGTTGTGCAATTAATTTTCAAATATATGCAAAGCAGATACGTAAACATATTTGTGTGTGTATCTGCTGTGCAATTAATTTTCAAATTTGCTTCTTGGAGATGCTAAGAAACTTTATACATGTCGTTTTCTGGTCTGGTGACAAATTCTGTGGGCACCACTTATTTCTTTACTACTTAGCTTGTTTCTCCTGTCTGTGCTTCCATATCTAAATTGAATAGAACTTGCTGCAGATAGGAGCATTCTATGTTGATCGCCTTGAATTCAGTGATCATCACATATTTCAGGCCAAGGTATCACTTAATCTTCCACTTCTTTGACATGAGATTCTTGTCATGTGCAGTGTCTTTTTTTGAACCAAATGATGGGGCGACACCTTTATATTTTAATATGCTTACTGCATAAGTAAAATGTAAAATATATGTGGGGCTTCTAGCTTATGTGGTAGAGCCCTTATCCCTTTACATTCACGGCCCTTTCACTTCCCCAAATGAGAAACAAGATGTAAAACTTGTTTTTATCTGCCATTAGTATAATCTCGTCAATTTAAGTAATTTCAATCTGCTGATCAAACACAAGTATATGGCGTGCAAAGCTACATTAAAACGGAATATAACCCCCGGGTTAGCTAAATGTTGATTTAGATGGTAGTATCTCAAGCTTTGTGATTTTGTGTCAAATGTAGGATATTGAGATGATCAGGAGGAGACTAAGAGAGCTGGAGGACACGTTTGGGCACAAGCCAGTTGTTATAGTCACAGAAAAGGTGAGTAGCATATCAGTCCTTTTCTTTTCTTTCTTAAGACATTTTCTTAAATAATTTTCTTGGTTAGTTTAGGTTTTTGGGGCGCTGGCCAGATCTGTGGGAGGGATGCCTGCCCTTTGAATTGAATTGATGTAGAGCGTCCCGACTTCCTCATTTCTTTCTTTGATATAAATTTCATGCTGTCAGGATTACGATCGAGACCCAGAGATTTTTAAGCACTTGGATCCTTATGAAGTTTTGGCACTCTGTTCGGAATTGAAGATCATACCTCACAGAGAATGCACTGAAGATGGCTTCAAAAAGTTATTGAAAGATGAATTACAAGGTACAGACAGAAATTAATGCTCAGTTACATGGCAAAACTGACAAACATTTATTAAAAAATACATCTGTAGAAAGGATAACCTAATAATCATGCCATGAAACATAATCGGTTAAATTTAATCCGATCTTATAGTTGTAAGTTACTGTTTCTTCAATTCTTTAAGATAGTCTTGATTGTCCACCAACACCTACAGAGGTTAACAAAGAATGGTTCTGTAAGCTTGTGTTTAATATATATATATACACACACAATTATTCTCTCTTCTGGATGTCCGCACCGTACGTTATTATCGTGCAAATGCCATTATAAACAAAGAGAAAAGCAAGGAGGGATAATAGAAAATACATGGCGTCTACACGATAATAACGTATGGATGTCCGCACAATATATATATATATATATATATATATATATATATGAACTATGCAATCTAAGGAGGTTTTACCGTTTGAAAGCCATCTGTGTCAAGGGATGCAGTGATTTTGGTTTTGGTTTTTGGGATTGGACCCGGTGGACGAATTATTTTCCCTCCAAGTTCCTTGGTAACCAGTTCAACAGCTGCTGCGCTCTTGTACACGTCATTAGTGCCAATAGCAACCTTGAAATACAATTTATTTAAAAAGATTAGAAAATATAAATCAATGAACAAGGACTTCAAATTGAGTCATGGTCAAAGAAACCCTGGGCACAAACAAAAAGATAGGGAATTTTTATTTTATTTTATTATCTTTCTGCTCACCTGTGCATATCCATTTCCTCTGGTATACTGGATCACGTTATAATTGTATTTCAACTCGATAATAGTCGTCTCAGTAAAATTGGATCCATAACCCAACATAGCTATAGTATACTGCACCACAAGAAGCAGAAAAAAAAAAAAAGAAGAAAGATTAAAAATAAGATTTTTTTTCCGGTTGGAAGATGCATTAAGTTCGAATTCCCGGTTCTTATATTATATATATATTTTTAAAATTTTTTTACCTGCTGTTCAGTAGCTTTAAACTTGGGATGTAGTAGGTTCATCCCCAAGGACTACATCAAATATGAGAATAATTAAGAAAAGTTACTATAATTTATTATGAATAAAAACAAGGATTTCTAATAAGAAAGTGGACAGACCTTATTGTAGAACTCAATAGAGCGATCAATGTCAAACACATTAATGCAGATTTGGCAAAGTGGTTCTGGAGTTGGCGGCCTCTGGAGGAGCTCGAAACTGTAGCCATTGGGATCCTTCACAAAGGCGAAGATGGAAGTCCCGCCTTCTGTGAGTGGCGCTGGTTCGCGAGTGATGACTCCTCCATTGGCTCGAATTTTTTCTACTGTATTATAAATCTGAAGATAAATCGAGAACAAAAGTGTTACCAAATTAACGGTCACTATTTCTGAATGTTTAAAAATGTCAAGGGCACGAAATTGTAAATAGAGTGATACTCACATCTTGAGTTGTGATTCCAAAATGATCGAAGGCTGTTCCAACGTCTAACTTGTCCATTGCATTGTCTGTGAATTAGGATAACAAAAAGAAGATTTACAAGCATACTTTTAGGGTTTCTTACGGTTAACATTTAGAGGATTTACAAGCATACTTTTAAGATTTCTTTTGGATTAAGATGATAAAGTTTTGGAGTGAAGAAATTATATAACATACGGTGGGATGTGAGGCCTAGCACAAAATTAGTCTCTTGAGGTCCAAACCCAACAACTGCATTTGAGTATTTTTCTTCTGGGAAATCTTTTCTACTCAACACTTTCATCCCAAAAAATTCAGTGTAAAACCTATAAATATTATAAGAACAAATCAGTTAAAGTCCTCCATTAATATATAAGATAAGGCCTAAAACAAATTTACATGCAATTAGATTTTGCCGAAGCACGTACTTAATGGTGTGATCAAGATCACCAACTCTGATATTGGCACGCAGGAAACGATGACTATCTTTTTTCACCCATTCTAACCCATCCTCACGGGGTACTGTGCGAGCTGCTATACTTGATCCTATCTGATTAACATGATGTTTAATTAATAATAATATTAATGTGTGATTAAGTCACATGATTAACAATTCTTTGCTTAGTTACAGAAGATATAACATTGGGCATGGAGCTTAACAAAGAGAGGAACAAAAGAATAAAACATACCGACTGCTCGTGCTTGGTCTCCACCATCTTTATAAACTTCTGATTTTCTTTTTTTGTTGGAATATAATTTTCTATATCCGAGATAATATGTTTGCTCCAATTTATAGATCTTTGGTCTCTCTGACTTTTGTTTTGGGAGTTTCACTACTACACCCAAAATAGGGGCTGAAATTATAAAAAAACCCAACATGAAAAACACTTTAGAAACACACCCAAAACTCATTTATTAAACACACTCAAAACCCATTTATAAACACACCCAAAAAAATATACAATTGTTGATTTTTAGGTTGATTTTGGGTGTGTTTCTATGTTTTAAACAGTGTTTGAGTTTTTTTTATAAATTCATGTATAGGATTAGGTTTATTTATAAATTTGTATTTTGTTTTTTGGTGAAAGGTCTTTCTGACTAGTCTTTCTGACTTTTCTTAG